GCAACCCTTTGGATGAGTATTTATGTATCCTTTGGGTAAATACCCAGTAGTATAATTGCTGGATCATAGGGTGGTTCTATTTTTCACTTTTTTTAAAAAAAGATTTTATTTATTTATTTATTCATCACACACACACACACACACACAGAGAGAGAGAGAGAGACAGAGACAGAGAGAGGGGCAGAGACACAAGCAGGCTTCATGCAGGGAACCTGATGTGGGACTCCATGGGACTCGATGCCGGGTCTCCAGGATCATGCCCACCACTGAAGGTGGCGCTAAACCGCTGAGGCATCCGGGCTGCCCTATTTTTCACTTTTTGAGGAACCTCCACCCTGTTTTCCAGAGTGGCTGCACCAGTTTGGTTCCCATCAGCAATGTAAGAGGGTTTGGGGAGGGGATAGATTTTAACTTGTGATCTTGTCTGTACACTAAATTGCAAAGGTCATCACTTGCCCCATTACCATAAATCAGAAGCAGGTGCCCTGATTGCTTGGCGTTCACAACATTGTATCAGGATAGGACTAAACTGTTGGGATGACAAAATATTGAAAACAGGTGGATATAGACCAGCCTGAATAAGCTCTTCCAGCTTCTTCCCTGCCACTCTTCAATTGCACCAGCGCTGGTGTATTTCTTTTCCTGTTTTTTTTTTTTTAGGATTTTATTTATTTATTCATGAGAGACAGAGAGAGGGGGGAGCAAAGACCCAAGAAGAGGGAGCAGCAGGTTCCATGCAGGGAGCCCAATGTGGGACTCGATCCCGGGACTCCAGGATCACGCCCTAGGCCGAATGCAGGCTGCTGAACTGCTGGGCCACCCAGGGATCCCCTGATGGATTCCATGTAATGAATTTGTCTTCTCCCTGTGATGCCACTTCAAAGAGTTAAGGGAAATTCAAGAGAATTGCTTGATAATATGGAATTAAATTGGTAATGAGTAATAGTAAGATCTCTGGAAATCCAAAAAAAGCTCATGAACTAAATAATACACTTCTAAAGAGTTCATATATGAAAGGGGAAACAATGGGCATTTAAAAATATTTGGGGGTACCTGGTTAAACGTCTGCCTTCTGCTCAGGTCATGATCCCAGGGTTCTGGGATTGAGCCCTACATTGAGCTCTTTGTACAAGAAGGGAGCCTGTTTCTCCTTCTCCCCTGCCTGCTGCTACCCTTGCTCTCTCTGTCAAATAAATAAATAAAAAATTTTTAAAAATTTTTGAACTGAATGAAAATAAGCAACATATCAGAATTTGTGGGATATGAGTAAAACAGTGCTTACAGGAAATTTATAGCACATATATTAGAAATAAAGGAAGATCTCAAATAGTAAATCCACCTTCAGACAACAACAACAACAACAACAACAAAAAAGGAGCAAATTAAAACAAATTGGAGAAAGGACAAATAAAGGTCAAAACAGAAATCAACAAAAGAGAAAACACAAAAACATAAATGAAACCTCATGCTGGTTTTTTGAGAAGGTGAATAATATTGATAAACTTCTCGCCAGATTTTTTGGAGGTAAAAGGAGAACAGACAAATTACCTATCTCAGGAATGGGAGAGGAGATATTTCCTTAAAAATTAAAATGATAAGGGGCTATTTTGACAAATATTTTGCCAATAAATTCGACAACTTAGAGGAAGTGGGCAAATGCCATTAACCACCAAATTAATAAAGCTCAGTCAAGAAAAATGAGATAATCTGATTAGTGGTAGATCTAGTAAAGCAAAGGAAATGTAGTTAAAGTCATTCCACAGAGAAAACTTTAGGCTTCACTGGTGAATTCTACTAGACATATCAAGAAGAAATAATACTAATTCTACACAACATTTCCAGAAAATGAAGAGAAGGGAGTATTTTCCAACCCAGTCCATGAGGCCAGCATTACCCTGACACCCTCTTTCTGTAGTACGAGGATACCATGAGAAGTCAGAAGTCTGCAAGAGGCTTTCCCCAAAACCCCACCACACTGGTGCCCTGTTGCAGACCCCGGCTTCCAGAAGTGTGAGAAATAAAATTCTGTTGTTTATGGCATTTTGTATAGCAATTTGTGGCATTTTTGTTATAATAGAACTAACATTCCTTCTATCCTAGTCTCCATTTTCCCCTTTCTCATGTAGATAGCAGCTTTCCTTAATTCTCTTAATCATTCTGTTCTTTATTTTTAATATCTAAGCAAAGATGCGTAAATATATTCCTATTATACTATTCCATCTTTATTATATGAGAGGTTACATATTTCTTTTTTTATTTATTTTTTATTTTTTTATTTTTTAGGTTACATATTTCTTACATTGTTCTATACCTCGCCTTTTTCACTTAAGAATATAATCTTGGTGATAACTCCATATGATGCATAAATTCTTTCTTCAATGATTTTAAACAAGTTCATAGAATTTCTTTGCGTGGATATGCTATAGCTTATTAACTGACCTTCTATTCTGGGCATTTGAATTCTTTCCAACCTTTTGCTATTACAAATAGTGCCATTACGAATAACCTAGTGCTTCGGTCATTTAGGAATATTGGCAGTGTATTCTTAGGATAGGTGCCTTCTAGAAAGTCTATTGCCTCAGAGGACAAATGCACATATTTTTAGATACTGCCAAATTCTCCTCCATAGGCCTTATGTCACCATTTTGCATTCCCACCAGTGATGGCTGACAAGAACTATTTCCCGCACTGTTTTACCTGCACAGAATATTGCCAAACTTGTAGATTTTTTGCCAATCATATAGGTGAGAAATGCTGCTGTGGTGTTGTTTAGATGTGCATTTCTCTTATTAGGAAAATCTTATTTTATGTTTAGAACCCATGAGTTTTTTTTTTCCTCTTATGTACTATTTACTTAGATCATTTTACTATTTTTCTATCAGATTGTTGGTTTCTTTTTGCGTCCTCGAATTTCCAGAGTTCTTTGTATGATATAGATGACAGTTACCTTATTGGTTTTTCCTCTGTGTTTTCAACTTTGCCTGCAGGGGTTTTCCATGTAAAGTCTTTAAATTTCTTTCTTTCTTTCTTTCTTTCTTTCTTTCTTTCTTTCTTTCTTTCTTTCTTTCTTTCTTTCTTTCTCTTTTTTTTTAAGATTTATTTATTCATGAGAGACAGAGAGAGAGAGAGAGAGAGAGAGAGAGAGAGGCAGAGACACAGGCAGAGGGAGAAGCAGGCTCCATGCATGGATGCCTGACGTGGGACTTGATCCTGGGTCTCCGGATTACACCCTGGACTGAAGGCAGCACTAACCGCTGAGCCACCTGGGCTGCCCTAAATTTCTTTTTATGTAGTTGAACTTATGACTGTTCCTGGATTTTACATCATAGTTAGAAAAAAAAAATGTTCCCACTTCACTTGTGTTTCTTCTAGCACTTTTATGTTTGCTTGTTTTTCCTTCTTACATTAGGATGTGTCTGATCCATTTGGAATTATCTTAGCATAGGGATAGCTATTTGAAACTGTTGTATCTTCCTCTCTCCTCACTGCTCATTACATGCTCCTCCTCCTCTCTCTCTCCCTTTCTTTTGGTTTAATAGGTCTGTTTACATTACCACTTTCTACACATAACAAAAACAATTTTAGATTCTACTCTTTCTCCAAATATTATGTAGTAAATATTTCCCCGGTCATTATATATTCTTTAGATTCAGTAGTTATAGACACCAGTAGTGATCCACATAGAGACTATATCACTGTTTAGTGTATACTATGGTATTTCGAATAGTGATGCTTTGTTTCGAACTACATTTTTAGTCGGCATTCTTCTGTAGAGAAGACCTTTCCTTTCCTTACTTTTGCTTTAATTTTGGATTGGGATAGATCCAAAAACTCTCTCTCAAAAACATAGTGGGTTATAATGCATTCCTACTATTCATAATGTCAAATTGTCCTATTGGCTTTAACCACTTGGCATATGACCCCGTCAATTTTTGAGCACCTTCTTAGTTTCTGGCGACATGTTCTCAGCTCATCTTCTACCTTTCATGTCCCAATTCTGGAATTATTCATTTCTCTAAGAAGTCCAGGATCCGGGATCCCCGGGTGGTGCAGCAGTTTGGCGCCTGCCTTTGGCCCAGGACGTGATGCTGGAGACCCGGGATCGAATCCCACGTCGGGCTCCCGGGGCATGGAGCCTGCTTCTCCCTCTGCCTGTGTCTCTGCCTCTCTCTCTCTCTCTCTCTCTCTCTCTGTAACTATCATAAATAAATAAAAATTTAAAAAAAAATTCAGGATCCTTGTACTAGAGAAAACTGTTTAGAACCCAAAATGTGGGCACAAAATGTGCTCCTTACTACTGGGTTGCTATTGTTTTCAGGCCCTTTTAGTGGGCATAACTAAAAAATGGACTTCCTGTTTACCATGTACTTACAAATATTTCCATATTTAGGATCATTTCTTAGTGTAGATTCTCAGAATTTGAGTGATTGGCTCAAACAATATGAATATTTTCAAGATTATTAATCTTTATTATAAACTTTTTTATATTTTATTTTATTTATTTTATATATATATTATTTATATATATATAAATATATATATTTATTATATTTATTTATTTATTATAAACTTTTTTCCAAAAGCTTTGATAATGTGAGACTTGTTTTATTATATGCTTTCCAAAATTAGACATCTTAACTATTTTCTTTTTTTCTAATTCTGTCAGGTATATAAAAATCATACTCTTAAAAATTTAATTTCCTTTGATTTCTAATGAAAGTTAGCATCTTTCTAGTTGTACTCCCTCTTTGATGAATTATTTTAGTCCCTTTTCCTTCAGCATTTGCAATGGTTTAGGATTTTTTTTCAGTTGTCTATTTGATTAGGTATTGTGCATACTTAACCTGTGGACTTTTTTTTTCTAACTCAATAGATTTTTCCAGTAAAACACAGAGATAATTTTTTCCTAGTTAATAATTAGCAAAAAAATCTGCAGTGTGATCAAATAAAAATCAAACGTGAGGTATATGAGAAATAGGTTAGACAGGTTACTTTTTTACTAATAGTGTCAAAGAATAATATAAAAACTTGATCTTCCTCAGTTACATTACTTTCTTTTGTGAATGTGATTTCTTAAAAAAAAAAAATGAAACAGTTGAAACTTACAGGTTTTGTTATTTTCCTGTTCTTTGTGCCTGAATCTCTAACACTGCCCACACAGCCTCAAGACTTAGGTAAGAAATTTACTTGTATAATAGGTAAGGAATGACTATGTTGGGATAATTTCTAATTTTTTAATCTTGTTTTAATTCCATTTAATTTTTCACTCCCCCCCCCCATGAGTTTAAATATACTGGTCACATATGCTGAACTAACCTTCCCAGATTTTGTTTTGTGGTCATGTTACCCAATCTATAGACAGAGATAGTAGTTATAACACCCAGCAAATGATCACCAGCTTAATGGCAATTTAGAAAGTGTTGTTGCAATATATAATTTGGATTTGAAAACATTAGCATTTCTTGCAAATGTATGTGGTGTATGGTAAGAGGGGAATATTAAATGTGAGATGGGATTTTTCTATAATCTTTGGTTGTCTAATGTATCTCCCAACTAGGTGACAAACATCTTTAGTGTACGCAGGTCCTGGCTTCTTCCAACCGGACAGTTTATAAATAAATGTCCTCAAGTTTGTACACACTTGTGAATCCGGCCAAGGCAGTGTCATCCGGGGGGAAAGGGTGACATATATTTTTAATTTCCAAAGGGGGAACATTTTGAATTTCGTCTGTTTAGAAGAGATGCCTTTTTGTAATTGCTCTGGCATGGATGAAGGACTTTTTTGTAACTTGTGCAAAAGTGCCATGAGCACTGCAGCGGCCCTGAAGATGTGGATTGTGTCTGACTTAATTTCATACTCCCCACAGTGCCTGCTAGTGAGACCAGTCACCGGGCTTAAAGAATGGTCATTTCTGAGTTCTTCTCCTTTGCCCTTTGTAGTGACTTCTTCAAAAATCCTGTTGATTTTTGTCTCTTCAATATATCTTGCATCTGTGCTTTGCATTTCCAGGACTTCTGAAAAAATTCATGCCTTGCTGATTTCTTAATAGAACAATTGCAAAAGTCTCCTAATGGGCTTCTTGCTTTTCTTCTATTCAGCCATTCATTCTCCCACCTATCTATTTGACAAATAGTTATTGTCACTTTCTCTTTGTCAGGCTCTGTGTCTATGTCTAATTCCCTGCATATTAGATATACCACTACCTGGCCGGTATTTTGTAGCATATAAAATGATCATATTATGTGATACCCTATTGTGGTTTTGATTTGTGTTTCCCTGATGATTAGTGATGTTGCGCATCTTTTCATATATCTGTTTACCATATGTATGTCTTCTTTGGAAAAAATATCAATTCAGATCCTCTGTCCATTTTTTACTTGGATTGCTTGGGGTTTTTTGTTTTTTGTTTGTGTGTGTGGTTTTTTGTTTGTTTGTTTTGTTTTTGTATTGAGTTGTTTAAGCTCTTTATTTATTTTGGATATTAACTCCTTACTAAATATATCATTTGCAAATATCTTCTCCCATTCAGTAGGTTGCCTTTTAATCTTGTTGATGGTTTACTTCTCTGTGTAAAAGCTTTTTATTTTGACACAGTCTCAATAATTTATTTTTGCTTTTGCTTCCCTTGCCTCAGGAGACACATCTAGAAAAATGTTGCTAAGCCTGATGTCAAAAAGATTATTGCCTGTGTTTTCTCCTAGGGATTTTATAGTTTCAGGTCTCACCTCTAGGTCTTTAATACCTTTGAGCTTATTTTTGTGTATGGTGTTAGAAAATGGTCCAGTTTCATTTTCTTGCATGTAGCTGTCCAGTTTTTCCAGCGCCATTTATTGAAGAGATTATCTTTTCCCTATTGTATATTCTTACTTTCTTTGTCACATATTATATGTGACCATAGAAATGTGAGTTTATTTTTGGGTTTTCTATTCTGTTCCATTGATCTGTAGGTCTATTTTTGTGCCAGTATCATACTATTTTGATTTATGACTTTGTAATATATCTTGAATTCTGGATTGTGATACTTCCAGTTTTCTTCTTTCTCAAGATTGCTTTGGTGATTCAGAGTCATTTGTGGTTCATATAAGTTAGATAAGAAATGACAAGCATTGGTGAGGATGTGGATAAAAATGAACACCTGTACACTACTGATGGGAATGTAAAGTGGTGCAGCCTTGTGAAAAGCAGTATGGGGATTCCTTGAAAAATTAAAAATACCGTATGATCCAGTAATGCCGCTACTGAGGATTTACCCAAAGAAAATGAAAACACTAATTTGAAGATATATATATATCCCTATGTTTATTGCAGCATTATTTGCAATAGCCAAGATATAGAAGCAACCCAAATATCCCTCAAAAGATGAATGGAAAAAGAAGATATTATATATATATATATATATATATATATATATATATATATATAATGGAATATTACTCAGCCATAAAAAAGAATGAGATTTTGCCATTTGTAACAACATGGGTGGAACTTTAAGGTATTATCCTATGTGAAATTAGTCAGACTGAGAAAGACAAATACCATGTCATTTCACTTATATGTGGAACCTAAAATACAAAACAAACAAAAAACCCAGACTCAAATACGGAGAACAAACTGGTGGTTGCCAAAAGGAAGGTGGGCAAAGGAATGGGTGAAATAAATGGGATTAGGAGATATAAACTTCCAGTTATAAAATAAGAAGTCACGGAGATGAAAATCACAGCATAGGGAATATAGTCAATAATATTGTAATGTTATATGAATGGCAGATAGTGCCTATATTTATTGTGGTGAGCATTAAATAATGTATAGAATTATCAAATCAATATGCTGTACATCTGAAACTAATATAACACTGTATGTTAATTATACTTCCATTTAAAAAATAATCATATTTCTATCCTATATAAACATTTCCAATGGGTCTTTATGGCTTCTAATTGAAGCCCAAACTCTTAGGCTTTATATGCAAGACCTCTATAATATGAATCCAAGTGTCCAATATTTATGACCCCCGCTCTCATGAAAGGAGATTAATTGACTTTCTTCAAATACATCCCAAGATTTCTTACCTTTGTGATTTCACTTACATTATTCTTGCCACATAGAGAGATGAGCCTCCTGATTTCTCTGCTAGCTGATATCTTGTACATTTTTTTCTTCAGACTCAGTCCATATGCCACTCTTGCTATAATCCTTTTCTGATTTTCTCACCCAGGGATCATGAAGCATTCCTGCCATATACTTACTTACATTACTTTAGGATGTCACAATACATTCTAAATTGGATTATAGTCATATTTATAAGTTACTTGCACTATGAGAGTACCTAGAGACCTGAGGTTCAGGGGAGATGTCTTCATTATCACTGATTGCCTTTTATTCTCCAGCACAATACCTTACAAAAGTAAGGACTCCATACAAGTAGTCTATACAGACAAATATAAGCGTGCTGTGATTAAGATGTACTATTTGGGAGGGAATCAATGATTTTAGACTAGTCCAAAGTCCATCTAAATATCTGTGTTTGGCTAGCATTATAAATGATACCAGCTACTAGCACACTATGGCATATCTTGTCGGGCCCTGTAGTAGCATTACATCATATATCAGTTAACTTTCATATTATTTTTCTAGTAATACCTGATAAATACTTAGCATGGAAATGGTGCTTGATTTGACATTTGTGACTAAGAAGCCATCAATGGCAAATCTAAAGTCTGGTCAATTTGAAATTAATTTAAGTCAGTTCAACTTAATGAATATCTCTTGAGTACATTGTAAGCTATGATTAAGATCTCAAATTTGGTTCATATGACTTTTCTCCTTCTTGTTAAGTATGCCAAATTGTTTTCTATAATTAGTTTTCTATTTTATACTTGTAAATGTAGATGTCACATATAGTTATTTTGTGGGAAAATGTTAAAATACTGAGATACATACTAACTTAAACATCGTTGCTTTTCAGATGATGTCAGTTTCACCCAGAAATTTATAGAAGAGAATGTTGGATATATGTGAGTTTCTCTAAACTATTTTTGATGATAATGGTGTTTAAATGAGCTTATTTGATATATTCCAGAAATGTTAATGCTTCTCAAAACTAATTCAATTAAATGGAAGCTATATTTAAAAAGTAAATACAGCATTACTCATAAAATTCAGATGAGACAGCTGAATTGCCAAGAAATTGCAAAATTTATAGCCCTCACACTTTGATAATTTCCTGAGACTGGTCAGCAAGTGAATGTTTCTATGAGTTTTTGTTGGACAGAAGTGGAAATTCCACAGGTGATCATGGTGTACTCTGTGTGGACTGTTGCAGCACTATCATCGTATTTGCTCAATATGTTCAGGAGGCCTCCTTTGAAGAAGTAGAAATGTTGGTAAAAGCCATGACAGAATATAGAGATAAATGCTTGGTTGACATGACACTCCCAGTGTGTTCAAAATTAGCTGTAAGTAAATTGTTTGTGTTTCTTAAACAAATAAGCATATTTGTTAAACAGAGAATTTTTGGCTTGAAATACAAAAAAAGGAGATGTTCTATGCTCCCTCATTTTTAATTTTGCCTGAATTTGGAATTTAGGATAAGGTCCTTTCCTTGGATACATGCAATTCTGTATTATGTTGCCCCAGAGGAATTGGCTATGAGATTATGGTCCATGCCATGTGCATACAGGCAGGGACGTAGCAGATAGTCTGACAACGTGCACAGAAGGACAGAGGTACCATCCTTAGCTGCTTTCTCAATATATACTCCATTTTCACACCGCTTTTTCTTAGCCTCTGCCAAATAGCGTCACCATCTGCATTTCTTGAAGGCTGCTACTAAACATTACTGCTAATACTTTATCAACACATTCACACTCTGACCCTATCACCTTGAGAGAAAAGGATAAAAGCTGTTATATTAGGGAAATGTAAGTAGCAAAGGAGTAAAAGGTTAAAGGGCCCCAGGATAGAGTAGAAAACATTTTCCAAAGTGTGGGATGGTTGTCACAGGTGTGGGTACCAATGCTTTGTTGACAATACTGGGAAAATTAGAATCTCTTTCCCAAAGGGGGACACTCATCACTCATTGTGTTCATTGTGTCATCTCAGAAGGTTATAAAACTTTACAATGAATAAAAGATGTCTTTTACTTTTCTGTTGTCCAGAATGATGTTCTACTGGAAAATATATGTGCTCTGGAGGGACTGCCACAAAAGCATAATTTTTCACACTGCTGCAGTAAGGTTGACTTGGAAAGAAAACTTTGCTTCTTCCATAATAAGAAAGCTGATGCAGGATTTCTGCCTCCTCTTCCTACCCTGGATCCTGAAGAGAAATGCCAGACTTATAAAAGTAACAGAGAATCCTTTCTAAACAAGTAAGTTTTCTTTTAGTGCAAGAATTATCTAATTGAAGAATTATTCTTAGACTGAGTCCAAAATCTAATCCAAAGGAACATAGCTAGTTTCATTGATGGATTAATTCATGTAATGTGTATTGCGAGTCACATTCTGTGCTCAGCATTGAGGATGAACAAGGTATGAAATCGACTTTCAAGATCCTTTTAATAAAGATACATATTTATTTTCCAACCTAGAAGGCCCTAACGGTGCCAAATGGCTACTGGAGGAAATAATCTAGTTTTCCCAAAGGGAAGGTGCAGATTTTTCTTTTTTTAAAGATTTTATTTATTTATTTGAGTGAGAGAGGGAGGAGCAGACTCTGTGCTGAACAGGGAGCCTGATGATGTGGGGCTCAATCCCAGAACCCTGAGATCATGACCTGTGCCAAGAGCAGATGCTTAACCGACTGAGCCACCCAGGTGCCCTAGGAAGGTGCAGCTTTTACTGAGGGTAAACATTAAATCAATGGATGTTTACCAAAAATCTGTTTTCAGTAGTGCAGTAATTGCAGAAGCACAGACTTTTTCTGGAAAGCTGGTGTGCTCATTGAAACTTAAATTACAAGTGCATTTGAATGAAAGCAAATAAAATCCTGGAATCTCAGGTGGAGTGTGCATTGGCAGCTCTTCCTTGCATGTGGAAGGGATAGCTGCTGACCACCTGGAGCAGCCATAGTTCAGTGTTCAGGATGAAAACTGTCATCTTCACTCTGATTTGGGAGTTGGCAAGATAATTGATAAAACTCTATTAGAGAGTAGATAATCTTGCCTTATTTTGAAGGCTTCCATAATGGAAAGTCTTTTCTCCTCTGAGTTTTACAACTTGATCTTCTTGTCTTTTCCTATCTTTCCTTTCCCTGTCTTCTCACCCTTTGTCTACCATTTTCTTCCTTCTTTTCCTGTTTTTACCCTTTTCCCCTCTTCTCTCTTTTTTCTTTTATAGTTATATCTATGAAGTTTCCAGAAGGAACCCCTTTGTTTTTGCCCCTACACTTCTGACTGTTGCTGCTCGTTTTGAGGAGATGACTAAAACATGTTGTGAAGAACAAGACAAAGCTAACTGCTTTCGAACAAAGGTGAGTATTGCATTTATTTCATTAAAATGATAAGGAATCACCACAAACTGCAGATCCTTACTTAAAGTTAAATTATAGCAAAGGGTTGTTTACCATTTAGTAGTCCTTTTCTTGCCACTTTCACTGGTTTTTTCAATCCTTTGTCCACCTGCTGCTGATCTAAATTTCTTACTACCTGAGACCCTTGAAAGACAATTGCCTATTTCCAGGGTCTTTCTTCTAGCATTGTCTTCCTTGGAAATTGGAAGAAAGCCCTAGTGAGTGAATATCTAGCGTAAAGATGGCATTTTACCTTTTATTCTGGGGAAGCCCTCTTTTGGCTACCCATAAAATTTAATCGTCATCTTCCCACCAAGCATAATTCAGTCATCAGGAAGACTGGTCTAACTTCTATAATGTGCCACAAATGCATATTTCTTTTTTAAAAAATATTTTATTTATTTATTCATAACACACACACACACACACACAGAGAGAGAGAGAGAGAGAGAGAGAGAGAGAGAAACAGAGACACAGGCAGAGGGAGAAGCAGGCCCCACGCAGGGAGCCTGAGGCGGGACTCGATCCAGGGACTCCAGATTCACGGCCTGAGCCCAAGGCAGACACTCAACCGCTGAGCCACCCAGACGTCCCGCATATTTCTTTTGATATATAAACTTATTAGGATAAAAAAAAAAAAAAACAACAAAAAGACCTTCTGTTTCTGAGCAAATTTTGGAAAACTTGGTTGATACATAGTTATGAAATAAGAGAATAGTGAGATTTTGCTCTTGCTTCAATGGAATTTTCTTTTTCTCCTTCAGGCAGAACTTGTCATACAGTATTTAAAAGCATCATCTTCTTTTCAAAAAAATGTCTGTGGGGCACTTATGAAATTTGGACTGCAAGTCTTAGAATCCATGTGAGTTTCAAATATATGTCTTGTCTTTGCTTATATTTTCTCTTCTGTGTCCTGTTTTTGTTAACTTGTTGATGACTTTTTATTTTTACTTTTCTTCAGAGGTGTTCAGATGATTCCCAGCCCACTCGCGTAGCTCAGAACCGGGACATTAGGTCAGATAAGAGAAGGGCTGGGAGAGGGAGAGACCCTAGAGAGAAAGAGGGCTACTTCTGAGATACTCTTTGGTTAGTTGGGAATCTGAATTGGTCTGAGAGTTCTCAGCTAGGCTTTATTATTTTTATTTTTTTCAGCTAGGCTTAAGATGGGATGTATCCATCCATCTTTGAATTTAGTGACCAGGAAACAACTTTATAAGGACAAATTTCATCTCCAGTGCTCATCCTGACCAATTAGTAATGGTGCTATTGCAATGTCTTGAGAAAAATTCCAAAATCTCAAACAGATCAGCGGGAAAGAGTTCTGGGATGGATTATCTATGCCTGCTATGAGCTCAAAACAGGAAGCTGTGGTCCTGACAAAACATGTTTTGCTATAAAAATTATGGAAGGGAGCATATATCTCAGCCCTTCTTATCCTGTTCCTGGTCTAGGACTCAAAATATCAGCCTGGGAGTTTCTGGGTGACCCTGCAGGCTGTGCCACATATAAACAGCTGTTTGGTAAAGATATCTGTGAATAAAACAACGGTACCAATTCTTATTGCAGCTATTTAAACTGTATCAGCAAAGAATTCCCTCTTGTCTTACTTGCTGTCCAAATTGTTTTAGTGCTTTATCAATTCTTTTTCCAGAAATGTTGCTATACTTAGTCAAAAATTTCCCAAGATTGAATTTAAGGAACTTACCTCCCTCCTAGAAGATGTTTCTTCCAAGTACAATGGATGCTGTGAAGGGGATGCTGTGCAGTGCATCCGTGACAGGGTAAATATTCTCTAAAACAAGTGAAAATAGTGATTTGGGGCAGCCATTTTTTTATTCTGAAGTTGCCCTGATATGTGACTACTTTACCACATGAAATAAGAATGTTAATAAGGGGGGCTGGGTGGTTCAGTCAGCTAAGCTGCCTCCTTGGTTTTAGTTCAGATTATGATCTCAGGGTTGAGGGATCCAGGCCTGAGCTGGGTTTTGTGCTCAGCAGGGAGTCAGCTTGAGGATTCTCTCTCTCTCTCCCTCTTTCTGCCCCTCTCTCTGCTCTCTCTCTCTAAAATAAATAAATAAATATTTTAAAATGGTAATAAAATGTCAAATAATGACATACAATAAATAAAAAAATATTAACAAATAAGCTCAAATAAAACTTTGGGGTTTTTTATACATGAGATTGCTGTTAGATTACTCAACAGATTCTATTGCATATGGTAAATGTCCTTGACCTAAAATTTTAAGGATTTAGAATTTGTGAACATTCATTTAAAGCAGATTGAAGTTTTCTTTAATATTGCACATCTTCTTTTAGAGATATTAAAAATTAAATAGTCAAGCTCAGAGAATGATTTTTACCACTGTAAAGTAGTTCTTGTCAAATAAGTGATGTTAAAGTAACTCCTATGTTATTCTTTAAAGTGATTTTCTAAGGGTAAATGCTGTTAAATATATTGTTGATGGTTTAAGTTGTTAATGCATACAAAAGTAACACAATTTCATCAAAAATATCTCACTTTCCGAGGTGCCTGGGTAGCTCAGTCCGCTAACTGTTCAACTCTTTTTTTGTTGTTGTTGTTGTTTGAAAACTTATTTTTATTTATTTATGATAGACATAGAGAGAGAGAGAGTCAGCTCAGATCATGATCTCGGAGTCCTGGAATCAAGCCCCGCTTCAGGCTTCCCACTTAGTAGGGAGTGTCCTTGTCTCTCTCTCTCCCTTGGCCCCTCCCCCTGCTCTCTTTCTCTCTTAAAAAAAAAAAAAATCTTAAAAAAAAAAAAAGAAAAAATACCCTACTTTCTTAGTTGAAATGAGGATTTTTCTTAGCAACCTTTAATTAGTTTTACTATTTTAAGTTCACAGTGAAACTGTAAATTAATTAACTCGAATCTTACAATATGAAGATACATATATTTTATTTCAAGCAGTAGACAACAGATGTTCCCAAGAATTATTTTGTGCTTAATCAGACTCCAATTAAAAGCAATCTCACACGCTATTTTTTATTGTTTGATTATGGAAATGTGGGTTTATAATATTAACTATTATATAGAATAGAATAGAAATAGAAATATAGAGATAGAATATAACTGAAGATTTTTTGGTGAAGTTTGTAGCTGAAGCTAAGAGATCATATTATGTCCTTAATATGTCTTCTTTTAATGCCTTCATGGAGAAATAAGAGAAGTTAGACTGCAGTTTGTTCAAAACAGAAGTGAATCCCAGACGTTAAAGAGATGTGCTGCCAGAACAGTGATGGCTTTCAGTAAAGTGTGTATATATTTGCAAGGACTGGCTTCCTGGTTCTATATGGTTTGTTGGAAACATGGTGCCAACAACCCCAACCCCGTTTTTTTTTTTGTTTTGTTTTGTTTTGTTTGTTTTTTTTTACTTCAACCCAGAGCTTTATCCCATTCTCTGCCTTCAGTGTTCACCAGAGGAGGAGGAAGAACAGCTTGGGCAAAGTCAGAGAGGCCTGGAATAGCTTCATATTTTCTGGAACTCAGCAGAGTACACGTGAAAGTGGAACAGAAAGGAGGGAGAATGTGCAGACTCATATCGGAAAGTCTGGAGGAGAGATTAGGGGCCAGATCAACTTATTAAAAAGTATCCAACGAATGTGTAAATAAGGAAACTTCACCTTCTCCCTTATTCCCACATTTTTTTTTTATTCCCACAATTTCGTGTGGGGGTGAGAATTGAGATGAAGTGTAGAGAGCGGGTACAGTAAGGGTTTTTGTTTTGTATATTATTAGACAATTTGAACAGCTTCAAATGAACAGTAACCATAGGAAACTCATAACAATGAGTAGGATAGCTTTTTTTTTGTTTGAGAAGACTTCATCTGGAAGTTGCCATAGTAGTTCATTTGTTTATCATTTTTTCATTCACTTATCAAATACTTACTGAGTTTCTGCTGTGTGCTTGGCAATATAGTTTCAGGACATGAGAGAAGACGTCTAGGATTCTAGATATTCTAGTCACATGTCTTTGCTAGCCTTCATTGAAGGAGCATGAAACAACATTTAGAATTTAAAATTACAATGTATCAGAGAAGTACTTTAAAAATTAATATTTTACAATAAAATGTGAATTTATAAGTATCTATTTTCATAATTTATCATTTTAAATCCCCAGAAATAAAACCTGCGTTCATGTGAAAAATTCATGTGTATTACATTAATACAAAATTTAAATAAATACTATGATCAAATCATCTGATGAAGCAATTCTAGATGTGAGGGGCATGGTGGACTTTGCATGCAACCATTTAACATGTAGGAAAATCCAGCCCTGAAGAAATGAGGAAACTAATTTTTCATTCTTCTGTCATACAGAGCAAGGTTATGAACCATATTTGTTCCAAACAAGATTCCATCTCCAGCAAAATCAAAGAGTGCTGTGAAAAGAAAATGCCAGAGCGTGGCGAGTGCATCATTTCCTCAAATAAAGATGATAGACCAAAGCACTTAGGTCTAAGAGAAGCAAAATTTACTGAAAGCGAAAATGTGTGTGAAGAACGAGATGCTAATCAAACGATCTTCATGGCTGAGTAACATAAGTCTATACTGAAATTTATAAGGCAAACAGAAACTTATGATTGGATCTATTTTGGCTAATTTGGGTGAAAGGAATGGGAACCATTTAAATCATTGGGTATCACATAATTTTAAAAAATCACAGCAACAGATAATGGCATTTTCACGTGATTTTAAGAAGATGCGACTGTGTTATTAGAGGGACGGCTAACATTTATTGAGTACTTGATACGTGCCAGACAATGGGCTCAATACTTAATGTGAATGATCTGTTTTAATTCTCACAACAGTCATGTGAAACCTGTATGATTTCCCCCATTTTTTCAGATGAGTAAACAAAGGTACAGAGCAGCTAAATAACTTGTTGAAGGTTCACAGCTAAAAGCTGGCAGAGTAAGGATTTGACCAGAGGAAGTCTGGCCTAGGAAGTTGCAAGCTGAATTGCCATGCTATGCCACTCTGCAGTCGTTCAAGGAAAACTAGTGGACTTGGAGCTAAAGAGACCAGATTTGAGTCTTGGTTGCATCACTTGAACAAGTTAACCTCTCTCTGTTTTACATCATCATACATAAAATTCATATGAGAATATCCATTCATTCCCACTTTATTGGTAATGAAATGTAATCCAGGCATTATACATTAGACATGGCTTTTATCCTCAGTAAGCTTTCATCGGCAAGGGAATGTGATGTGGGAAGAGACAGACTTGGAAAATAAATGAGTGCAGGACGCGTTCTTTGATTTCTGATGGCACTGTGTAATCTATAATGTAAAGACAGAGGAGCGAGTGGTCAAGTATACCCGGGAAACCCGGAAAGGCTCGATGGGGAAGAGGTGCTTAAAGACATTTTGGTTATCCAGACAGAAGAGATAGATCATGGATAGAAGTATAAAACCACTTGATGTACTTGTGGCTTCGTATAGGGTATTTGCAGTGACAGAGGAAGGTAGTGAGAAGTGTATGTGGTCAGATCACACAGGCAGGCTAAGTAATGAGAAGCCACTGAAGGGCTTTCCCTGAAGAATAAGGAAGGACAAAATCACTTTTGTTTTTTAGAAACTTCATCTGGAATGAATCCCAGTTTGGGGCTTACTTAGGTGGTTGGGTAAGTAGTTTTCAGATTCAATGAGATGGGAAGTATGGGTCGAAGGTTTTGTGGGAAAGAGAATATGTTTGAATCTGACCACGCTGATTTTGAGATACTCATGAGCTAACTAATTGGGAAGTCACAAGACAATTCTTTTTACTTGAGTATAGTTGACACACAATGCTACATTAGTTTCAGGTGCACAGCATAACGGTTTGACAAGTTTATGCATTATAATAGGTTCTCCACCGAGTGTAGCTACCATCTGATCCCATGATCACTATCACAATACCATTCACTGTTGTGTCCCTATTGTGCGCCTTCTATTCTTGTGACTTATTCATTCCGTAACTGGAAGCCTCTATCTCCCACTCCCTTTCACTTGCTTTGCCTACCCTCCCTCCCCCCACTCTGGCAGCCGTCAGTTGGTTCTGTGTATTTATAGGCTAATTCTGCTCTTGGTTTATTCATCTGTTTGTAGTTTTTTGTTTTGGGTTTTTTTTTTTTTTTAAGATTCTACTTATAGTGGAATCATATGGTATTTGTCTTTCTCAGACTGACTTATTTCATTTGGCATGATGCCCTCCAGGTCCAACAATGTGGTCTCAAATATCACGAGACAGTTTCATATGTGAACCTGGAGCTCTGGAAGACACAGGTTATTGAAAACTTACCAAATTTTAAGTGCTTCTCATCCGCTAACCAGCTCTAACTTTCAAAACAACTCTCTCAGGTTAGAATACTTTTAATGTCCTCATTTTACAGGTGAGGAGACTGATGCACAGAGGTTAAGTAATTTGTTCCCAAGTCACACAGATAATATGTGGTGGAGCCAGGAATCAAACATGACCAGTCTGGCTGCAGACTCTTGCTCTTGTAACCATTGTGCCCTTTTGCTTCTCATGAGTTGTGGGCATTAACTCAGATTAAGCTTAACAAAGTGTTAGAGGCAGTGTGTTTCCCTCGTACCTAGCACATGTGCCCACCAAATGGAAGCAATTTATCATCGTCATCATCATCATCATCACCATCTTATTACAACATAGTGTTTGAGGAGAAATCACAGAGCATCAGTGAGCATGCTAAGCCAGAAAGGGATTTTTAAGATTCAGTCTTTCTGGGTGTAAACATTTGACATAAGACCTCAATGGATCTTCCAGGCTAGGGGAGGCTTCTAGGAATTTTTTTTTTGTTTACAGCCTTTTGATGGTGGTTTTTTTTTTTTTTTTTTGTTGTTGTTGTTGTTTTGTTTTGTTTTGTTTTTGTTGTTTTTGTTTTTTTTTTTTTTTTGGTGTGATTTTATTACTGTAGAAAGGTCCATGGCTTTCAGTAGATATTAAGAAGAGTCCTTGATTCTCTGAAGGGTAAACACTGCTGCTTTAGGGTCTAAGGATATATCCCAACAATAATATTGAGAAAGCAGGTGGAGAAGCAGAAGAGATGGTGTCAGAAAAAATGAGATTAATCAGGAGAATCGAAGGCTGCAAAACAAAAAGGGATGCAGAGTTCCCTGAAATCGAGAAACTTTTGTGAGGTATTGCTCTCACCAAACATAGAAGGCCATCTTAACTTATCTTGGATGGAATAGATAAGATTCTTTTTTACGAAGAAGACTGTAAAGAGCACAGCTGAGGTGCTTAGAGGAGACACCCCTCTCCTGCAATGAGAGTCAACTTGGCTTAGAAAAGAATGAAGTAGGCATCGTAGGAGACTCAGGTTCACATGTTACGTTTCCATTAACAGCAAGGTGCTTACCTGGTCTGGGACTTCCTTTTCTCAGCTGTAAAATAGTACTGACCTTGAGGACTAAGTGAAGTTCAATAAGAAAAGTGTTTCCAGAGGCTAGGAAGTGTTTCTGTATCTCTTATGCCCGGAGCTTGATCCAGTGCTAGCACCTACTAAGGGCTTAATAAGTGTTAGCCTCTTTCCTTTCGCTTTGCCATTTCTCCCCCACATCACACTGCCTGGACCCTTGGAGCCTCTCACTGGGGCCATGGAAACCCCTGTCAATGACCTAGAGCTCCAGGGTTACTCCTGTATTTGACAAGTAATGGGATGAAGTCATGGGCACAGCTGCTTCCCAATCTCTCACCACGGTGGCCCTGGAGTGGGGAGGAAGCCATACTTCCACCATCTCAAGTTGGAGGTCTGAATGCAGTTTCCAACAGAATTAGACTCAGTATGTATTTTCCAAATGATTGATGGCATGATGCACTATTTCTGATGTTTTACGCATCAAATCCCCTAATAATGAACTCAGAAAGACCCTAATCATTCTGTCCTCTCAAGTAAAAGCACTGTTAGTTTAAAATACACTGTGGAAGGGAACCTTTGCAAAATGATGTCCTGTAGTGACAGTACCCTCTGAAGTCACTCCCTGAGCAAACCGGAGGAAGGAGTTAGCATTTGAAAGCAGAGTCAGTATTACAACCCCTGATCACTTTAAAAGATTGCAGGATTTAATATTTTGTTCTTTCTCTAAGGTCTAATGTATGAAACATTTTACACATGACAGGTTCCTTTATGAACACTCAAGGAGACATCCAGAGCTGTCTACGCCGGAGCTTTTAAGAATTGCCGGAGTGTATGAGGAGCTTCTCAAAGAGTGTTGCCACACAGAAAACCCTCCCGACTGTTACCGCCATGCGGTGGGTTCCACCGTTCTGGGCTCACAGAACTAAACAAAACAAAGCCACACAACAGACACTTCAAAATTGATATCAAAGTTCTACTACAGTTTAGGGGGTAGAAAATGTGATTGACCCATCTGAGTCTACTTTAAATACAGTGGGGCTGATTCTTGGGCAGATTGAAATGATGTTAGGTTTCTGCACACTGTTCTGCACTAGTAATTCTGTGTGTTGATGCAAAAAACCCTCTTCCCATTCAATGTGTTACATTTAGAGCTATATTTGTGTACTCTGCGTTTTCTTGAGCCATATTGGATTTTCCATGATTATAAAATAATAAATGATTATCAAAGCTGATTAGGAAAGTGGCAAAAAAGGTACAAAGATAAAAATAAAAGCTCTGATACTGTCACTGAGAAATAGCTATAATTAAGATTGTCTTTCATCTTTTCTATGCATATATGCACATGTGTGTGTGCCTAACAATAAGATTAGATAACAATCTCTTAAGAAATTTTGGGATCTAGTTTTTAAAATGATTTATTTATTTATTTATTTATTTATTTATTTATTTATTTACAGCAGGGGGAGGGGCAGAGGGAGAAGGAGAGAGACAATCCTCAAGCAGGCACTTCGCTGAGCTGGGAGTCTGATGCCGGGCTCAATCCCAGGCCTCTGAGATCATGACCTGAACTGAAATCCAGAGTTGACTGCCTAACTGATTGAACCACATAGGTGCCTCTGGATCTATTTTTTTTAGTTACTATCATAGAGAACTTTTTATGTCATTAAACAGACTTCAAAATGTACTTTATTTTATTTTTTAAGATTTTATTTATTTATTTATGAGAGGCACAGAGAGAGAGAGAGGCAGAGACACAGGCAGAGGGAGAAACAGGCTCTATGCTGAGAGCCTGATGTGGGACTCGATCCCAGGCCCCAGGATCATGCCCTGGACTGAAGGTGGCACTAAACCGCTGAGCCACCCAGGCTGCCCTTGTACTTTATTTTAAATGATCAAATCTCATCATCATGATTTATTTAAATATTCTACTGTGTATTGGACATTGTGAACATTTAGTTAGGTTTTTAATTTTATAAGTGACCCTAAGTGAATATCTCATTCCATTCATCTCTATTAATATTTATGATTATTTTCCTAAGATTGACTTTAATAATTTCCCAGGGATATTATTAGGTCAAAGCATATAGACTTAAAAAAAAAAACAGCACTTGATACAAATGCCCAAGTTACTTTTTAGAAAGTTTTATTTGCATGAATAACAGTGCTTGAAAATACATCAGGGGCACATGCATGGCTCTGTTTGTTAAGCGTCTGCCTTCAGCTCAGGCCATGATCTCAGGGTCCTCAGATCCAGCCCCACATTGGGCTCCCTGCTCAGCAGCAAGTCTGCTTCTCCCTCTCCCCCCACCCCATTTGTGTGCTCATACGTGCTCTCTTTCTCTCATAAATAAAATCTTTAAAAAAAAGAAAAAGAAAATACTTCACCTCTGCCTTCACCACCCTAGGAAATTAACTGCTAGATTTATATGTAAAAAATAGTGACTATGTTTTAAGCATTTATTTGATTTTTAAATAAAGTTAGGTTTTTCCCATACGATTTTAGCTAGTGTACTTATAAATTTCTTGTGAACAAGTTGCTCATGCCTGTTATCCATTTTCCTATTGAAATTAGTGTGTTTTAGTATCGATTCATGTGTATTCCTTAATTATTAGAGAAATTCATTATTTGACATTTCTGATTTGTTTCTCATTCATTTGATATGTGCTGCTTTTGCTTTATTTAAAAAATTGTATCCACTTGCCATAAAAGCCAGTTTACATTCATCCATATTTGAACAGTGAAGAGGACCTGACTTCCAGTCTAGCTCCGCCACTGTCCCTGAAAGGAATCTGTTCCTGACCTTTAAATGAATCACTAAAGTGTTAGAAAATTCGTTTTTCATGTGGAGGCACAGTTTGCCTCACAGCATCCATCCACTGGTGTGTACTTTTTCTCTCTGGTGGCCACGCAGTAGATCTCCAATTTCATGCTAAAGGAGACAGTTTGTCAAATATTTCAATACAATTATTTGAGTTTTTAAGTTCCAATTCTAACTGATGAAAAAGAAGATATAAAATAAAGATGAATTACTAAATTTATTCTGTAATTAAAAGTGTTCTATAGCAATACTTCCTAGCTGGGTCATTCTAGGCAAGTCATCTGACTTCATAAGCCTGATTTCCTTTATGTAAAAATGAAAGACTGTCCTGGCACTTGAAAGTGATTATCAAGTATGATCGTTGTCAACATAACATTTGACTTGTACTTCATAATCTGGAAAGCTCTAAAAAATGTACAAGATGATGATGAAAAACTTGGATCTTCAAATTTTAGTAAGAGCCACATCTATGTTTAGAGCTGAAAAGATTTAAATTTTTACACACTCATAAAAAAAGTACTCTCAATTTAGTAAGCAATATATGTAATGGTAGTTTGAAAATACTGTGCAAATAAAAGCTATTGGACAAGTTGACATGAAGCTTATGATTAAATTTTAGATAAGATGTTCATAAATATGATTGCTCTTATTTTTAGGAATACAAATTCAATGAAACAACTGAGAAAAGCCTCAAGATCGTACAGCGAGAATGTGAACATTTCCAGAATTTGGGGAAAGATGACCTGAAATACTAGTAAGTTGTTTGCACAAGTTGCTTAACACTTGTGACCAGGATAAAATAAAGAGTGCCACAAAGTGTCAAAAATTCAGCTCTGTCCTTCAGTTATGGTAAATCTATAGACTGGGAAAGAATAAAAATACAAAAGTCAAGAATGCACATTAGGCTTGCATATTAATGGAATGCATATTCAGCCTTTAACAGGAATGAGGCTAGAAATGAAAGAAATACAAGATTCTAGGAAATTGATTCTCTAATGCCTTGGTTTTTACTTGCTTTTCTCAATCCCAAGCCAGAATCTCTGGATTCTGCCCCATTTGGAAAGGCTTGGTAGAGAGCAAAATTCAGGTCGTTATAATTTCTCAAGGTAAAGATGGTTTGCCCAGAATTTGAACTCACCTTACCAAGTTCATAGAAATAATTCTGGATTTGTTTAACACTTTGATATTTATTTTTTTTAGTGCTTTTGTGAGCATTAATGAATAATACAGTTTATTCTGGATTTTCTTAATTAATGACCAGGCTAATATAGTGTGTATTTAAACCAAACATCTTTAAATCAGAATGCAGTTTGAAAAATATGATTTCACTCTTTCTGCAATCCGGCTGGTAAAACTAAGCCTGTTAAAGATATTAGTTTTCTTTATCTCAGATTATCCTTTTCCAACATGCATCTATTAATTAAATTCCCCCTTTAAAATATTTACTAACTATGCAAGCAATTTCAAGCAGGATTTTACATACCAACTAAGGTATTGCTGCCAGGGAGCTCCTGTACCTGCAGGTAAGACAGGATGAGCAAATCTGAGAATTTCTGAGATTACCATGAAATTAGGAGGAAGCCAAAAATGCAGAATCTAGGAGGCAGGGTATGGGGAAGTAGGGAGTGAGGAAGAGTTCTCTGCCATTTCCTGAGAAAGCTGAGGTTCATGTCCTTACTTCGGCTGTTCCTAGCCTTGAAGAGTTAGGGTTTAAAGTAGCTAGACAAGGGAAAGTAGGTATCTGTTTCTGTTTAGAACCAAAGAGACAAATGTTCTTTCAGCTACATTGTCAAGCTCACAAAGATAGCCCCCCAGCTCTCCACTGAGGAACTGACCTTTCTTGGCAAAGAAATGGTGACGGCTTTGACCACCTGCTGCACATTGAGTGAAGAGTTTGCCTGCGTTGATAATTTGGTGAGTATGGCCCATGAGCCTAACTATTCCTTAAAAAAAAAAAAAAAAAAGACATCTGCCACGCTCATTGATCCATAGCAGTTATGCAGTTAAGTTATACGCCTTTCTTCATTGTTTTCCACACTGTTAAGCAAGGAATGTCAAAATTTTGGGGGGCGGGGCTCACCACATCACAATCCTAAGAAGCAAAAGAGATTGTCTTATTTTCTTGGGGTTCTCCAAATCATCTTACTTCTATTTTTTAAATATTTTATTTTATTTTATTTATTTTATTTTATTTTATTTTATTTTATTGAGAGAGAGTGAGAGAAAACAAGAGAGAGCAAGCTGGTGGAGAAGCAGAGGGAGAGGGACAAGGAGACTCCATCCTGAGTGCAGAGCCTGATGCAAGGCTCCATCCCAGTACCTTGAGATCATGATCTGAGCCAAAGTCAAGAGTCCATCACTCAATGAACTGAGCCACCTAGGCACCCCTCTTACATCTTCTTATTACTTATTTGTTATTTGTAAATTGTTAGGGCAAATGACAGAAATAGCATATTGTTTCAGAATGATTACACTAACAAGAAATTAATATATAGGGGTTTGAATTGCAATGGCTTGAAATTTTATTGTGATGCAAGTTTCTACTTTGCTTTGGATGTAGTATCACATTTACAGAAGCATGGGTTTTTCTGAGTACAGTTAACAGTTATCATAGAACAATATGTTTCTCTGGCCATATTTCAAAACCCTATTCAAGTTTTAAAGTCATATGTGAATTCCAACTTTCATTGGCACAGGTGGATTTAGTTCTTGGAGAGTTATGTGGAATAAATGAAAATCGGAGCGTCAATCCTGATGTGGACCACTGTTGTAAAACCAGCTTTGCCTTCAGAAGGCCCTGCTTTGAGGGACTGGAAGCTGATAAAACATATGTGCCTCCATCTACGTCTCAAGATTTATTTACCTTTCACACAGACTTATGTCAGGCTCATAATGAGGAGCTCCAAAGAAAGAAAGACGGGTATAAGCATTCTTTTTCATCCACCTTTCTTTCATCCTGAAGGCATGTAATGTATTAATGAGAAGATGTACTGTAATGCATATGTGATTTTGGTGTTATAATCCTGTTCCTTCCCTCAAATTGCCCAATCTCTCCAATCCAGAAAAACACTGGAGGCTATTTATTGCTGTTGTTTATAAGCCAAAACCTAGATAGTCTCTTCTTTTGCTAGGTGTGGAGTGTCTAGTACACTGTGATTTGGAAAGGTGAGTTAGGGCAACCAGCAAAAAGGCTCATAAGTAGGTTCATGATGAACTGGACTCTCTTGAGAGAATGTCATAGATATTTGCTTAATGTTTGAAAACATGAGAGACCTAAAAGGGACAAGAATTTTATTTTCATCTTCTCAATCAGGCAATGTTATAAATGCTAAAGAATAAGCCTTTTTTTTTTTTTTTTGGATTCAGGCAGTGTCTATATCGAGTAGAGTGGAAACAGCATTCAGCTACTGAGAAAAAAGGAATAGAGGTTGTTTTGAAAATAAATCTTCTAGAAAGATCAAAACTAATCACATAATCTGCAATGCTGTACATAAGGAACACCTAATATATATTAATATTTTTTACATCATTTTGTTTGCAATTATATAACCCTCCAGAGAATGTCACCATGAAATCCAGCCCACAAGTCCAATAGGAAAGCTTTAGGAGACCCCTTCAAAGTGGAATATTTTGACTTTTTATACTCCCCCAAATCAAGACCCTCAAGACATGTGATATTGTGACCAGCACTTTGGAGAAGAGGGACTTAAGAAAGAAGTCTTTAATTAATTCTGTTTGGTACCTCTGGGTCCCAGGTTTCTCGTCAATCTGGTGAAGCGAAAGCCTGAACTTACAGATGACGTGCTGCGGTCATTGCTTACAGATTTCACTAACGTGGTGGTGAGGTGCTGCAAAGCCGAGGGGCCTGAAGCCTGCTTTAACGAAGAGGTAGTTCTATTTCTTTTCCACTGAAGTTCAGCTGCTATTCCTGGTTACGTAAAATACAGCTCCTAGTAGGATCCTGCTTCCTCCCTGCAAGGTCTCTGAGGCCTCTGAGAGCACAGCTCCTACGAGGCTAACATGCAGGTGCTTCGGTGGAAGGCCCTTGGCACTGTCTACCTGGTGACAACATGGTGTGAGAGAAGATGTCAGGAGAACCCGGTTCTAATTCCAGTACTTTTGGTCATATACCTTAGTGATAATAATTATCCTTGAATATTACCGTTGGTCCTTACTCTCCATTTTGAATCACTCATTAGCTTAATAAAACGAACAGCCAAACTGATTTGCAAAGGAAATCATTATCAGCTCTAAAGGGAGGGGAGCAGGAAGGGTATCACGTATCAGTATGTGAAGTCTCTTGGTGGGTGGCTGTCTCACCTTCCAAGGCCTTGTCCCAGCATCCCTCAGGTGAGCAGACAGGTGTGCGAAGTGAGGAGTTTGGGGGTGGGGGGGGGCGCTGATGAGTGTAGCCAGGGGGAAGAGAGGAGCCACACTCCCTGCTTGTTTTCGCTCCAGTGACTGGAGTGTCTCACCAACTTGTGGTGGTCTGGGACTCTCAGGTACCCATGAGTGCCGGCCCCGACGGCTGGCTGCTTGGAAGTGCCTCCTCACTGATTCCCAACTTCCTTCCTCACTATTTCTTTCCTAGCGACTCTCACTCCATCTCAGACTCACAATTTGCACACATGCGAATTCATGCCACTCGTACCCTTCCTGCGTGGCCACAGACACGTATACTCACACACAGCTTTCGTTCTGGTCGAGAGCCCTCTACTTTTTACAAATGAGCGCTTGATCTGCGAGGAGTTGTGTGTGTGTGTGTGTGTGTGTGTTTCAAATTATTAGCTTTTAAAACATATGTTTAATGTAATTAGAGGTTATTAATCAAGATCTAGCATTTACCTGAGTGAGTGTGTACGTTGAGGCCATGGAAAGGGGAGGGATGAATCCATTGGAAGTTCATAAAAGGGACTTGAAGAGAGGGTGTTCGTTGTCTTCCTGTGCAATATAGGACTGCCTTAGTTTTTCTTTCCAAAATTCAAGGCAACATACTTCTCCAAATTCGAATAGTAATGTCTTAATTTTTCCTATGTGTTTTTGTTTCTTTTTTCCCCTCTCAGGGCCCCAAGGTGGTAGCCAAAAGCCAGGCTGCTTGAGAAGTACAAAGTAAAACCCACCAAAGGTAATACCTGCTATCTAAGTCAAATGCCAAATGAAAAACCTTTGTGGTCACCTGGGCTTTTCCGTTCTGGTGCTTCCACGTCTGTTTCTGGTTCATCCCATGTGCCTGGTGCCTCGTAGGCCCATCTTGGTCTTCTAACATCTTTGTGGTGTGTTTGTGGTAGCACTTCTCTCACTATTCAAGCAGCTTTGCTGATTAGCCAAAAGGTACCCAGTCCTCTGTCTTTCTGCTACTGAGCTCAGCTGTCTGGACCAGAATGGAGAGGCAGCTGTATCTGCAAATACCGACAGTAAGCCTGTCCTAAGAGTCTTGCTGCAGCAGTACTTACATAAATGAAAATCAATACATTTGTGATTTCACGGTTATATAAAGGATGCACTCTTCTCTTCAGCTTATGTAAGACTCATAGACAAGCTTTAGGAACAAAATGACGTTCAGTGTCTAGGAAGAGAGGCCACAGAGAGTAGGTTTGAGTCTATGAGAAGCCAGCATCCTTATCACTCACAGTTTTCTATATACAAGACTTCTCATCACCCAAATTACACTATTTCACATTCTTGTGCTGCATAAGACACTATGTTTTTTTCCCAGGTTTTAGGGAAAAAAGAGGAACCCTGACTTACCTGCTTCCTGTCTGTCCTGCGGTGGATTTTATTTTCTGAGAAGAACACAGTGAGAAGATTCTTCTGTAACCTCTATCTGAAATCATGTTATTGTAGCGAGCAATAAACAATGAAATCATAAAGTTATTTCTCAAAGACTGATGTAATGTGTCAACTCCATAACCAAATTAATCAATCAAGACACATCCATTCCGTCAGCATCCTCAGCCCACTGGCAAATGTACATGGCTCGAAGGAAGGCAGGGAACAGCAATGGTATGGGCAGGATCCTCACAGACGCTGCTCTTGCTGCTACTGGATGGAAAGGACATGTGGAGCTGAGGGCAGGCAGCCTTCCTGCTGCTGCTGCTTCGAGCAGTGTATGAAACGTTGGCCGAAGTACCTTCCATGCATTATCTCATGGAATCCTAACAACTCTATGGAATACATATCATTTTTTAAGAAGATTTATTTGTTTATTTTAGAGGGAGAATGAGAGAGCACAAGTGGGAGGGGCAGAGGGAGAGGGAGAAAGAGAATCCTCAAGCAGACTCCCCGCTGAGCACATAGCCCAACCCGAGGCTTGATCTCACAAACCTGCGGTCACCACCTAAGCCAAAACCAAGAGTCAGATGCTTAAATAAGACACTCAGGCACCCTTGAAGTAGTTATCATTTTAATTTCCACTTTGCAAACAGAGAACTTGAGTCTTGGGGAGTTAAACTAATCTGTTCAATGTCGTACAACTGGTAATTGGCAGAACCAAGGTCTTTTTTTTATTTTTTTTTTATTTTTTTATTTAAAAAAATTTTTTTTTAGAACCAAGGTTTGAATTTGAGTCCTCTAATCCCTGAACAATATTCTTGACCTCTGTACGCCCTACCTCCTAGGTGTGGCCATGTTGAATGACTTATAAAATCTGTCATTCATAGAAAGGGAGGAGCACCCAAGGCATCAGGGACAATGGCTCTTTTCTCTTACTACTCCAAGCTGTAATTGCTGCTAATGTTGGAGATGTAAGTGCTTGTCAGTGATGTCTAAGGAGAGGGAGTGTGGGGAACTGGGCAGCCAGGAAATGAAGGTTGGTCATGGGCTCGTGGCCTGATTATCCCAACTGTTCTTTAAACTTTTAAAGTTTTTAGTGTTTCAACGTCTGAAATTAAAGATGATGACCTTTAAGAAATAATACATGAGAATAGTCACAGAGTTCTTTTGGCAAAGCAATTACAGCGTAGTCTTTGGGATTTTTATTTATTTCATCAACAAGTATTTATTAGACTCCTACTGTTTGCCAGACATTGTGCATACAAACGTGAGCTGATTAGAGATGGTTCCCGTGGCAGGGGAGAAGGATAGTAAACAAGCAATCACATAGGATGTCATATGGATAGAAAAAGTCCCCTGCTGTGGCACTGCATTGATGGGCACTCAATCTAAGCTGAAGGTGTAGGAGGAGAAGAAGGGGAGGGCACCCCGTTCCTACTGCCACTAACTTGCTGTACATCCTGAGACAATTTCCCTACAATCCAAGACCTCCATATTTTTGTGTAACATGGAAGAACAATATCCACATCACATCACAACGGCTTTAGAGAACTGTATCAGATTTCTATATAAAGTACCCAATACAAGGGCCAGCAGACAATAGATGTTTATTTCGTGAAGTTGTTTTTCCTTTTGCCATTTTCCAAACTTCCATTTACTAATGAGGAGAACAGGAAGAAAGTCTTACTTAGATAATGGATAATAAGTGTAGCAAACAGAAGTGAATCAGAGCACAGTTTGCTAATTCAATTTTCTACCTGCTAGTGGATTCTGCTGTGTGTCCCATACCGTGCTAAACACAGCAGATGTGAAACCAGAGTCCCAGGAGCTTGTCATCACAAGACTCTATACTCACAGAGGAAATTGCCATACAACTCTCTGCTGTTGTGCCAGAGAACGTACTAATAAAGAGCTGGTAACTGGTGTGATGTGGGGAAAGGAGGGAGAGGAATGGTTTATTCAAAAGATGTATTTTGTCTAGAGAAGAGAGGATTTGGAATGAGGGCAAATCACATGTTCTCTGCTCAGACGGAACCCAAACCGATGACTAGAACACACCAGTACTCAGTGCATGAAGAATTTTCTAGTACTAGAGGTGATTCTAAGTGGGATAAGCCTCATGGTACAACAATGAGTACCCAGACTGCAAGCAATCCTCACCCAGGTTTTCTGTGGGATCTGGAGATCCAGTCCTGGTCTTTCTAAGGTTCCTTCGAACTCTTGTTTCTATGACTCATATAAGAATTAGGTTTACTGTGAAATAATATTTATTAAAAATTGTCACTGTCTCTTGTATGCTTTCCATTTTTAATCTTAAAAGTCAGTATGACTGGGTGACAGGCACTAAGGGGCGGGGGCACTTGACGGGATGAGCACTGGGTGTTATGCTGTATGTTGGCAATTGAACTCCAATAAAAAAATATACAAAAAAATGTCAGTGTAAACATCTCACTCTCTTATGGAACAAATTCTGTGCTATCTTTCAAGTCTTATCACAAAACTCATCCCCTTGCTTTTGTTTAGATAATCCTCGCTGCTTGTTTTTCCTCTGGCCTGAAATTCCATTAGTCACTGATAAAGGACCTAACGCGATCTTTTGTTTTCAGAATCTCTTACTCTGAGATGAGAATTCAAATAAGATGTAAATTTTGTCCGATTTTTTTTCTTTATAAAAAAAGAGGAATTAGTTTAACACACATGCAACAGTTTTTCTGTTTTTTGTTTGTTTGTTTTTTTAAGTGTCAGCCCCGATCAATTAATACTGGTTCTCTTGTGGCACTGCACAGTGAATGCTAAAGCTGAGCCAAGGTTCAGAGAGAAGGAGGGCAGTGATCAGTTAGTCACTGTCTGCAGTAGGTGACATTCTGGGGCACTCACCCAAAGGATTAGCCATTCCTAGTGTAATAATAGGTCCGGTTCTGATGGTTCCATAAGGCTCGGAGGAAGATCTCAGGGGCACAGCAGAAGAGATGCTGAGTATTAGCGCTCTTTAGAAGACCCTGAGAAGGATGATGAAACCTGCCAAAGAGAATTTTTCCTTTGCTGACTCTAGTTTTCCACACACACCATCCATATTCTTTATCATTAGCCGACGTGTCCCAAACCTAAATAAGAACAGATTTGTGGTTATTATTATTATTATTATTCTCTAGGAAACCAGAAATAAGAACACATGCATAGTATAATCAAGTGATGGACTGCCAGTCTTAGATATTATTTGGTCCAAATCCTCCAGATATAAACAAGGAAACTCAGGACAGGACTTGTTTTTTTTATTTTTTTATTTATTTATGATAGTCACAGAGAGAGAGAGAGAGAGAGAGAGAGAGAGAGAGAGAGGCAGGGACACAGGCAGAGGGAGAAGCAGGCTCCATGCACCGGGAGCCCGACGTGGGATTCGATTCCGGGTCTCCAGGATCGCGCCCTGGGCCAAAGGCAGGCGCCAAACCGCTGCGCCACCCAGGGATCCCAGGACAGGACTTGTTAAAGTAGTAACTGGTGATCTTCCATTTCCAAAACTTTTGGACTTCACATTTTTCTTAGACTTTCTATTTGACCAGTAAGTACCTGTTTCCTCCCCTAAACCCCCAATCTGGATGTTAGGCAAAGGTGACAATAGTTCAGGAATGTCGACAGCTTCGTTTTCAATACTAGCTCTTGGATGGTGTGGGCTCCAAAGTCAGACAGACCTGAATTTCTACCTGTGAGTCTATGAGCAAATTACACGCTCCTGAGTCTATTGTTGCTATTGACCTTTTTTTTTTTTAATTAAGCTTTTTGTTTTAATTCCAGTATTGCTAACATGCAGTGTTATATTAGTTTCAGGTATACAATATAGTGATTCAGCAATTCTATACATTACTCTATGCTTATTGTACACAGCTTATTGTCCAGTAGTGTGCTCTTAATCCCCTTCACCTATTTCATGCATCCCTCACCCACCTCCCCTCTGTTAACTGTTTGTCCTCTAAACTCTGTTTCTTGCTATGTCTCTTCCTCTTCTTTTTTCTTTGCTGTTGTTTTGTTAATTTAATTCCACATGAAGTGAAATTATATGTTATTTGTATTACTCTGACTTATTTTGCTCAGCATTATACTCCTTAGCTCCATCCATGTGGTAAGATTTCATTCTTTTTGTGGCTGAATATTCCATTGCATAGGTATGCCATTTCTTCTCTATCCATTCATCAGTCCATGGAACTTGGGCTGCTTCCATAATTTGGCTATTGTAAATAATGCTCCAGTAAACAGAGGGATGCATATATCCCTTTGAATTAGTGTTTTTGTACTTTTTGAGTGCATACTCAATTGTGTGATTACTGGAGCGCAGTGTATTTCTATGTTTAATTTTTTGAGGAACCTCCATACCATTGTCCACAGTGGTTGCACCAGTTTGCATTCCCGCCAGCAGTATATGAGTTTGTCTTTCTCTACATCCTCACCAATATCTGTTGTTTCTTGTGTTTTTTATTTTAGCTATTCTGACAGATATAAGGTGAGATCTCATTGTGGTTTTGATTTTTATTTCCCTGATGATGAGTGATATTGAGCATCTTTTCATGTGTCTATTGGCCATCAGGATATCTTCTTTAAAGAAATGTCTGTTTATGTCTTCTGCTCATTTTTAAATTGGATTGTTTGTTTTAGTGGGTGTCGAGTTGCATCAGTTCTTTACATATTTTGGACACTAACCCTTTATCAGATATGTCATTTGCAAATATCTTCTTCCAGTCAGTAGGTTTCCTTTTAGTTCTATTGATTGCTTCCTTCACTGTGCCAAAGCTTTTCATTGTGATGTAGTCCCAATAGTTTACTTTTGCTTTTATTTCCCTTGCCTCAGGAGACATACCTAGTAAAATATTGCTATGGCCAATGTCAAAGAAATTACTGCCTGTGCTCTCTTCTAGGATTTTTATGGTTTCGGATCTCACATTTAGATCTATAATCCATTTTGAGTTTATTTTTGTGTATAAAGTAAGAGAGTTGTCTAGTTTCATTCTTTTGCATCTATCTGTCCAGTTTTCCCAACATCATTTGTTAAAGAGACTCTTTTTTTTCCTATTGCATAATTTTTCCTCCTTTGTAGAAGATTAATTGACCACACAATTATGGGTTTATTTTTGGATTTTCTATTATGTTCCATTGAACATTGTGTCTATTTTTTGCCAGTACCACACTGCTTTTATCGCTACAGTTTTGTAAAACAGAGAGAGAGAGCGCGCAAGAGAGAGAGAGACAGAGACCATGAGCCAAGGGGAGAAGCAGAGGCAGAGGGAGAAGCAGACTCCCCACTGAACAGAATGCTCAATGCTGGGGTCAATCCCAGAACCCTGGGATCATGATATGAGCTAAAGGCAGATGTTTAACCGACTGAGCCACCCAGGCACCCTCATTTGTTAGTTATATAGTTTTTTGGTGGAGTCTTCGGGGTTTTCTATATATAGTAGCATGTCATTTGCAAACAGTGAAAATGTACCTTCTTCCTTACCAATTTGGATGCTTTTATTTCTTTCTGTTGTCTGATTGCTGAGGCTAGGACTTCTAGGACTGTGTTGGATGAAAGTGGTGGGAGTGGATATCCTTGTCTTGTTCCTGACCTTAGGGGAAAATCTCAGTTTTTCCCTATTGAATATGGTGTTCACTGTGGGTTTTTCATATCAGGCCTTTATTATAATGAGGTTTGTTCCCTGTAAACCTACTTGGTTGAGGGATTTTATCATGAATGAAGGTACTTTTTAAATGCTTTTTCTGCATCTATTGAAATCGTCACATGGTTTGCATTTTATCTCTTGTTAATGTGATGCATCATGTTGACTTATTTGCATATATTGAACAACTCTTGCATCCTGGGAATAATTCCTACTTGATTGTGGTGTATGATTTTTTGAATATATTGTTGGATTCAGTTTGCTAGTATTTTGCTGAGATTTTTGCACTTATGTTCATCAAAGATATTGGCCTGTAGTTCTCTTTTTTGTGGTGTCTTTATCTGGTTTTGGTATCAGGGTAATCTGGCCTCTTAGAATGAATATGAAGTTTTCCTCCTATTTTTTTGGAATAGTCTGAGGAGAACATGAGAAAGGGACAGGCAGCACAAGGTAGGGAGAGAAAAGTAGGGGGCTATATGATCAGGCTCACCAAAAAATCCCAGAAATGCCAAGGTGCAAAGAAACCATAGATATGGGAACAAACCAGACCACCTTGCCTCAGGCATCTGAGGTGGGGCCCTTTTATGGCAGTCACATTGTGATCAACAAAGAATAACCAGATCACAAAATAGAAGGATTTCTTTTTTAAAATTCCCCTGGCTATTCGGGGTCTTTTCTGATTCCACACAAATCTTAAAATAATTTGTTCTAACTCTCTGAAGAAAGTCCATGGTATTTTGATAGGGATTGCATTAAACATGTAAACTGCCCTGGGTAACATTTACATTTTCACAATATTAATTCTACCAATCCATGAGCATGGAATATTCTTCCATCTCTTTGTGTCTTCCTCCATTTCTTTCAGAAGTGTTCTATAGTTTTTAGGGTATAGATCCTTTACCTCTTTGGTTAGCTTTATTCCTAGGTATCTTATGCTTTTGGGTGCAATTGTAAATGGGATTGACTCCTTAATTTCTCTTTCTTCAGTCTCATTGTTAGTGTATAGAAATGCCATTGATTTCTGGGCATTGATTTTGTATCCTGCCACACTGCCGAATTGCTGTATGAATTCTAGCAATCTTGGGGTGGAGGCTTTTGGGTTTTCTATGTATAGTATCATGTCATCGGCAAAGAGGGAGAGTTTGACTTCTTCTTTGCCAATTTGAATGCCTTTAATGTCTTTTTGTTGTCTGATTGCTGAGGCTAGGACTTCCAATACTATATTGAATAGCAGTGGTGAGAGTGGACATCCCTGTCTTGTTCCTGATCTTAGGGGAAAGGCTCCCAGTGCTTCCCCATTGAGAATGATATTTGCTGTGGGCTTTTAAGCAGCAATGTCTTTTAAGATGTCGAGGAAAGTTCCCTCTATCCCTATGCTCTGAAGAGTTTTGATCAGCAGTGGATGCTGTATTTTGTCAAATGCTTTCTCTGCATCTAATGAGAGGATCCTATGGTTCTTGGTTTTTCTCTTGCTGATATGATGAATCACATTGATTGTTTTAGGAGTGTTGAACCAGCCTTGTGTCCCGGGGATAAATCCTACTTGGTCATGGTGAATAATTTTCTTAATGTATTGTTGGATCCTATTGGCTAGTATCTTGTTGAGAATTTATGAAAACCATAGCTGGGGGCATCACAATGCCAGATTTCAGGTTGTACTACAAAGCTGTGGTCATCAAGACAGTGTGGTACTGGCACAAACACAGACACATAGATCAATGGAACAGAATAGAGAACCCAGAAGTGGACCCTGAACTTTATGGTCAACTAATATTCGATAAAGGAGGAAAGACTATCCATTGGAAGAAAGACAATCTCTTCAATAAATGGTGCTGGGAAAATTGGACATCCACATGCAGAAGAATGAAACTAGACCACTCTCTTGCACCAGACACAAAGATAAACTCAAAATGGATGAAAGATCTAAATGTAAGACAAGATTCCATCAAAATCCTAGAGGAGAACACAGGCAACACCCTTTTTGAACTTGGCCACAGCAACTTCTTGCAAGATACATCCATGAAGGCAGGGGAAACAAAAGCAAAAATTAATTTTTGGGACTTCATCAAGATAAGAAGCTTCTGCACAGCAAAGGATACAGTCAACAAAACTCAAAGACAACCTACAGAATGGGAGAAGATATTTGCAAATGACGTATCAGATAAAGGGCTAGTTTCCAAAATCTATAAAGAACTTATTAAACTCAACAGCAAAGAAACAAACAATCCAATCATGAAATGGGCAAAAGACATGAAGAGAAATCTCACAGAGGAAGACATAGACATGGCCAACACGCACATGAGAAAATGCTCTGCATCACTTGCCATCAGGGAAATACAAATCAAAACCACAATGAGATCCCACCTCACACCAGTGAGAATGGGGAAAATTAACAAGGCAGGAAACCACAAATGTTGGAGAGGATGCGGAGAAAGGGGAACCCTCTTACACTGTTGGTGGGAATGTGAACCGGTGCAGCCACTCTGGGAAACTGTGTGGAGGTTCCTCAAAGAGTTAAAAATAGACCTGCCCTACGACCCAGCAATTGCACTGTTGGGGATTTACCCCAAAGATTCAGATGCAATGAAACGCCGGGACACCTGCACCCCGATGTTTATAGCAGCAATGGCCACAATAGCCGAACTGTGGAAGGAGCCTCGGTGTCCATCAAAAGATGATGGATAAAGAAGATGTGGTTTATGTATACAATGGGATATTCCTCAGCCATTAGAAACGATAAATACCCACCATTTGCTTCAACGTGGATGGACCTGGAGGGTATTATGCTGAGTGAAGTGAGTCAATCGGAGAAGGACAAACATTATATGGTCTCATTCATTTGGGGAATATAAATAATAGTGAAAGGGAACAGAAGGGAAGGGAGGAGAAATGGGTAGGAAATATCAGAAAGGGAGACAGAGCATAAAGACTCCTAACCCTGGGAAACGAACTAGGGGTGGTGGAAGGGGATGAGGGCGGGGGGTGGGGGTGAATGGGTGACGGGCACTGAGGGGGGCACTTGAGGGGATGAGCACTGGGTGTTATGCTGTATGTTGGTAAATTGAACACCAATAAAAAATAAATTTATTAAAAAAGAATAGAAGGAAGCCATTAAAGATGTTATTATCAGTCCTTACTCAAGTCAAGATGTCACAAGAATGTTAAGGTCACAAACTCCCTGGTCAGTTCTAAATAAAAGACTGTCAGTGGAGATCCATGTTGGTAACCCTGTCAGGACCCCTCCCACTCCTGAGAGCTTTTTCTGTATCCTTGCTTAATAAAATTCTATTGCTTTGCTCACTCTCCTTTGTCCACGAGATTCACTCTTTGACTCTGTGAGACAAGAACTTAGCTCTCCTGCTTTAAATAGAAGAATAGATAAGCTCTTCTAAATAGAATAGATTAACTCTTCTTTAAATGTTTGGTAGAATTTGCCTGTGAAGCCACCTGGCCCTGGACTTTTGTTTGTTGGGATTTTTTGATTACTGATTCAATTTCATTGTTGGTAACTGGTCTGTTCAAATTTTCTGTTTCTTCCTGTTTCCAACATGGCAGGGCAATCCAAATCCTCCAGGTCTGCCTATTTTCTGAAGTCCCAGGCCTCTGTAACAAGTAAGACTCCCAAGTGTCTCTTGTTGAGGATACTATAGTCAACATTCTTGAATCAGCCCTTGCAAGGATTCCAGATTTGTCCGCTCTGTCAGTAATCACGGCTCCTGGGTGTCTCTTAGTGAAGGATATTCCTGCAGCCCAACAAAGTGTCGTACTTGCAAAGTAGTCCAGACTCCTTTACTTGTACCCTATAGACAGGCTGCATGAGGTGTTCTCAAGCTTCCCCAGAGCTTGAGGCTCCCAGGTGCTTCTTTGGCTGGCTTCTCAGTCCTATGGGCAGGCCCTGACTTGGCAGGGAAAATGCAAGTTCTCTGGGTCTCCTCAGATATAAGCCTCAAGAGCTGCATGCACTCGGAAGTGATTTCTGGTTGCCTGTCCTGGGACACTGAATAAGTTCACTCCTTGAACTGATAGAAGAAAAGGCCCAATCTCATTGCTAACTCCCATTTCTCATAGAGCACCTTCAGCACCAGGATGTGCTTCATCTGCACTGTCACATCTTGACATCTTCACTAGTCCAGTAGCTCCAGGTGGTACTTGCGCCTGCCCTTGGGTGTCATGATGTTCTCAATCTCATACAGCTACTGGGCTAAGAGCCTGCCCAAGCAGTTGTCTTGGTTCACCCTTGCCAGAGCTGTCAACAGCTTCATGGCCTTTAGACGGACTGCATGATGTGTTCTTGGCCATTTCCAGAACTTGAGTCTTCCAGGTGCTGCTTTTAGGTGGTTACCTAGTATGGCAGGCAGGCCTAGATAATCTTGAGTCCCACTTTCTTTTTCAAGGAATAAGAATTCTTTTTTTTTTTTTTTTTAAGGAATAAGAATTCTGTTATCTGCATAAAGTCATAAAAATCACCAGATTCACAATGAACACTCAATAAGTTAGGTCCCATTTCCTTGGGTTTGCTCCCAAGGCCTATGCTCCCCACTATCTCCAGGGACTTGAAAATGTGCCCAGCACTGGAACCAGGGCTTTAACCATTTATTTGAATCTGTGGTAGTACATGTTTACCTTCCCTCCTGCCACTTCAGAACTTTGTACATGTCAACAGGCATTCCCAGGAAATGAAATATTTACCAAAGGAGCTTATTGATTACTACAAGGCCTACATGGTATAATCTTGAAAAAACAAGTAGATTGATATGACTCATTTTAAAATCCAGTATTCATTAATGAATGCCATCCATTAGCAATATTTCTTCATTGCCATGAATTTCTTCAATTTTATCAGGGTCGTATTGGTCTAGAAAAAATATTCACCAGGAAAAGGTTAATTATTAATAGTAATTACTTGAAAAGAGTATAAAGGGATTCCTCAGTTCTTTCAGATGATAGAGCACCTTCTTTAAAGGTTCATCTGGAACAATGAAGATTTTTAGACCTATATGTTTTCTTGTTTTCTTCAGCTACGTTCAATGTCAAACTCTTCAGAGAAGTTTACTAGCTACAGGTAGGGATCCTATTTACAATCTATACATGCCATGTGCCAGGAGATAAGGCATGATGACTCCTAAAATATATACTTAAATGTAAGGAAAGGCTTATATTCTTCAGTGCTCATCACTGTCAACAGAGTCATTGGAAATTGCTAGAAATTAATTTGTGGAAGGGATGTGAAAGAGAGCGAATATATTGAGGCAACACACACAGAAAGATCTCGTTTTAGCTTGGCTTGCACTCTGGGTGAGGGATCTATACATTTCAAATTTGTGTTTGAAATTGGGTAAACAATTTTGGATAAAGCAACTGTGTTTATAGTAGCAGGAAAAATATTATGAGCCACATTTTTCAGTACCTATTCTGTGCAAGGTGCTGGGCTTGGAGCTTCACATCTGTTTCCATTGAATCCTAATAACTATCCAATGTGGTAGAGTTTATTTCTGTTTTCTAGGTAGAGAAATAGAAATTTTGAGAGCTTACACAATTTTCCCAAGGCCACACTCAATATAAGAGCTAGAAGTTGAACTCAGAGTAATAGGCTCCAAAGCTTTTGTATTAATAGAGATAATAATGTTTCTTTATTTAACAGAAAGCTGTTCAGCTCTTAAGAAACCATTAGTATAAGAAGATATTGTTTTGTTGGGTTTTTTTTAAAAGATTTTATTTATTTATTCACAAGAGTCACAGAGAGAGAGGCAGAGACACAGGCAAAGGGAGAAGCAGGCTCCATGCAGGGAGCTGGATGCAAGACTTGATCCCAGGATCCTGGGATCACGACCTGAGCCAAAGGCAGACGCTCAACCGCTGAGCCACCCAGGTGTCCTGAGAAGATATTGTTTTTAATAGAGAACTTGTAAGTGGAGGTGATAAGAAAGATAAAGTTGATAGTAAATCCAAGATGCTTGAGATGCTGTCTTTGCCAAATGAAGCCTGGCAAAGTGCTAATATTTATACGTTTGCTCCCAATGTTTAATTTTCTTAATATTCCTTGGATACGCTAGTAGCTTCTAATACAAAGAGTTAAATAGCCAAATAGCCAAATCATGTTAATTAATTCAGGTGTGTCAACACAAGTACATGCAACTCATTTGTAAGCAAATGACAGATTTCAAGTACACAATATATTTGAATAGAAATAAGTTATTTACAGAATGCAATTGAAACACAGGTGAAGGTATGTTCTAGCAATTCATTTTAATTTTGATGGCAAATAAAATAGGTCTGGAAGTTTATAAGTGAATAAATATGGATTTCAGAATTATAAAGGGAGATTTCAATTTTGAAAATATCCTCTTAATGCAAAAAAAAAAAAAATCTCGTTTTTTATTTCAGCCTTGCGCCACATTAATAGCCAGAATTATCTGCAGGAGAACTTAAGAGACATGTGAGTCTTATCAATATTCTCTTATCTGAAATTTGAAATCACGATTATTTCGGAAGGGGGAGAGGGGCATTGTTATTTGATCTAACAATAACGGAGGAAGAGTTTGATTTTATCTTTAACACTCTTACAAGTGTTCTGTTTCAGCACCAGCATTATGGTTGCTCAGTTTCTTCAGAAGTTAACTTATGAAGAAGTACAAACCATAGTTGAAGAGTTGGTAGATCTAACAGACAAGTGCAAGATTCTCAAGCCACATGAATCACCGTCAGAATGCGCTCACCAATTGGTAGGTAAATCATGTTTTGCCTTTCTCTCTCTTTTTTAAACTAAAATTCCAACCAAAAGGTGTTATCATGAAGTGGGATGTTGAATAATTAGGTATGAAATTTTAAGGAAACAATATGTATATCAATCACACTGAAAATATAATCTTTGTAGGTTTATAAATCTACAGTTTTTCATTTTATCTCTGAGGGATCAGACTCAGAGAACCCAAACACTCAAGAGAATGAATTATAACCTAGAATGCCAATTTGTTCGTTTAAGTTGGTTGCTTTGCCTCTCCCACTGGAATACTGTTGTCTGACATCCTCATATAAAGGTCCCTGGGAAATCAAAGTACTAATTTTAAAAAGTTTTTAAAAGTACATGAAAAATAAGAAAGAAATGAATATTATTATAGGCTTTTTTTCTTAGCCAGCAAAAAATCTTGGGGATTACTACTGTCTCATAAAGTATATCTATCTTGTGATGAGCAAATTTTGATGAACACTAACATATTTGTACAATCTACATATTTTTTGGATCACTTATATCATGCCAAACATTTTATTTTTTTTAATTTTTTTTATTTTTTTTTCAAACATTTTAAATTACAGATTAATAGTTTTCTTTTTTGTCGGTAAGTTTTTTTTTTTTTTTAAATCCATCTTCTTGGGGCTAAAACCTACCTACCTATTTACTAGACATAGAAAACCATCAGTCTTAGGACACCTGGGTGGCTCAGCGGTTGAGCGTCTGCCTTTGGCCCAGGGTGTGATCCTGGAGTCCTGGGATTGAGTCCCACATCAGGCTTCCTGCATGGAGCCTGCTTCTCCCTCTGCCTGTGTCTCTTCCTCTCTCTCTATCTGTGTCACTCATGAATACATAAATAAAATCTTAAAAAAAAATCATCAGTCTTATTAGAAACACATTTTATTTTATTTTTAAAGATCTGTTTATTTATTTTAGAGAGACAGAATGGAGAAAGGGGCAGAGGTAGGGGGAGACTGAGAATCCTCTAGCTGACTCCCTGCTGAATACAGAGTCTGTCCCTGCGAGGGGCTGGATCTCATGACCCTGACACCATGACCTTAGCTGAAATCCAGAGTTAGCTGCTTAACTGACTGCACCACCCAGGCGCCCCTAGAAATACATTTGAAATGAAGTTCTCCTAGTGACTAGTCTCACTTATTTTAATAGTGATTCCTTTTTAATTCTACTTCAAAAGATGGCCTTTTTTTTTTTTTTGCACCTTTATCCCCTAAATCTGGGAATGTATTGTTTGAAGTTTGTAGCATCCCACACATTTACTGCCACTCAAAGGTATTTGAAAAGTAACTGAATTATTACATTTTCATTTGAACATTTGACACTGAATACATACTGTCTCAGAGTTCAATTCTTAAAATAACTTCCCATGGAAACCAAACTAAAAACAATTAGGAAGCAAGGAAAGAAAACTATCACCTTTTTCTTTCTTGGTGGATAGTTACAAAAAATACTTTGATTTTGCTGGGCTCTGAAATTTTGGCTTCTGTTTAATGCCTTTTAATGACTATATGAAAACATATTCAAAATCACAATTATTTTGGAAATGAAAGAATGATAAATTCCATTTAGCCCATGTCTAACATGTGGGAATTTAGACTTAAAAACATAAAAAACTTCTGCTCTAGAGAGCTATGTCCAGGGATTACTAAATACAGAGTGTATGATCATATGCTCAGGGGACTTTTCTTTATAATAATCCTTTAACTTTCCTAAGAGTGTAGATCACACCTGCTTCCCCTTTACATTATTATTTCCTCCTGCAGATGACTACTTTTCTGGAACACATTTGTAATAACCAAGGAAAGGCTGAGAGACAGGAGTTTTCTGACTGTTGCAATATAAATAACAAAGCAAGACTCAAGTGCTTCCTATTATACAAAAAAGATGATGCAGATGACAGTGATGTATTCCAAATTCCAAATCCTGAGCAGGTCTGTGAGACGGACAAAGAGAATCAAGTGTCAGTGAAGGAGAGGTAAGCCATTTCTCTCTGAAGAAGAGTGTTTTCAAATTTTGAAGACAGATCTTTTTTATATATATATGAGCCTCTGAGAACACAATGCTTTATTACTTGGAATTAGAGTAAAATTTTGAGCTACAATATATATATTTTCTCCCTCAGAATGACAGTTACAACCTTAGTGAAACCAGACAGGGCATAGAAACATCTGTATGCAGAACATTACAAATGACTAGGACAAGAACATTTTTAAAGATAATTTTAAAAATGACTAGGACAATGTGAAGGACCCATCTCCTTAGGTTAAATTAGTCAGACCCGTAGCAAATGATGTTGAAAGGTACAGCAAGTAAGCAGAGCATAATACACAGAGAGTACTAGGGTCAGAGAGTGGGTGATAGCTCTGGCAAGGGGCTGGCATTTGGAAGATCCATCAAGGGATAGCAGAGAGGGTATCTGATAGGCTTGGTGAGAACTAGGAGTAAGTGGCAATTGCAGATTAGACAGAGATGAGTTTTCTGCTCATAAACTCTGATTCTATAATTCCCACCTAGAGTGGATAGCATTTTAGCAGATGCAAAGGGAAGGTCTTACTTTGTTTTCCTAATGAGCAAAGAGGTCTATCTGTTAAGAGTGGGGTATGAGCAAGTGCCTGGGCTTAGAGGTAGATAGCCAATGCCTAGAGAGGCAGAAATGACAAGAGAAACACAAGACTTCAGTTCTCAAGGAATGCAATTCTAGCTATCTTATCAAGACAGGCTCAGATAATGGGAATAAGGCAAAGATCTGATGCTTGTTCTAGAGGTCAAGGAGCATGGTAATGATTTGATTTCAGATTTTAGACATGAAACTTTTGATCAGAGATAAATGAGCAGAGTGACTTGATGCCGAATTATATAAACTACTTTAATTCACTTATATGGGTACAGAATTACTGAGCCTTGAAGAAGAAATTAATTGGACCTGGATCCTTAGGTAGAAAGGACTAGGTCCCTAGGTGTCTCAGTCGATTAAGCATTCAACTTTTTATTTCAGCTAGGATCATGTTCTCAGGGTCTCGAGAATAAGCCCTGCATACAGCTCTGCAGTCAGGATGGGGTCTGCTTAAGACTCTGCCCTTCCCCCCTGCTTAGAGAGAGAAAGGGGGGGGGGTAGAATGAATCTTACCAAAAAAGAAAAAAGAAAAAGAAAGGACTAAGAGACTGGGGGTTGGGCAGGTTACAACCTGTCTGGCATTAGGGGCAACTGAATGGGAACCAAAATAGGACCCATCTACCTATTTACCATGATGCTTCCATTCTAAGAGAGAATTATAAAATCAGGTTTGGGTTGAACATTCAGAGATTCCAAAATCTAACCTATCCTCAGACAGTGAATCTAATCTCTTCTTGAATATTTACAATGAAGTCAATATAAGGAGTTATTTTAAATGCTAATCTTAATATGCAGACAACTATAAATATTTAGAGGAAAAATAATTTTCTAATTACTTGTCTCATAATTATAAGGCAACAACTTCATTTAATTCTCAACCAAGGAAACAGTAACCATATATCAGAGCTGGAAGGAAAAGTCAGCTATTTCAGATTTTTCAAAAGATGGCATAGTATACAGATACACAAAACCATCATTACTGCATCTTTGGATTATCTAAGGAATTTTCAATAACAGTTTTAATTTATTATAAGCTTCTATTGAATATCTGACTGTAGAAACCCACTTCTAATTAAGTGTGACCCTATGATATCTTACTATAGGGACATTCCATTTTTTTAATGTCTCTAATTAGTAGAAAGCTTTTCCTTATATTGAGTTAAACTTTGGAGATTTAAAATTAGAATTGGCTCATATTGAATATCTTCCAAGGGAACTAAGTCACCATAGTACAAAAATGAACTCTTAATTCCGCATAGACAATAAAGAGCAGAGGTATTGAATGGCTTTGGTGAAATTTGGTATTGACAAGAGAAACACAAGGCTTCAGTTCTCAAGGAATACAATTCCTGATGTTAGGAGGCAGCTGTATGTTGATAATACCAGTTCTGTCGTTCTGTTTCTATAAGTTGGGCTTGAGAGACTCTGCTGATAGAAGCCCATTGACTAAACTTCCAGGGCTTTGGGGCCGCTTAGTGAGAGTGAAGAGGATTTTTTTTTGGGGGGGTGGGGGGAGGGGGGATCACAGACCTACTTTTCTAAGTATTGTTAATGAATGATGTTTGGTTCTATGATTTGGCCTATTTTTCTACCTCCATAGTTTGCAGATGACTTTTTTCTTTATAGGTTTTTAAAAAGCAAAAGTAAGAATACTTTTACAGGGTAAGCTAACTTTAGTGTGGTAGCAAATAATCTCTAATTTTCAGCAGCTCAGTATAACAAAAAAAAAGAATTTTTTTTTCACTCATGCTATCTGTCCAATGAAAATTGGTAGGCAGTCTGCTTATCATGGTCATTTAGGGACTTAGGTTGACAAAGATACCATCTCAACACTTACTTCTTTGATTACTATGGCAAAGGAAGGGGATAATAGTAAATCATGTATTGCTTCTGAAGCTTGTTTAGAAACAGCACTCATCATTTTTACTCACACATCATTAATCAGCAAGTCACATTGTCATACCTCATCTCACAGGAGGCAGAAATGTGCAATCCTACCATTTGCCTGAAAGGAGGGGAGCTGGAAATATTTGGTAAACAACTCTACTGGCAACTGCCTCGGTCATCCACCCACACACAAAAAATGATTTTCTACCTTTAACCGAAAGGAAATGTTACCACAGAATTGCTGCACACCAGTTGTTAGATAAGGTGTTTGTTGACGTTTGGTTAGTGCTTCAGGTCTCCTGCAAATCTTGTCTTTATTAGGGCCCCAGGATTCGTATCTGGGCAGAGAGCAGTAACAAATACTCTTCTGATGAAGTCACATATGGATATAGTCCCTGACCCCAGAAACTCTAGCCACCTCCTTCGGTTATTGTTTTCTAGACCCTGCAGCACTAAGGGATTTCTATAAAATATTTTAAGCATTTCCTTGGATATTTGTCATGAGATATCATTGCTTTTTCAATCATTTCAGGGAGGGCAATGGTAGCAATTTTTCATTTGACTTCATTGGCTTCTGCAGCTGTATTCTTCTCTAGGATCCCAAAAGGACTTGGAGTTAGATCCCAAAGGAGCAGGAATATAGATTTATGTATTATCCAAGGAACTGGTGGTGGATGGAAGTTAAAACAAGAACCAAGTTCCTATTCTATCACTTCCTCCATTATCCTTTCAATGTTGAAAACCTGATTTTCTGGTGTCACCATTTTTCTGGTGATATAGGCCAACTCTACAGACACTACATCTTAAACTTGCATTAAGAATAGTATTATAACAATCAGTATGAGTCTTGACTGTTACTTTCATTTTGTTTTAATTGGCTATCCTGACACTTGACATCTCATCTCTCTCTATCTTGGCTCAGCTACTGACAGTTCTCCTCCCACGGGTAACCCAGGAATGCAAGTGTTTCCAGCTCTATATTATCTGGAGCATGTGTTTCCAAGGTCATCGAAATAGAAAAAAAGAGAGCAGGGAAAAAAAAAAGAGAGAAAGAGAGAGAGAGAGAGTAGGGAATTGTGCTGAGACATTACCAGCCACACCTCAAAGCATTGTGGAGCACGTTCATTCACATTTCATCCTCCAGAATTCAGTTACATGTTCTTGACCTAACTGCAAGGGAGTCTGGAAAAAGAGTCTCCCTGTGCACATGGAAAAAGAAAATGGATTTGTGTGAGCATTAAGCCAGTTTTTGCCTGTAATGTCATCTGGGTTTTTGTTTTTGTTTAATTAGAGAGACAGTATGAGCGTTTAGAGGGAGGGACAGAAGGAAAGGGAGAGTGAGAGAGAGAAGGCCAGGCAGACTCTGTGCTGAGCAGGGAGCATGACGTAGGGGCTAGACCCCAGGACCGTACTATCAGGACCCAAGTGGAAGACAGATGCCTAACTGACTGAGCCACCCAGGCACCTTGCATGCCTATAATGTCCTCTTGTTCAGTATTTTTGCATTTGTGTCTGTGGGGTCTTTAAGCAGACTTTGCAAAAATAGGAGGAGACATGTATTATAAGTGAAAGGCAGACCTGATGCCCGGGCTCTGTGTGTGAAGAATAAATGAACTCGAGAGGGAAATAAAGATGGGGGCTTAGTAACAAACCAAAATACTGAGGGACACATCTTGGAGGACTGGCATTTCCTAGTCTAGAAAGAACTTCTGGATGATCTTGAGAGACTCCCCTCACCCCACTAATAGCTTCTAAATTTAATCCTCCTGCACCAGATGTACAATCCTGCATTTACAATTCATTTTGGACTACTGAACTTTCTATCTTCCACTTCTTATATAAAAATGACAAGTTTTAATTACTTTTTCTTTCCCCACCAGCCTGGAAGTCACAGTTGGTCACTTTCTGGGCATTCTGTGAATGTCTAATTTCATAGTGATCTGTCCAGAGTGACGTGAACATGTGATGATGTCTTTCTTTACATAGTATAGTGCTACCTTATCTCTTTCATCATGAAATTCTAGAAGTTTCAGGTCAACAAAACTAAATGAAGAAACTGTGTTGGCACATGTTCTTGGATTCTAAATTACACAACTTTGTATTTGCCAAATTACAGGTACATTTATGAAATGTCTAGAAAGTATCCATTCTTGTATGGACCCACTATTCTGACAATGTCTGCTTGCTATGAAACAGCTGTTCAGTCATGTTGCCAAGAAGAAAATAAAACTGAATGCTTCCAGATGAAGGTAAAATATTCATATGTCAACTGTTATTTAGAGCCTTGTTCTGCAATGTGTGGACTGTGTCCCAGCAACGTACGCATTACCTGGCATCCCATTGGAAATGCAGAATCTGAAGCTCTTCTCCGGACATACGAAATAAGACTCCATTGTAAAGAGATACTGAAGCAATTCATATTGTTATTAAAATTTGAGAAGTGTGAATTAGCATAGACACTACTTTGTCATAAATATTTAATATTCAAGTTACTATTGTTGCATATCAAAATACCCCAAAATTTATTGACTCAAAAACAAGGATCATTTTATTATCTTTCATGATTTCTGTGGGTCAGGAGTCCAGGAAGGGTTCATCGGAGCAGTTCTGGCTCATGATCTTTCTTGTGGTTGCAGTCAGACAATGGCTGAATTTAGGACTCCGGGGGCCTGAATCACCTAGGGGCTAGTTCAAGATCTCTTTCTTCTCCTAGAATCTCTGGGCCTCTCCATGTGGTCTTGGTTAGTTTGGGATTCCTCACAGCATGGTAGCTTCAGGGCAGATGGATTGCTTATATGGCCAAAGACTTCAAGAATGCATATAATAGTGGCTAAAGCAGAAGTCGAATGGCCTTTAATGAACTAGTCTCAGAAGTTACTTCTGTCATATGCTATTAGTTGAAACACCATAAAACCTTACCAGTTTGAAGGGGACAGTATATATACTGTACCTTTTGATTGGGAAGACTGTCAAAGTCTCATTGTAAGAAGAGCAAGGAATAGAAGATATCCCTACAGCAATCTTTGGAAAATACAATCTACCACACTTAATTTTAACCATGTAGCCTTTCTCTTTCATTGAATGGATATAAATCAGTGATTAGTTCTATGATAAAAGTACTTTTCATGCATGCTCGTTTCAGGATTTAAATATTAACATAAAATGACCATCTTTACTAGAGAGGGCACCAGATGGATTTTCCAAAGGTTGTACTGAAATGAGTAGTAGTTTGATAATCATTTTGATGAATTCTCAAGATTAAATACAGGACCACTTTGTTCTTACTGTTTTCTTTGATCTTCTCAGTGTAAATTTATTTCATATTCTTCAAAACCCCTATTTCTCTATTTCTCTAAACCTATTTTTCATATTGAGCTCCTCTTTGTCTGCTTTCTGTAAGAAATTAAATAATATATCTAAAGAGTTTCTGTCATATGCTAAGTACTCAATAATTATAGCTATTATCGTTAAAGATAATATTAATGATATCATTATAATATACAGCTTTAATTTATATTATATTATATATTTTATATATAAATATATTTATTATATAAATTTATTATCTCCCTCTCTGTTTGTTCCCTAGTGACTCCTTCAGAAGTCAATTCTGAATTCCTAAGCAGGACAGTTTTTTTGCTTTTTGGTTTATATTAATTAAAAACAGAAAAACAAATGATCATGCAGACTTATGTCTTATTACTTCACATTTCTAAAGAATGAACGTTTTTGTGGAGGTTAAGTTTTTTTTTTAAAGTAACTTGTGCTTACTCTTTTAAGTTACAAAGTTTTCTTAATTTTAATCCTTCTCAGTGGAGAAGTTTCCCTCATGTATAACATGCACCTATAAAGTTACCTTAGAGTTCTTCCCTCCTCTATCCTACTTTATGATCTTTACAGTATTGCTGATACCAGAATGTCTATTCCTAAAGGTTCTGGCTTCTTCTCAGAGAAAATGACATAACCAAGTGTGTAAAAATTAAGTCTATGATCAGAGAATATGGTTTATGAATTAAGTGTTCACAGACTCTTGGAGAAGTAGACAATCTTATTTGTACTAGATTTTAAATGGGTAGAATATAACAAAATAAGGATTAAAGTAATAATTATATTTATAATTGACTTAAAATATAATTAGTTATATTTAATAATAATTATTAAATTATGATTATTGTGCCAGTTTTGTGGTTTGAAAATTACTTCTGTATATTTTTTTAATTTGTTCTTAAAAATAGTACTCTAAGGTACAGTTAGCCAACTGGTCATTATAATGTTTAAGTGAAAATATAGAGCTGTTCTGAAATTTAAAAATATTGCTAATATTTCCAACACATAGAGATACCAATTTTAGATTTTTCCTTTTGTTCATTTCTCTATCCACAGATTTTGTTTTGTACGTTGTGATCATACTGAAGACTTAAACAAACTTTCTTTTTAGTAGAAGTATAAATTTTGTCAAAATTAATGTGCCATTATTTACTTTACCATCACTATGTTGAGACACATTTTATTTGTTTCCAAAATTTTACCATCATAACAAAATATGCATGCTCTTCTTTTTGCATAATTATGTTTTTATTTATGTAGAAGAATTTATTTGCAATAGTTTCAAAAGTAAAAATCCTGGGTTAAAAACTATGAACATATTTGTGGGGGAGGGGGACTTCATTAATGTATATTGCGAAACTGGAGCATATATTTTAGATAATCAGTAGGTGACATGTCTAAGATGACAGAGCCAGGAACTTGAATAAAAACAAGATACAAGTATAAGACCTAATTGAAATGTATTCCTTTGGCTCTCTGGACTTTTGTTTGCTTAATTTCATGTCTTCTTTTCATTCCAAATGTTTGAGGTTCTAGAACAAGTGATTTCTGGGAAGTAAGATACTATTTTATAAAACCAACCAACCAACCAACCAACCAACCACATTTGATCTCTTTTAAACAAGGCAATAAGGACTTTCTAATTTTGAGGAGATAAACAACTTGTACTTTCCTTTCTTGTTTACTGATTACACGAGTGGCTTTTTCTGTTACTACCACATTTCTGCGATGAGTTGTTTTTCTAATTACAGCTAGAACCCATCAGAAAATACATTAGAGAAATATCTTGGAGGCATCACCATTTATGTGAAATTGGAGTTAAATTCAACCATAAAGTAGCAAAAGCAGTGTAAGTCACGGATTGAGATACATGAATTTTATTGCTTTTGGATTACCCCATTTGATCAAACTCATGTGAAAAATTATTTTTCTTTTGTTTAATAATGTCTCTCAATGCAAACTTGTTTCCTTTCTCTACACACATGCTATTTGCCCATTTGATAGGACACAGAGAGCTGGGCTTGAGACCACCCAATCCTTCTCTCTACCCACTATCTCCTGCCTCAGTTTCTTCCATCTGGTCAGATCCCTTAGCCTCTGCCTTTAGTGCACAAAAGATTCTGTACATGAAGATGCAGGCACTTAATTGTTCCACATGATAAAGGCTGGAAGACGAAATATTTTCTTTCCTCTGAGAAGATAGGAAAGATTTTTGGCTCCAGTGGAATGCAGAACAGAAAAATTTAGTGGTGTTTTGTAGGTGTTTTGATGGAAGAGTGTGGGGTGAGGAGAATTTGTTTTACTCAGTGTGCCTATTTCCTGGTCCAGATTGTATTTCTGTCCAAGTTTACCTGTGAAGAGACGTATCTTCCCTTATATCACCTCCTTTCCCAATCTGGGACAGCATTGGGCTGCACGGGAGCTTAGTTCTCCTTACAAGGCGCTCTCATTTTTCCTCTTGCCAGAGACATTTTGGGGATGTTGCTCAGTTGTCAATAGGGAGAGGCAAGGGAGACCCAAGACTCTTGTAATCACTGTCTTTATGATGAAGAATTTTACTTGGAAATTCAGGTCAGATAAATTTCCAAGCTATCCATCTAAGCAACTCAGCTTCTTTAAGTGATGACTTCAATGATGAAAATGACTATATTTTGCATGATTATGAATTGAATGGTGTTTGTTTTATGATTTAGATCTTTGTGTGGCTCTGAGTGCTATCATTGAAGAAATAGAAGGCATTTAAAAGTATATATTTAAAATATACTCTCTTCATCCTACATTTGCAAATGTGTTTCTATTATTTTGGTTACTCAATGAACTAGAACTAATTTTAGAAAGGATTGAACTCAAAATATGGTTTAAAATGTACTTATTTTTCTTTTCAGGGAATTGGTTCTGCTGACTAAAAAACAACCGAAAACTAACTTTTCGGAAATTGCCAGACTGGCCGTGTATATTAAAAATCTGCATCAGACATGTTGTGAAGGAGATGTAGTCGCATGTGTACTTGGCAGGGTGAGAGCCCCTCCTTTCTTAAAGTTCACTTCAGGCTTTAAAAAACTTACAATTCTAAAAACTCTAAAATTCTAAACAATAACAACAAGCCTTACAACTCTTAAAGAAAGGTGACCATGATATGTAATGAATCTAAAATGAAGTAATGAGCACTTCTCAATATTACCAGCAGAATTGACAGTAGTGTCTCCCCTCTTCTCTCATCCCAAGTCAGGCAAGGTTTTTTTTTGTTCCTTCCTTCCCTACTTTTCTCCGTCTACTCCTCCATCTCTTCCTCCCCCACTTCCTTTCCTCCTTACTTATCCTGTCCTTCTTCACTTTATTCTGTTACTCTTTAATTTTTAGAGCTGACCTTTAATTTCCTTCGAAATAGGGTGTGTATTTCATTCATCTTTGAATCCCAAGAATTGCAACTGAGAGCCCAGGCCATATCAGCCTGGAGGATAAAAGAAGCATGAAGACAAAGAGGTCGGTCTGGGGTTTGGGGGCACGGACACCATAGAATTCGCCCGCCCCTCGTCCAAGTGTAAAGTCTTCAAATGCCAGAGAAGGAAAAATTGTAACTGTCAAAAATTCAGTGAGGCCTTAGTAAATCACAGATTACAAGTCCTGTTCTTATTCTTTCTGCAAATTAGAACATTGATTAATTTTCATCATGATAAATAAAACCCAGGAACAAAGAGAAACTAGAATCCTAATTTCATGGGGATATCTATGACTCTTATGGACAGGAGCCCCTACCTTCAACTATTTTAGTCCCATTCCATGAAAGATTAAAGGATGTGAGTAACAGTGGAAATTAAAATAGAAAGCCATTGCATAGACGATTCTACAGCCTCAACTATTTACTTTGTAAATGGAATGGAATGGAGCCAGGGTCAGACCACAGGTATTCTTTGGTACCATTGTGGTTGTCAAATCTGTGCCACATTCAGCCCTACTGCTGGGAAAGGTGACAGGAGCCACTGCTACTTTCATCTTGGAGATAGACAATATAATGTTGTTCTTGAGTTACTTTCTGTATGGCAGTAATCCCAACTAGTGCTGGAAGAAACACTACCTTGCATACTTAGAAGGAGTCCTGGCTTTTCAGGACAGGTGATTAGAATGTTATTTGCATGAAGGTTGGGTGAACTTGGGAGTAGAGTTAAAAGAAAGTGGAGGCCTGACAGACGCAACCATAGTTAAGCAAAATAAAACAAAACCTCTAATATCCTTTAAAACATAAATAATACCTATGCCAAACCAGTAACTCCATTTATAGTTCTACATCATGTCAGGAATGCCAGAACAATCTTCAATGATTTCGTTGTATTGGCTAGTATTCACAAACAATATAGATAACTATAAATGATTCTAGTATTCCTGTCTTGGTCCAGACTTTAAGGAAACAGGTTCAAAGTTACTGGCTTGACAGAGGTATTGTTTACATGTTAAGAGATTTTTCACTCTTATTTTAGAGGTTTGGGTTTTTTAAAAAAGATTTTATTTATGTATTTGAGAGAGAGAATGTGCATGTGCATGAGCAACAGGGTAGGGATGGGGGTGGGGGTGGGTAAAGCATGTGAGGGGAGAGAATCTAGAGCAGACTCCACACTAAGCACGGAGCCCAATGAAGGGCTCGATCTCATGGCCCTGAGATCATGACCTGAGCCAAAATCAAGAGTTCCATGCTTAACCAACTGAGCCACCCAGGCATCCTGAGGTTGTTTTGTTTTAATTAGTTTGATTTCTGAACATTAGTAAATGTTTTGTTTTCTTAGGATGGTCATTTGATTTCCATTTAACTTATCCATTGGTGAATTATATTTAAAGATTTCTTAATTTTTAACCATCTTTAGGTTGCTTAAATCAATTTAATTTTGTTATATTTCTGGATTTTACACATATATAATTTTCAAATTTTTGCATTTCTGTTTACATAAAATTGGTCTAGAACTTCCAGTATTTGGTAGTCTAGAACTACCAATACTTTTGGTATTCAGTTATGCTAACTTCCAAAAAGTACACTGTTTTTCCTTTCAAAATCTCTGAAATAACTTCATAGTATTGAGAATTACCTGCTTTGTGAAGGTTTGAAAGAACTTGTCCATGGAACTGGAGCAGGAATGAAGACAGAAACCTGGGTGACAGCTTTTCCATTTCTTTTGCTATAGATTTATTCTGACATTTTTCAGTCGATCCTCACTACTTATTCACTACTTGTGAATTCACCTATTTGTCAAAATTCATTTGTAAGCCCCAAATCAACACTCAGCACTTTGATGGCCATCTGCAGGCTGACCGGTGTGTGCTCAGAGCCGTGAAGAATTGGAGTTGTGTGGTGCCCATAATCCTGGCTGGGGGGGACTACTGACTCAACAGCCCTAGGGGATGCCTTCTTGTTTTAGCTCTCATACTGTAAATAAGTGTCCTTTCTGCAGTCTAGTGCCACATTTTTCACATTTTTTGTGTGTGGTTTTGTGTGTGTGTGTGTGTGTGTGTGTGTGTGTGCGCGCGTGTGTGTGATTTAGCTGTTTGAAATGGCCCTCAAGCATAGTAAGTGCTGAAGGGCTGACTGGGGTTCCAAAACACAAAAAAAAAAGTCATGATGTGCCTTAAGGACAAACTAATGTGTTAGATGTATTAGTTCAACATTGACAAATCATCAATACATATTAAATAAGGGGTATTTAAATAGAAAAACACATAAAACAAGGCTATATCTTGATCTGTTGACAACAAAAATGTGACAGAGGCTTATAGGAAACTAGTCTTGGATTCCCCTTAGAGCTGATGAGTTCATATTCACAAATTCAGTGAATTGATAACTGTTGCGACTAATGAGCATCAATTGTACCATTTTTGGGTCAGGTTTTATAATATACATTTTTAAAATAAAGTTTCTTTTATGAGCATCTTCTCACTTAGGTATTGGGTTCTACATAATATTACTATTGAATAACTAAAAACATCAAGCATATAATTATAGTTCTTTTCTCCATGTAGTTGCGTTTTCACCTTTATTTAGCTTTGCAAAGGTCCTACTTAATGTATTGGTCTTCTCCCAGGGAAAGTTCTTGGACTTATTTACTAATTCTGCTAGGTTTCTGCTTTTAATTTTATTAGCTCTCTCAGGTTTGTGTAGCTGTTTTTATTTCAGTTGTTTGGATTGACTTCTTACTTTTTCTGTACTCATTCTTTTTCAATAACATTGTTAACGAGAATGATTTCAGTTGAACATCATTTCTTTGATACACTATTTTCCAGTTTGTTATTTTATTGATTGTTTTTAAAAATGTTAATTCCAAGATCATCAACATAGTGTCATATTAGCTCCAGGTATACAGTGTAGTGATACAGCGATTCTGTGCATTACCCAATGCTCATCATGATAAGTGCACCTTTTCTACTGTTTATTTTTCATATTGATTTAATTGTCTTTTTATTAGAGTATTTCTCCCAATGCTTTTAGGAATGATACATGGGTTATTTATTACATTTGACCTGTATATCCTAGAAAGTTTTCTATACTTATCACTGCTTATAACATTACATGATGCTTCACAACATCACATCAATTCAAAAAGCAAGTAATCTGTATTGTAGATGTTAATTTTTAATGTTAACTCTATTAAATCACTCAGTCAACATAATTCAATTTTACATTGCAGAGTTCTCTCTCGTTCTTTGACTTCAAAGCACTATTGGACCAACATTTTGGGGTTGTATAATAATTGCTATAGTACAAACTTTTAAAAAACAATTTCTTTGTGCCAACTGCAATTCTAAGCACTTCACTCTTATTCAGAAAACACTTTTTTAGTACTTAACCTGTGCCAGGCTCTTTTTTTTCTTCCTAATAATTATTAATCCATTTAATTCCCACAATCTTAGCAAGTATTATTTTAACCTCATGTTATAGATGAGGAAATTGAAGGAGAAAAGGCTAAGTAGCTTGCCTAGGTCACTCAGTTGGAAGATAGCAGTCAAGACTAGAAATCAAGAAGTCTGACTTCAGATCCAAAGCTGTCAATCACTATACTGGTTTATTTTTCCAGTGATGATTGCAGAAGATGATAGGTGGAGAAAGATTGTATTCTTACAGTTTCTTTCATCAATTTTCTTCCCCCTCTTTTTTTTTTATTGGAGTTCAATTTGCCAACATATAGCATATCACCCAGTGCTCATCCGCCAAGTGCCCCCCTCAGTGCCCATCACCCAGTCACCCCATAACCCCACCCACCTCCCTTTCCACTACCCCTTGTTCACTTCCCAGAGTTAGGAGTCTCTCATGTTCTGTCTCCCTTTCTGATATTTTCACTCATTTTCTCTCCTCTCCCCTTTATTCCCTTTCACTATTTTTTATATTCCCCAAATGAATGAGAACATATAATGTTTGTCCTTCCCCATTGACTCACTTCACTCAGCATAATACCCTCCTGGTCCATCCATGTTGAAGCGAATGGTGGGTATTTGTCGTTTCTAATGGCTGAGTAATATTCCATTGTATACATAAACCACATCTTCTTTATCCATCATCTTTCGATGGACACCGAGGCTCCTTCCACAGTTTGGCTATTGTGGACATGGCTGCTAGAAACATCAGGTGCAGGTGTCCTGGCGTTTCATTGCATCTGAATCTTTGGGGTAAATCCCCAGCAGTGCAATTGCTGGGTGGTAGGGCAGGTCTATTTTTAACTCTTTGAGGAACCTCCACACAGTTTTCCAGAGTGGCTGCACCAGTTCACATTCCCACCAACAGTGCAAGAGGGTTCCCTTTTCTCCACATCCTCTCCAACATTGGTTGTTTCCTGCCATGTTAATTTTCACCATTCTCACTGGTGTGAGGTGGTATCTCATTGTGGTTTGTATTTCCCTGATGGCAAGTGATGCAGAGCATTTTCTCATGTGCATGTTGGCCATGTCTATGTCTTCCTCTGTGAGATTTCTGTTCATGTCTTTTGCACATTTCATGATTGGATTGTTTGTTTCTTTGGTGTTGAGTTTAATAAGTTCTTTATAGATCTTGGATACTAGCCCTTTATCTGATACGTCATTTGCAAATACCTTCTCCCATTCTGTAGGTTGTCTTTTAGTTTTGTTGACTGTTTCTTTTGCTGTGCAGAAGCTTCTTATCATGATGAAGTTCCAATAATTAATTTTTGCTTTTGTTTCTTTTGCTTTCGTGGATGTATCTTGCAAGAAGTTGCTGTGGCCAAGTTCAAAAAGGGTGTTGCCTGTGTTCTCCTCTAGGATTTTGATGGAATCTTGTCTCACATTTAGATCTTTCATCCATTTTGAGTTTATCTTTGTGTCTGGTGCAAGAGAGTGGTCTAGTTTCATTCTTCTGCATGTGGATGTCCAATGTTCCCAGCACCATCTATTGAAGAGACTCTTTTTTCCAGTGGAGAGTCTTTCCTGCTTTTTCAAATGTTAGCTGACCATAGAGAGTTGAGGGCCCATTTCTGGATTCTCTATTCTGTTCCATTGATCTATGTGTCTGTGTTTGTGCCAGTACCACACTGTCTTGATGACCACAGCTTTGTAGGACAACCTGAAATCTGGCATTGTGATGCCCCCGGCTCTGGTTTTCTTTTTCAACATTCCCCTGGCTATTTGGGGTCTTTTCTGATTCCACACAAATCTTAAGATGATTTGTTCCAACTCTCTGAAGAAAGTCCATGGTATTTTGATAGGGATTGCATTAAACATGTAAATTTCCCTGGGTATCCTTAACATTTTCACAATATTAATTCTTCCCATCCATGAGCATGGAATATTTTTGCATCTCTTTGTGTCTTCCTCCATTTCTTTCAGAAGTGTTCTGTAGTTTTTAGGGTATAGATCCTTTACCTCTTTGGTTAGCTTTATTCCTAGGTATCTTATGCTTTTGGGTGCAATTGTAATTGGAACTGAGTCCTTAATTTCTCTTTATTCAGTCTCATTGCTAGTGTACAGAAATGCCATGGATTTCTGGGCATTGATTTTGTATCCTGCCACGCTACCAAATTTCTGTATGAGTTCTAGCAATCTTATGGTGGAGTCTTTTGGGTTTTCTATGTAGAGTATCATTTCATCTGCAAAGAGGGAGAGTTTGACTTCTTATTTGCCAATTTGAATGCCTTTAATGTCTTTTTGTTGTCTTATTGCTGAGGCTAGGACTTCCAGTGCTATGTTGAATAGCAGTGGTGAGAGTGGACATCCCTGTCTTGTTCCTGATCTTCGGGGAAAGGCTCCCAGTGCTTCCCCATTGAGAATGATATTTGCTGTGGGCTTTTTGTAGGTGGCTTTTAAGATGCTGAGGAATGTTCCCTCTATCCCTACACTCTGAAGAGTTTTGATCAGGAATGGATGCAGTATTTTGTTAAATGCTTTCTCTGCATCTAATGAGAGGATCATATGGCTCTTGATTTTTCTCTTGTTGATATGATCATTAATGGCTTTACGAATGTTGAACCAGCCTTGCATCCCAGGGATAAATCCCACTGGGTCATGGTGAATAATCTTCTTAATGTACTGTTGGATCCTATTAGCTAGTATCTTGTTGAGAACCTGTGTTCATCAGGGATATTGGTCTATAATTTTCCTTTTTGGTGTGGTCTTTGTCTGGTTTTGGAAATAAGGTGATGCTGGCCTCATAGAATGAATTTGGAAATACTCCATCTCTTTCTATCTTTCTGAACAGCTTTAGTAGAATAGGTATCATTGCTTCTTTAAATGTTTGATGGAATTCCCCTGGGAAGCCATCTGGCCCTGGACTTTTGTGTCTTGGGAGTTTTTTGATGACTGTTTCAATTTCCTCCCTGGTTATCGGCCTGTTCAGGTTTTCTATTTCTTCCTGTTCCAGTTTTGGTAGCTTATGGTTTTCCAGAAATGTGTCCATTTCTTCTAGATTGCCTAATTTATTGGTGTATAGCTGCTCATATATGTTTTTAAAATCATTTGTAAAAAAAATAAAAAATAAAAAAAGAATAAAATTGTTTGTATTTCCTTGGTATTGGTGGTGATTTCCCCTTTTTCATTCATGATTTTATTAATTTGAGTCTTTTCTCTTTTGTTTTTAACAAAGCTGGCTAATGGTTTATCTCTCTTATTAATTCTTTCAAAGAACCAACTCCTGGTTTTGTTGATCTGTTCCACAGTTCTTCTGGTCTCTATTTCATTGAGTTCTGCTTGAATCTTTATTAACTCTCTTCCTCTGCTGGGTGTAGGTTTTATTTGCTGTTCTTTCTCCAGCTACTTTAGGTGTAAGGTTAGCTTTTGTATTTGAGTTTTTTCCAGTTTTTTGAGGGATGCTTGTATTGCAATGTATTTCCCTCTCAGGACTGCTTTTGCTGTATCCCAAAGATTTTTAACATTTGTATCTTCATTCTCATTAGTTTTCATGAATCTTTTAAATTCTTCTCTAATTTCCTGATTGACCCTTTCATCTTTTAGCAGGATGGTCTTTAACCTCCACGGGTTTGAATTTCTTCCAAATTTCTTCTTGAGATTGAGTTCAAGTTTCAAAGCATTATGGTCTGAAAATATGCAGGGGACAATCCCAATCTTTTGGTATCAGTTAAGACATGATTTGTGACCCAGTATGTGGTCTATTCTGGAGAAAGTTCCATGTGCACTTGAGAAGACTGTGTACTCAGTTGCATTTGGATGTAAAGTTCTGTAAATATCTGTGAAATCCATCTGGTCCAGTGTATCATTTAAAGCTCTCGTTTCTTTTCTTCCCCCTCTTCTACTACCCTTTAAAAATTTGTATTGCCAGGAGTCTGTTCTTGGCCTTTTTCTTTCTTATTTTACACATATAGTCCAAGATGGCTGGCCCTTGGTTTCAAGAGTAGAATTCAGTGGTTCGTCACTTACATACAACACCCAGTGCTCATCACAAGTGCCTCCTTCATGCCCATCACCCATCTACCGCATCCCCTGCCCATCTCCCTTCTAGCAACCCTCAGTTTGTCCTCTATCATTAAGAGTTTGTTTCATGGTTTGCCTCTTTTTCCAGCCTATATTCATCTGTTTCATTTTTTAAATTCCACTGGTGAGTGAAATCATATGTTGTCTTTTTCTGATTGATTTCGCTTAGCATAATACACTCTAACTCCATCCCTGTCTTGCAAGTGGCAAGATTTCATTCTTTTGATGGCTGAGTATTATTCCATTGTATTTATATACCACATCCTCTTTATCCAGTCATCAGTCAATGGACACTTGGGCTGCTTCCATAATTTGGCTATGATAAATACTGCTGCTGTGAACATAGGGGTGCATGTGTCCCTTTGAATTAGTATTTCTGTATTTAAGTAAATATTTAGTAGTGCAGTTTCTGGATCATAAGGTAGTTCTATTTTTAACTTTCTGAGGAAGCTCCAAACTGTTTTCCAGAGTAAGCCCCATCATTTCTCAACTACATTTTCTCAATAACCCCCAAATATCTTATATATCATTTCCCCAAATACATCATATTCTCTCACTTCCAGGATTTTTTATGTATAAAGATGAACAATTTTGGAATATTATTCCTCTTCATTAATTTCCAAGCAACTTTTATTTATCTTTCAGGACTCAAATTGTTTAATATCTACACTCTGACCTCCATCCAGTATGGATTGCCAATCTTTTTCCTTCCAGAATGTCACATATGTGCTTCTCTTACAATTTCCATTATACTGCATTATGATTGTTGTTTACTTATTTGACTCTAATTATATTGTGAGTTTAAGTTTAGAGATTGACTTATTCATACACACATGTACATAATTATTTGTGTATTATTATTTAAATAAATATGTTAAATATGTAAGCTTAATAGTAATATTATAGCAATATATGTGGTAAATTATAGGGACAAAACGTATTCTAAGCTGGAATCCTAAAACAATAGCAACAATAGCAAGACAATAAAACCTTCATTTGTATTTTGTGGAGCTAACCATGGAAACAATAATATCATCTGTCTCCCCTAAGTTGTTTAAGAGATGTTTAAAGAGCTTGTTGACACTTAAGTAAGGTCAAATAGAGAAACCTTTTTTAGAACAAGTCACTATAAATGACCTTTTGGTCTCTCAGTTTGCCAAGGATAAAGCAACACATGATGCCAAGTTTTTCTCTGGCTTTCTAGTAATAACAATAAAGATAAATAAGTTCAGAATGAAGTCATCAAGAATAACTGCTCCTTTTTATGTTTTATAGAGCCAGCTTATGAACTATACCTGTTCTTCACAGTCGATCCCATCCAGTAAAATTGCTCCATGCTGTGCTCTGCCTGTGCCGTTCCAAGGGGAATGCATTATCAACTCAGAAAATGATGATAAACCTGATCTTCCATCCTTGCCCCTCAGCAGATTTACAGAAGATCGATTTGTATGCAAACAATTTTCCGACAAGCAAGACGACTTCTTGCAAGAGTAATACAGATTTTTTGTAAAGTCTTAGTAAGGGAATATTATATTTATGGATTTTTATGGGAAAGATTGAAGACTTGAATGATCAGAGGCTAGCCCATGATGTAAATGAGTAACTACATGGGAATTGTGATCAAGAGGAGATGCTTGATGGAGTCTAACGTGGCAGCTACCTATACAGTTCCAGCCACTCATTAGCATATATGAATGAAGGTTTTGAGTGGTTAGGTCTACTGTATTTTGAAAGAAGCTGGAAGTTGCTTGATCTTTAAATGTTGACAACGAATACAGGAATTTTTAAAAACACAGTATGGGTCAAGCGTTTGCAAACTTTGCCCTAAGGTAGTACCTCACCCCTAGGTAAGGGCTTCAGATTGGTGTGCCTGGAGAGCTCTTCTATTCTAATTAATTTAATCACTACTACCCAAGCCATGGTGTGGCATTTAAAAGACTAGAGAGATGGAATATTAACATCTCAAGTGTCCATTCAGAAATGCATATTAATTCGTGCAAGACAAACTGATTTCGGTATGTAATATTAAAACAATATTGCTGTGTGATTGAAGTATTTCCTAAGTCATTTTGTGAAGCATTATTTGGAGCAATTAAACTCCAACAAAGCATAAGAATCTGAATTTTCCTCAAAGCTCTTTGTAGGATGATTTTAACTGTATTTCTGAAAATACATTTGATACGGCTTATAAAAGTAAATGGCACTGCCTGAACCCACTCATTCCTAAACTTGCATTTGGTACCAGAGAAGTCGATAGGTACAACTTCCTAGTGGAAATCACATTCAGCCATGAGTTAGGAGACTAGAGTTCCAAGTCTAGCTTTGTTGTGCATAAACTTTGGAATGTAGGTCAAGCCACTTAATTTCCTTAGGCTCTTGTGTTCCAACTACTAACTCAGGTGGTTGGATAAGATCCCTTCCAAGATGTCTCTTATGACTCTGTGATTCCTTTGTAAATATTCTAGGGTCCAAATTTCTTGTAACCCAGAAGAATGTGTAGATTATGCTTGGACTACTCAAGCTTGAAAGCTTATCTAGAAAAGGGGAAGATGGCGATTTAATACCTAGCTAGTACTTTCTATCAAAAAATATCTAAAACTTTTATAATCTTGCCTCAAAGATGATTGAAGATGATGTACTCTCATCCAAACACTGGATATTAATTTCTCATAAAAGTAAGTAGTGACCCTGAGCCAGGAACTATCCCCTAATCAGATTGTTCTAATTTCAAGTTCTGAATCGGACACCACTCCTGTCTGATTTTGGAAAAATCATGTAGGTTTATTGATTCCATTTCCTTATCTCAAAATGTAGTCAATAAAACCTCCCTGCCATCCGCCCAAGGTTCCCAAATGCCTAAAATCAGTTAAAATATTGGATAAATTTCATAATAATGATTGGCTTTTGAAAGAAAACTCATGGCTTTTGAATTTTACTGTTTCTAATATGGTTTATGTGGGTACAGGTTTCTTTATGAATATTCAAGAAGACATTCAGAATTGGCAGTTCCGGTGATTTTAAGAGTGGATACAGTATATCAGAATTTATTGGCAAAATGCTGTAAATTAGAAAATCCTCTGGAATGCTATAGCCATGGGGTAAATTCCTTTTTATTTTTTAACTTGTTGCTCATTATCCATTACCAACATAGGAAAAATTCCAGTGCTATTAGTAGTGCCATATTTTGTAAAATAATCGTGCGTATTCTTGCTAAGTGCCAACACTGCACAAGAAGTATGATTTCCATCTAAACCAAAGGCCACATCATCATGCAACTCTGTACATGAGTCATTGTCTTATAGATTCTGTGATTCATGAAACCTTCTCTGTGCGATCTTCTCTTTTAATGGCTGTCTGCTTGGCACTGTAACAGGAAACAAAAAAGCACAGGATATTAGGGTAGGGAAAGGTTGACTATTTCCATTAAGCAGTCCTAGAAACTGTCCCTGTTTCAGGCCAGAAATCATATTGGTCACAGGCAGCAGCTCTGTGATGCATGTGACATGAAGAAAAGCAGGTGACCTTACCTATCTGACCAGAAGATCACTTATCCTTGGATTACCAGGAGCCAGGTGGTTCTGGCTTTTGTTATTCTAAGCAATGGCTTACATATTCACAGAGGGTGGGGTGGTGGTAGAGGATTGAAGGCATCCCTTATCCTGTCTGCGCTCAAGCAGGTTCATCTACCACCTTTCTGTTCCCAGAGAGAAGAATCAATGAAGGTAATTTATTCCCCTGTAAGTGAGCACTCTTGGCAGCCCCAGTAGACCTCCACAATAGTCATTATGATAATAGCACCTTCAGGGACATGGATGTTTAGAGTTCACAAAGTAACTTTACAACCAGTGTCCCATTTTATCCTAACACCAGCCCAGTTACATGGGAAATGCCAGAATTATTAACTGCATTTTATAGATGAGAGTATAGAGTTTTAGAAGGCTTGAAAGACTTGCCCAACATCGCACAGGCAGTAAGGACAAGGCTAAGGGTAAAGTTCAGGCAAACAGTTTGCAAATCTGCTAACATTTTCGCTGTAACAAACACTGGTTAGTAAGATCAGATAGACCAGGTCTTTTAAGTTACGATAACTGATCCTCTTAGTGAAGAGCTAAGCCTGAAAGGTCACTTGTATTTTCCCATTGGAATTTTATGTGTGTGGTTGAAGCACTCTTTGAACTAGCAGTTAGTTCTGAGAATTCCATTTGATTTGCTTCTATGTGTATTTGTGAAGTGTTTTACTAAATAATAATTATTTACATGTTTTTATTAAACTGTGACTTTTTAATATGTATCTGTATTTCTATGCCTATATCTGTATCTTTGTATCTATGCTATTTATGTAAAAAGGCTGTATTACAACCACACACTCTGACCAAACTAGGCCTGTAAACTACTTTTAAGGCTCTCTTTTTGGCTTGATGAATGATGTGCATTATGCTTGTAAAATACACCATTTCAACCCACACATGAGTTTATATCACCAGAAACTAAATATCACTCTTGTGGTGCTTCTTTTCTCCACAAAGTACATGGCCATTCCTGTTTTACAAAAACATGTTTTTCAAGACTTGCGAGATCACTAAGTAAATAAAGCCCTGGGTTTAGGAAAACAGTTACATTGAACCTTTACAGAAGACAGTTTTGCAATCTTACCTCAAGATACGCTGTTACAGTGATAAACACTGAATGTCTTTATTTTCCAGAAAGAGATGTTCCAAAGAGTGATTCGTGAAAGCCATGAGCGTGTAAAAAATCATTGTGATTTACATGAGAAATTAGGAGACGCTTACTTCCATGACAGGTATGCTTTCAAGATACTGCCCGGATTTATACTTGTGAGTTTTTGTTAACTCCTGATGCTGAGAGTTGCTGAGTCTACATCCAACCTTAAAATCTCAGAGGCCAAAGAAAAAATTGAATGAGTAAAAAATTAACCTAGCTATCTTTGTCTTGATGATACAAATGTCCACATAGTCTCAAGTGTTTTTATGTGGCTTTCTAGGCCAGTTTCTGGATTCTGGTCAATATCCAGAGGTTAGGGAACCAAGCAGGCCCTGGCTGCCTTCCTGTACTCTCTTTGGGGTCTTCTCCCTCCCAACTGGACATTTATTTTGGGGTTTCACCTGCAGTTTTAGGGTTGCTTTGTCAGTTTCAAGTCATGTCATATAGTAAATTTAGTATTTTCACCATGGAGGGTAGAGATGAATAGACACCATAACTATTTGCCAGAGAGAATACATGAATCCCTTGTGTGCAGAGAGACTGGTAAGTCTGTTGTCTTTCAAAGATTAATATGCTAAAAACCAAAAACTAGTTTTTAGTCATCTTTAGAGTCTTACTGTAATAGTCTATTTTTTTTAAAGATTTTATTTATTTATTCATGAGAGATACAGAGAGAGAGAGAGAGAAGCAGAGACACAGGCAGAGGCAGAAGCAGGCTTCATGCAGGGAGCCTGATGTGGGACTCGATCCCGGGACTCCAGGATCACGCCCCGGGCCAAAGGCAAGTGCTAAACCGCTGAGCCACCCAGGGATCCCTGTAATAGTCTATTTAGAAGAAAAGTGTTGAGAAAAAATCAATTTGAATACTGTCCCATAAATTGAGCTTAAAATTAAGCTCAATTATTGTCCCATCAGCCAAAGTAAGTCATATGGCCAAACTGAGCCAAGAGGTAGAGAAATAAACTCAGCCTCCTGATTGAAAGATCTGCAAAATATTGTGTCCATTAAAAAAAATACATATTTCTCACAACATGACTTGATTTGGCTAATAAAATGCTAACATTTCGGGAGCAGAAGCTTTAACAACCAAGGCATACTTTCCTATTTTCTCCTTTTCTTCTTACACAATAGCCAGATACATTTGAGATGGTAGCTGATCTATCTGCTTTGGTTCCACAATGATCCAGATAAGCAGAACCACCATGCCAAATTGCACCAGACATGTGGCTTGAGTAAGAGATAAACCTTTGTGTTCTGAAGCCATGCAACAAGGTTGAGGTTTTTGTTATTGTTACAAAACCTAGTGTATTTAAACTAGTACAAAAATTGTGCAGGAATTAAGTGATATTTTAAAATAACAAATAAATACATAAATAAAATTAATGTCCAGAATAATGGGTCCACAAAAAATTATTTTTTCAAACAGAATATTTCGCTTATTACTTCTCTATTGTGTTCAGTTGCTACTGTCTAGTTTAAGGATTAGGTCTATGGTTCTCAAAATTTAGAGTACATCAGAATTACCTGGAGGACTTGTTAAAACACAGCCCTGTCCCCAGAGTTTCTTTTTCAGTAAGTCTGGGATGGGGCCTGAGAATTTGCATTTCTAGTAAGTCCCCAGGGCTGCTGATACTGCTAGTCCATTAGTTACACTCTGAGAACCACTGGATTAGGTTTCCTGTTCATTGGATGTTACAGCTAAATTCTTTCCCCAACTCCACTATAATATAAATGTAATGATTGATTCTGATTGTTTGTTGTCTTCAAACCAGGTCAGTAGAGTCTTTCTCCTTAAAATCTGTCTCCTATCCCTCTATTTCCAGAACCACTCTCCTAGTGCAGGCTATCACCATCTCTCACCTGGATTTCTGGAACGGCCTTCAACTGCTTTTTCCCTCACATCACATCTTGCCCATTTTCACTCAGTTTTTTAAATGGCAACTACTACAAGTATTTTAAGAACAATGCAAATCTGAATCTGTAACTAAGCTTTCTTCCTTTGCCTGTCTCCAGTCCCCTGTCACTACCCCCCTCCGCAAAAAAAAAAAAAAAAAAAAAAAACAAACCACAAAGCCAAAACACAATCACATTCCCACTTTCACGCCCCTTCACCTGACTCACTTTATGTTATTGTTAGATCTTAGCTCACATGCCATTTCCTCCAGGAGGCCTGCCCGACCTCCCTGGGATCAGATTAGATGCCATTCTCTGTGTACCGTCAGTGCCTACAGTACCTGCTATCTCACCCATTAGGGTGTGAGCCCCATGAAAGTAGAGCCTATTTGCTGATTGTTGCTGTCCCCCTATTCCTACACATTATAGACAACCAACACGAGCTTTAATGGCCGTGTATACATTTATTTCTGAAGCTATTTACTAAGTCTGATTTTGTAGCCATACAAATTAGCTCTCATAGTGTCTGTGATAAGTACTTCTTCCCAAAAGGATCATAATAATGAGGAAACTCTAGAATTCTTCATTTTAGGCACATAGTCATTGCCAGGAGTAAAAGAAAATTATTCTTTCAGGCTCATAATCCTTTATACTAAGAAGGCCCCACAACTATCTGCGCAAGAGTTGGTTATGTTCACGAAGAATATGGCAGCTGCTGCCACCAAATGTTGCCCACTTAGAGATGAGCAACAATTTGCCTGCATGGAGGACTTGGTAAGTACGTCCACGACTTCATGTTTGCCTGTTCTTGAAGTCCTAATCTCCAGTAATCAATCTCATGTTTTTGGATGCATCTATGATCTCTCAATAGAGCTTAATATTCCTGTCCCCAGAATAATTTCTTTTAGGCCAGCTCATGCCAATTGTCTTGATTAGCAGCAGAGGTAAGATGGTTACTTCCTTAATGGTGGTGGTGTCAGACTCAATGAGTCTTTGCTTGGATCATACCCCAGGGTCTAATTCTTGGATTTTCAAGCCAACAAAAATGACTTTGTCAACAACTTCAAAGATAATGCTGATTTTAGACTCAGTCATCCTAATCAAATGTATAGAAAAAAAAACCAGACTTCTCATATTTCTCCTTTAAATAACTACCACACTCAGAACATTTCTGACACTAGATGTTTTTCCACACAACGAGCAATTCTCCGTGACACCAGCTGGCTGTCCTACAGTTTAACTCATTCTGACACTATCTACCTGATGATAGTGTCAGATCCCACAGGTTAATGGCTCAGTCCTATAAGACTGCTCCCATTCCACTTCAGATAACAACTGCAAGTTCAGGTTGCTCCCTATGATTCTGACTGGTCAGCTATAAATCTAAGATTCCCATGACCTCATCCTCAGTTCTGATTAATTTGTTAGAGCAGTTCATAAAACTCAGAGGAACACTTGCTTAAATTTACCAGATAAGTAAAACATGTGGTAAAGGAAATAGGTGAACTTCCAAATGAAGAGATACATAAGGTGAGGTCTGGGACCATCCTGAGCACAGAAGCTTCTGTTCCTGCAGCGTTAGGGTGTGTCATTCTCTTAGTATATGGATGGGTTCACCTACCTGGGAGCTCTCCAACACCCATACTGTTGGGATTTTATAAAAGCTTCCTTATGTATACATAATCAATTATTAACTGCATTGCCAGCCCCTCTCCCCTCTCTCTTTTTTTTAAATAAATTAATTTTTATTGGTGTTCAATTTACCAACATACAGAATAACACCCAGTGCCCATCCCGTCAAGTGTCCCCCTCAGAATGGGTGACGGGCCCTCTCCCCTCTCTTACGAATGGGAGGGTGGTACTGAAAATCCAAGCTTCTGATAATGGCTTGCTGACTGAGGTAAAAAATCAAATATTTATATTTTCTATTATCTCACATCAAACTCACAAGTGTTAAATTTATTAGAATAACACCAGTGTGTCCATTTACAATGAGAAATGTCTTTACAATGGCACAATAATTGGGCCTAATAACTAGAGGACACTTCTTCCTGAATCAAAATACTTAGGAAGTTGAATTAGAATATGGTTAGTTGTGCAAATGGAATTAGAAGAAGGGAACGGATAGTCTTAAGGGATATTTCTTCGAGGCTATCCTGAAGAATGAGAAATTATGTCTTCCTCACAACGGAGAACATCCCTCCAGACCCCTGTATGCTCATTTCTCCAAGATGTAGTTCCCAGATCTCTCTCAAGTGGTATTCTTTTAACACTACTGAATTCTTGTTTGGTGACAGATTTCTCTGCCTTATGTTCTTGATAGAACATCTTTCTGCTAAATTTGTCTTTCTTCTGATAAAATAAAATATTTTGATTGAAGATTTTAAAAAAATTTAATCACCTAGCTCTCTCTCCCTTTTATTTTATTATAGATTTTTAAAATCTAGTCATGTCTTCCTTGGGGAACTCTTTCAATTACACTTATGAGTTCCTAAAACCTTATTTTTCTTTCAAAATTTTATTTATTTATTCATGAGAGACACAGAGAGGGAGACAGAGACACAGGCAGAGGGAGAAGCAGGCTACATGCAGAGAGCCCGACGTGGGACTCGATCTCAGGTCTCCAGGATCACACCCTGGGCTGAAGGTGGTGGTAAACCTCTGAGCCACCCGGGCTGCCCCTAAAACCTTATTTTTAAGTGATCTTTTTGGTACATTTAAAAAGGACAAACTCATACATGAAATGTTGATGCTAACTGGTCTCAATTATTTCATCCCCAAATATATAAATGATCAGGAATTTGGGTAGTCATACTTGGAAAGGCATATAGGCAGGCTTGCAGACAGCATCAGGATAAGAATCAGACACACAAGGAGCAAGGCAAGACGACAGTTCTAGAAGAAGACAAGGAAATGAAAGAGATAACTGAAATAGGATCCAAGAATTTCTTACATCATTCATTCATTCATCCATCCATCCATCCATTCATTCATTCAATAAATACTCATCAAGCACCTACCATATGCCAAGTTCTGTGGTGGTTACAGGTATTCATTAAAGAAATAGAAACAAATTGGATTTGAGCTTTTTAGTTTGAACTCCACTCATCAATTTTACATTTGAGTCAAATTAATAGTACTGTTGACTTGAGGCTTGATTTTAATTTAAAAAAGCATAAGAAACTCCTACCTTAAGTCAACACTGGTCTATAAGCTGGACTGGGAAGGAATGTAGAGGTGGAGTCCAAGTGAACTCAGCTTATTTGAGAGGAAGAGGGGGGACAAGTCTGGGAACCAGACTGCATCTGACACTCCTACTTTTTCTCAAACAGTGAAATCTAGGCCAAATTAGTAGAAACCAGAATTTGAGAATGCTTAGGAGTCTTATTCTCTGCGGATTAAAAAAAAGAAAAAGAAAAAAAAATAATTACCAAACCTTATGGCTCTTATTTTAATTCTCTTCTGAGAAAGGCAAAACTAATTCTTGGAGCTTTATGCAGAAGACATGAGGCAGAGCCTATCAATGCTGGTGTGGGCCACTGCTGTGATGACTCCTATGCCTTCAGGAAGCCATGCTTTGATGATCTGCAAGTTGATGGAACTTACATTTCTCCTCCTTTATCCTGTGACCAAGTCATCAGCCTTAAAGAGAACTTGTGCAAAGCTCAGGAGGAGGAATTCCAAACTGAAAAACAAAAGTAAGAATCTTTGTTTAATTTGTTCATTAATTTGTTCTGCCAACAAGGGAGCCGGTATAGAGAACTGTAAACTGGGCCCAGATATAAGTATTATGTAATGAATGGATCAGTTAAATGTTACATTGAAGGTCAACTAGAATTGAGAATATTCTGCAGTTTTGCAATATGGCTATCGTGGGTTGTTTCCTCGGTTAGAACATTTATTGAAGTCTATTGATCAGAAAATATTGACAGAGAAGTATACTAATGTATTTTTCCTAAAATGGGAAATTTAGAACATTTGTAAGTGTGTGTGTATATTACATATACATATATAATGCATATGAAAACATTTCTAAATTAGACAATTTTATGAATATGTTATTATTTTGCAAAGTGTTATTCTGATTTGGTTGCTGTTACCAATACTGAAGCCTAGTGGTCAGAAATGTTGCCAGTAGAATACAATGTCCAGACATTTAAGCAGAGTTTCCCAATATGCAATCTATGTGAAAAGGGCTTCTGGATGAAGTCAGTAATGGAGTATGTAGATTGACTGGAGAGTCTGTTGACCTGGGCCAGCCTCAACCATTCTCAGCTGGGCTTGCTCAAGAGTCAGCTGCTAAGTCAGCTGGGAGCTGGTTGGCCTAAGATGGCCTTGTCTAGGATGCTTTGTCTCTGCTGCACACCATCTTTTTCCCCCCAGAAGGCTAACCCAGGCTTCTTTACGATAGCCCAGAGAAGGTGGATGTGTGGAGGCCTCTTGAGGCCCACGTTTGAGACCATGCATGCAAGGTGGGATAGGGCCAGCCCAGATTAAAGGGGTATAGAATAAGACTTCATTTCTTGATAGGAAGAGTTGGAAAGTCACATTGTAAAGGTCATGAATACAGAGAAAGATGGTCAATGGGTCTATTTTTTATAATCAATCTGCCACATGTGGATCATTAAAGCAGTTGTCAAAACTACAGAAAATTATAAATGGTGGAAAGAGAGGTGATTAACTGGGTCTGAAGTCATCAGAATTGAGGGAGAATAAGACTCTCTCTATGTGGCAGGAATAAGTAGGGATGAAAAATGTTAGAGTTTGATATTATGTACTCAAAGGAGCTATGGCTTTTTAAAAGAGGATGCAGAGGGCAGCCCCGGTGGCACAGCAGTTTGGCGCCGCCTGCATCCTGGGGTGTGATCCCGGAGACCCGGAATTGAGTCCCACTTCGGGCTCCCTGCATGGAGCCTGCTTCTCCCTCTGCCTGTGTCTCTGCCTCTCTCTCTGTGTCTATGAATAAATAAATAAAATCTTTAAAAAATAAAAATAAAAAAATAAAAGAGGATGCAGAGAAGAGAAGCTGGAAGCAGTAGGAGACTTAGATACTAAGGTAAGTGGAGTTCAAGCAAAAAGAGCTCCTCTTGGAAGGTCCTGGGGGAAGCTGTGTCCTCTGGGGAGCCTCATGTTTTCATGTAGAGCAAGACGGAGGAAGAGAAGCTTCAGAAGAGAAGCTGTGGATATAGGGACGTTTTCTTGAGAAAGCCTCAAGTTACAAAAGAGACGGAGGATCAGGAGAGCAGTAGATGGGTCAGATTAGGAATGTACAAATGTCAGTATGATGACAGATGACCTGAGAAGCTCAGATTTCAGACTCTGACTGAGGCTGAGGTGACTGAGGCATCAGGGGCTTGGCTTTAGAAGTAGCAAATCAGCACACCCAACTGTAGGCAGCTGATTTGCCCTTTGCCACTGAGAGCATGAGGTGATTAAGATCTCACAGATGGTTGGCCTTTTTTCCAATTCTCTCCACTCCCGCATAGATGGATTGAACGGAACACTTATTGACAGGTCTTAGAAAAGAGACTACTTGTTTGCTGCTGCAGACCTAAGGACTCCCTTTCTTAGTGGCATCAAATCACCCATCTTTTTATCCCTATTCTGCTCCTGAGCTTGGAGCCAAGATGCTCCCATGGTCCAGGCATTTTCCCCTGGAATGAATTCTGCTTCTGGTGAGTATGATGTTAGAGGCCCCATTTGGAGTTGACCAAAGGTGACTGTTCTAGGAAAAGCCAAAGGGTGAAATTTGGTTTTCCCTGAATCAGCAGCATGCATTGAAAGCACTCCAACCCCCAATGGTGGGTGATTCCTTATAGTGCCCCTGAGCCTGTCCTTAGGAGAAAAAGAAAGCAAGTGAGCTCTAGTCCTCATTGTTCCTTCTCCCTCAGGATCGTTAGAATTGGTAGCCTACTATATTTCTAATTAATTTATTTACTCTACAATATCCACTTGCAGGATCTAAATACTACTCATCCAACAATATCATCTTTCCAAATGAGGCAAAGTTTTTGTTGCCTCTGGAACATCCATTTACTCGTGGGCAGCAAGCACAGGCTGTTGCTTGCTCTGTTTTATCATAGCACTTGCAATTCCTAAGCCAACTGACCCTTGGAATCCTTTCTGCAGTCCCAAGGTGAGCCAACCACAAACTGGATTTTGACACTTCCCAATAAACACCCAAAGACCATTGTTAACATTTAGCTAGCCATTCTTTCGTTAGCTCAGGCTTAATGTGAGAACATAGGAAAATGTGGTCTCTGTCACTTCTATTGTGCAGGTTTGCTTTCTCTTGAGGAAGTTCTCCAGGCATAGGTAGGTACTGCTCTATATATGGCAACTCACCAAATACCACAAATTTATGAGGTAGATAACATTATATGCCATTTTAATTGTAAGGAAACCAAGGCTCAGAAGGCAAGAAGACTTGGTATTAGATCACACAACAGGTAAATAGGTCGTTGAGGTAGAATTTTCACCCAAGCTACCTGGCTCAAGGCACATACGCTATAACTATCAACATATAGCTTCTAGTGTGCCCTAATCAAGGGCTTATAATATTGGTTATAATTTTTAAAACACTGAGTTCTTGGGGCACTTGGGGTCTCAGTAGGTTAAGTGTCCATCTCTTGATTTCAACTCAGGTCGTGATCTCAGGCTTGTGAGATCAAGCCCTCAGTAGGACTCTGTGCTGAGTGTGGAGCCTGCTTAAGATTCTCCCTCCCCCTCCTCCTGCCCCTCCCCTCCTGTTCACATGCATTGTCACTCTCTCTCTCCCTCTCAAAATAAACAAACAAACAAACACTGAGCCCCTAGCTAAAGGCTAAAAAATAAAAAACATGAAATATTAGGAATTATCCTTGTCCTAGTGAATTCACTATATTCTCTGTATGGAGAAAGCAGTAGCATAGAGACAGTTAATGTAGACATTTCTGGAATATTTTGGGAGAACCCATATTGGGAGTCAAGGGCCAAACTGGAAAAAAAAAAAATCCCTGTTACTTCCTGGGATAGTGGCCAGGGGTCTCTACCACTTCCATCCATTTGTAATTTGAGCTGACTTTCACAGCATAAACGCAAAGACAAGCAAAGAAAGAAAACAGTGAAGGGGCTTCTGGAAGAAAAAGAAAACTTCAGCAAGTTAGAAAAGAAGGTAGAAGTTGAGATCATGTAAAAAGACAGAGACAATCAAAAGGAAACGGAAGTTCAAAGCAAAATGATTAAAAATCCAATTAAAAATACTGAGTTGAAATGTGAAGACTTTTCTCTCTCTTTATGTACTTTAGACTAGAATAAAGACTAGAATGACTAGAATGTACTTTAAGTGAAATGTGGGTAAATGTAATGAATATAAAAGATTAATATCATAGAAATGAAAAACTGAAAACAAGTTGATGGTTTCGAATTGAAAATGGGATTTAAGCTTTAAAAAGGTAAATTAAAAATTTTAAGCTATAAAATAGAATTAAGAGAACTATTTTTAAATAACAGCAGTCAGGTTGGTAGGCAGAGAGATCAGGGTGGTGGAAGGAGGAAGTGGGCAGGGGAAGTAAATCACCTGCAAGCAGATCACAAGTGCTTGACAGTTTTTTGGGGAGGAAGTCAAGCTTCTAAGTGGCAGAGACCCCAGTTGTAGAAATGACTGTCTTTATATCTGGAGTTCCAAGAAGAGATAACATGGCATCCTGATACCCCAGCTCTGAATCTCACTTCCACATCATCTGTTTTCCAATAATGGGAAGTGCCTATTTTCACTTGCCTATTCCAGTACAATTGGGGTGTTTCTCCTGGTTTAAATAAGCAGCTGCTTACTGATGTTCTGGAAACCCAGCAGTCTTGCTCGTCTTCCCCCTACCGGTCCCTCTGGGGAAGTGCATTTGGCCACCAGCCCACCCAGCAGGGGGAAAAGGAGAGCAGAGAGATTCAGTGTGACTGAGGTATAAGTGAGAGAAGGGAGAGACACTTTTGGGGTGGGCCTAGAGGGTTTGGGAGAGGCCAAGCCATGAAGGCATTTGGACCCCACTTATAAGTGAGAAAAGAGGAGACTATAGACAGGGGAGCTTTCCTGCCTCTCCCATTAGGTTTCTCTATTACTGTTGAATCTACAGCTCAAATCCTTAGGGAAATTGTAGAGATGCTCATCAATTATTGACTGAATGAGTAAATAAATAAGTAGGAGAAAAGCTGTGACAAGGTACTATTTATTGTGGGAGTCCGAGAAGAAGGAGACTGTGGTTGGAAGCAACTGACAATTTGAAATGGAAGCAAGTTGTGTCATTATTTTATTTTTAGTATTTATTTATTTATTCATGAGAGAGAAAGAGAGAGAGAGAGAGAGGCAGAGACACAGGCAGAGGGAGAAGCGGGCTCCCTGCAGGGGAGGGTTCCCCGGACCTCAGGATCACGCCCTGGGCCGAAGGCAGGTGCTCAACTGCTGACCACCCAGGTGTCCCAAGTTGTGTCATTATTAACTATTCATCATTACTGTTATCTTTGCCATTATTTGTCGCCTTAAGTATGCCAATGACTATACTCTCAATCTTTTAATATCTTATTTTTGGTCCTTAAAAATACCTTGCAATGTAGGTGTTCACATTTTCTTTTCATAGGTAAAGGTCAGAGAGGTTAAGTATCTTCTCCACCCTCACACTAACTCGTTGAACCAAAGTAAGTTTGACTTCAAAATTTGTGCCCTTTTTATGACATTAGAAGGAAAGAAAAGTCCAGATTTTGTGGTAGTAAACTCTGTCCCCTTCCCATGTCAGCGACTGCCCTTTCGGTGCTGAATCCCCTAAGCCAGACCATAAAAAGCCTCAAACGCATGTTTGGAAACAGGGTATTCCCACAGTGTAGGTTACCCATGACAGTTTCTATTGCCTGGGACTTAAGCAATCCTATGCTTTCATGGACTGGATGGTGAATTTCAGCAGCAGGAGTCATATTGTTTTTGTAGGAAAATATTTTCTAAGATAAAATTCGCCAAATTGCAATGGGAAATAGCCCGTGTTTCTCACTTTTACTAATTAGTCTCTTAAAGACATAATTATTATCCAAAGATACTAGAGACTGGTTTGATGATACCATATATAACCATACAGACTCAAATTACATAGAGACACTTAAAAACAAGTACAGCATTTTTTTTTCAAGTGGGATCAAGTTTATGTCTAATCAGAAGATTAAATATGTACAGAACAGTTGAAAAGAAAAAGTAATCCTTATACTATTCTACTTCCTTTTAAAACATCAATTTATGTTATTATTAAAGTAATGCATGATCACTGCAGAAAATTGAGAATATAAAGAAGAGAGAAGAAAATCATGACCCTTTTACTCCACACTGCAGAGGTGCCCATTATAAACATCGGTGTAGTTGTCACATACGTATATGACGTCACATATGTATACAAGCACAATGTCACATACCTGTCCACATGTATGCAATGCCATGTCACATATGTATACCAGTGCACACTCCCACAGTTGCCCTTTGTTAGTCAATGGTTCTAATATTTAATAATACTATTTTTGCACAGTCTTGTGACTACCTGCTCATGCAAAAATTTCAGTTCCAGCAATTATCCCTAGAGTCCTTAGGGGAGAGCTTATGAAACTCCCTTCACCCTCTGTAATTCCCCAAGCTTGCTTTCCCTGGCACCGCTCCTGGGCCGCTGGGAACACTCATGCCCTCCAGGTGCTGCTCTCTCCTGCCCAGCTGCAGACCGGATCCCTTGAAATGACAAAGCTGCATTATGTTTTGTCCTAAAAAGGAAATAGTCCCTTTCCCCTGACCCCAAGATCATACACTTTCAGGGGGTACTAGGGCAGTGCAGTTTGTGTGCGTCTCCATGGTTGGCAGGACTCAAGTGAAAGTTCTCTTTCGGCAATTTTTCTAAGTCATCCTGATCCTATATAACTCAGAAATGAGTCTAATGAAGGCTCAGTTGGGGAACCAAGGAGTCATTCTTGTCTTCTGCTGACCTTTCTTATCAGATGGAAGTCCGTGAGGCTGATTTCTGTCTCAGGAGGAGTCCTCCCGGGTGGTTCCCAATCCTCAGGCATTCTAGGAGGAAGACTGACCTCGCTGGTTTGCTATATACGCCCAGAACTATAATATTCCCAGGAGGTCTGAAATCACCGTTACTAATGTAAAATGGAGATGACATAGAGCCTTATTAAAAAGGTAAAAGACAGTAGTACATGGCATGATATTTATAAATTCTCAGCACATTTCCTGGATCACAGTAAATATCAGTACACTCAAAGGATGTTGGCTTTTGCCATCATTTTCTAATATAGCTTTTAAAAATTATAATGTATACATTTTGGCCACCAATTTTTCTTCAAAATCACATTTAATGGCAATGTAATATTCCACCATCTGGGTACCATAATGAATTTAGCCATTCCTAATTATTGGACGTGAAAATTGTTTTCAATCTCTACCCACTATACATTGTGACAATGAGCACTTTTGCACACGAGTCTTTGTTCCCATATCTGATTTTCTCTCCTATATTCCTAGGACATAAAATTAGAGGCAAACATGGAGGCAGTTAAAATCTCTTTGCTTCTTTCAGCTCTGTCTGGCAGCCAAGGGGCAGCAATTATGTGTTCTTCAAACCAGCCCTGTTTTTGAGGCAGTTTCTGAAAAGAAATCATTAGCTTGTGCTTTCCTAATATTTTTAGTCATTCTGTTGTTTAGCTTTGTCTATCCTCAAGGCAGCGTAGGGGTGTGAGCATTGTGGGTGGTGGGAGAGGGTAGAGTTGAAATGGCAAGTTCAAAGAGGCATGTCCAGTGGGCTACCATGTTAAGTTGGATGTCTTGTTTGTTGTTTAATGGGATCAGCATGCTGTAGACAACTGGGTGTGGCTGTTTTTTAGGTTCTGAGGCACTGCGTCATTGGGCAAGGCTCGAGAGCTTCAGAGGGCCCAGTGTGCTTCACCCATGACTCCAGGTCGCTCCCATGCCTGCCTTCCCTACGGGTGACCATGATCTCTGCTGCCACATGCCTGACCTGATGCCACCTATATGTTGAGGACTTTGCTGTTGGCCATTTATGGGCAGCAAAAGGGGGTGTCAACTTAGTCCAGAAGTCCAATGACTCAGAAAGTGGCTCGGGCCAGCTGCCCACATTGAGACAGCCAGGAGCAGAGGAGGGCGTGTCTGCTGCGGAGAGTGGCACTGACCCCAGGGCATACCTTCTCCCTCAGTGGCTGGTCCCTCTTCTCTATCTTCGCCTGATGATGGACACAAACTGCGCCTGCCACAGGGGCAGCCCACCCCAGACAAGCAGAGGTTTGGAGTGTTCTGTCTCGAGATATAATACATTTATAACATTATACTTCTATAATATCCTTCATTTTGCCTCTCTGCGGGCAAAGCCTAAAATATTTACTGTCTGCAATTTTACTGGACCTCTGGTTTAAATTGTCATAGAAGTAGCTACTTAGGGGATCCCTGGATGGCTCAGCGGTTTAGCACCTGCCTTGGGCTCAGGGTGTGATCCTGGGGTCCCAGGATTGAGTCCCACATCGGGCTCCCTGCATGGGGCCTGCTTCTCCCTCTGCCTTTCTCTCTCTGTGTGTGTCTCTCATGAATAAATAAATAAAATCTTAAAAAAAAAAAAGAAGTAATTACTTAGAGCCTTGAGATATTTTATTTTACACCCATTCAAGGTGGAAATAAGGCCACTGGGTATTATCAATGTGACTTGAAAATGAAGAATATGCAAAGGTTTTTGGTTGAACAGTAAAATGCTGATTAATGTATTGGTTAAATCTGTCTCGGTCTAAACAGTAAAGAGAGAGAGAGAAGATAACACTGGAAGACTTGGAATACTATTTTTTTTTTAAGATTTTATTTATTTATTCATGAGAGACACATAGAAAGGCAGAGACACAGAGACAGGCAGAGGGAGAAGCAGGCCCCATGCAGGGAGCCCAATGTGGGACTCGATCCTGGGACTCCAGGATCATGCCCTGGGCCAAAGGCAGGCGCTAAACTGCTGAGCCACCCAGGGATCCCCAGGAATACTATACTATTAATTAGAGAGACAGAAACCAGGTCACATTTTTGAATATTCAAAGTTGTTGAAACTACAGCTCTGGGGGAAACTCTTCGGTGAAAGAAATCAGAGATGATGATGCCCAAGCCATTATAGTTTCAAGTTAGTTTATTGACCTATCATTAATAACGCCTGTAGGACCCTCAACTTCCAGGTGTGTTATACTTGTAATATTTATTTGGAAGTCAGTTGTTCAGAATAAATGTTCATAACAAATTATTAAAGAGAATCTATTTAATTTACTGTATAATTTATCTATCATCCAATGCAATAAAAATAGAAAACAAAAATATTTACCCTAGTAATAATTGTATAAAATAATTAAATTTAATATATGAAGTATGTAAAAGAGATGTGCTGGAATTAAAGTATGTTGGATAAAACACGGAGATGGAGATGGGCAGTGTGAAATCTGGGGACACATCATGGCATTTTCAGGGCTTCCCAGCTGCAGAGTGGGAGCAACCAGGAGGCATGGGTGGTGTCCAGCTTTAAATCAGTAAGTCAGGTGTGCAAGGTGGCCTTCTAGACTCAGGGACTACTTGTGTTTCTGCCATTCCTTTCTGATTCAGGCTCCTCAGCAATCTCGTGAAGCAGAAACCATACGCGACAGAGATGCAGTTCCAATCAATTATTGCAGATTTTGCCCACCTGGTGGAGAAGTGCTGCCAAGCAGAGACAAGTGAAATGTGTTTCCGAGAAGAGGTACGGTATCTCTGTTTCCTTCTCTGTTCTCTCGGGGTACTTAGGATATACTGAAATTAAAAAACCAATACGGTCTCCATTCCCATTGTGAGTGAATGAGAAGAAAATCATAGTCTGGAAGGCTTGGTGTAATCAATTATATTTGGGTTTCAGATATGTTAATATTTATGTTTAGTTGAGGAAAATAGCAGGGTTTGACACAGGTAGAGATGAATACCAGAGTCATAACCCCAGATGGAGTGGAGATGTACAGGATTGGGGATGCGAGGAGGAAGGATGAACTGAAGACTTTGGTAATTGTAGAGAAATGGTGTCCTTGGAAATGTAGTGAAATTTTAAAGAAATAACAGTTTAAAAACCTTTGGGAAAACTGTAGTTTTGTTCTAGAAATTTATGGGGTCACAATTAGGAATAGTCATCGAATGTAGTGGGGCTTAATGAAGGGACCAGAGAAAAGGGTTTTATTTCCTCAGTGGCCAAAAGATCGTTAGAACAGGGGTTGAAAAAAAAAAAAAAAAAGAACGGGGATTGAAGAACATAGAGAGAAAAGAGCAATGAAGAATATCCATCTATGCTCACCCACCACACTGACTACCCACAGATTGTTTCCTGTAATTAATTTAATTGCATATAGTTGACAAGTAAGTGATTTCATTTTAAGTTGTAGGACTTCAATTCCTAAGAATATCATGATAGGACGTGGCACAGAAAATTCATGTAAATTCACAGAGGGACCCCAGGACGAACTGCTCTCCCAGAGACATGACTTGAAGAGCAGAAACTCAGATATAGTAGATTATAGTATCTGAGTAGAGGAATGCAAAAATGTAGTTAAGAAAAAAAAAATAATAAAGCAGCCTTTATAGAGAAAAGTGGCTGGGGATGGTTTGGACCAGGGTTAAGTCTAGCAGTGGCCCAGGGAAATGTTTTCACAGGAAATAATTTTCATGAATGCCTTAATTACCTTCATGGCTCTTTTTTACCCATTTAGCTAAACTGTACATGTGCTTATGTTAAAAATCATATACCTGTAGTCTAGTCAAGGTTAGGCAAACTGCAGCCCTCAGGCTGCTGGACTCTACTTCCTGTTTATATTAATAAGGTTGCATTGACATACAGTCATGCCCATTTATTTGCATATTGTCTACTGCTGCCTTTCTGTCCACAACAGCTGAATTAAGTAATTGCCAAACTGAATGGCTGTGACAGGGACTGTATTGAACTGCAAAGCCCCAAATGACTCTCAGGCTGCTTACAGAAAAATTTTACTGATTCCCAGACTAGCTGATACACAATCAAAGTAATCACTTATGCTAGAGTCTAGTTATTTATTTTAAAGCCTTCTTGCTTTTTGTAAAGCATTCAGAAAACATGTCTCCACCTGGGTAACAACCCCACAGCCACATGGATCAACACTTTGAAGAAGGGCCTGTGCTTATAACTTGCTCCTGAATAAGAAAACTACTTGCTCAAAATATTATTGGTGAACAGCGTGACAGGAAGATTTCTGTGTCCTTTTTTCCCATGCTTTTCACCCAACAGCAATCTTCAACTTAGTGGTTGAAAAGCCCAACTCTCTTCCCCTTCCTTCTCTATTTTCTTTTAGGATTTCCCCCCAAATTAAAGGAGAAAATAGAAGGTCTCTGGAGGGGCACCTGGGTGGCTCAGTGGTTGAGCGTCTGCCTTTGGCTCTGGTCTTGATCCCGGGGTCCTGGGATTGAGTCCTGCAGGCTCCCGGCAGGGAGCCTTCTCCCTCTGCCTGTGTCTCTGCCTTTCTCTGTGTGTCTCTCATGAATAAATAAGTAGAATCTTAAAAAGAGGAAGAAGAAGCAGCTCTCTGAAGAATGTATCATGTTAATTAAAATTTGCCAGAATTAATTACAGATAATAAAAATGCTTATTATCTGTAATTATGCATTATCTCTAAAGTTTGGTCAAGTTTTCCCTTGTATGCTTATTCTAAGGCAGTGTTTCTGAAATTATAGTGTGCATCAGAATCAATTCCAGAGCTTATTAAAACAAATTCAGAATTTCCCACCTACAATTTCACCACTTGAATCAATAATTCTGGGGTGGGGTCTGATAATTTGCACTTCTAACAAGTTCCTAGGTGCTGCTGATGCTGGCTGGTTTGAGGACCACTTTAAGAATCACATTGCTAAGGTGCAAGCGGCTAATAATCATAAACTCTTCCCCAGTTCCCTCCTCATATTTTCATAGGCCCAACTCTCAGTGTGAAGCTGGTACCAAAGATGGCAGCAGAAATAATGAAACAATTGGAAGATAACATTTATGAAAGAAAGGGAAAGAATTTGAAGGTATTGAATATAAAGATAAAACTAGAACATTTAAAAAATAATCTTGTAGTGTAGCAAAAAATGTGGGAATAGATGATCAAACTATTTTAGAATCTTATCGTCAAGAATTCTTGTCTTTGTGCTTCTATGTTTATGAAAGGAGTCTAGGTTTGACTCTAGTGCAAAGGAATACCTAGATACCCCAGGAACCCCCATGCAACCAAGACCCCAGAAGTGAAAAAGACTCAGTCAATTGGCAGTCTGGGCATGTTCCAAGTTATCTGTAAAAGACTAACTGCTCCAGGGGCCTACAGGCGTTTTCTTTGTTTTTGTTTCTGAGATTATAATAGTCAGTTACGTGAACCTGTTCTGCCTATTAAAAGAGAAAGTGGGCAGGTTTGAAGACTGCCTTTCCTGCTTTGGCTATTGGGAGGATAAAGCATTTTAGACAAGATGGAAAACCTATTTTGAGAAGCAAGCCAAATTCAAAGGAGAAAAAGGGTGAACTAAAGTCAATGTTGGAATGCTGGCAAGAGTAAAACCGAAATATATAAAAGGAGAAAGAAAAGAAGAAACTCAGCTATACAGGGTGAATTCGGATCATCCAAAGAAGAAGCATCTCACATTTCATGAAATAACAACACACACTGTAGACATCAGCAGGTTCAAGGAGAAAATTCAGGTCCAAGGAGGAATTCTCTTTGCCAGGTCAGTGGGAACGATGATTATAGCCTGTGATATTTCTCTATTAGCCAATAGAATATAATACAGAAGAAATTAAACATGAATTAGCAGAAATGTGTGCAGGTTGAAACAATGCTTTGAAAATAATACGTGAAATTTAGCAATGGGGAAAAAAAGCAAGGTTCTACTTTTAGACATGATTTAACACAGGTTCATGTGAAAAGATCTGCTGGCTAAACAGCCTGAACTTAACAACTTGATGGGTCTACTGACCCAGAGCTACTGCAATCTTGGATGTGTTTCCAAAGAAAAAGACAAAGATCAGATTAAGCAACGTGATAACCCCAACCTATGTAAACCAGGTCATTCTTAGTTACTATGCTCAGTTTCTTATAACATTACACAAGCTTTGAAAATCATAGAAGTAATACATGAATATGGTAAAAGCTCAAGCAGAACAGCAGGGTACGTTTCCCATCCCCAAAAGGTAACCAATTTTAAGTTTTCACTTTTAGTTCTCCTAGTGATTACCATCATTGTTTTATTTATTTTTTATTTTTAAAATATTTTATTTATTGATTTGAAAGAGCAAGAATGAGAGAGAGAGAGAGTATGAGCAGGGCAGAGAGGCAGAGGGAGAGGGAGAAACAGATGCCCCACTGAGCAGGGAGCCTGACACGGGGCTGGATCTCAGGCCCCCGGGATCATGACCTGAGCCAAAGGTTGACACGTAACTGCCTGAGCCACCCAGGCACCACCAGCATCACTTTAATAGTTTCTTAAAATATTAACATCACATAATGAATATAGTGTACTTGCACTAACTTCAGGAACCCTATCTGTGAATGCTGTCTTAATCTGTTTAAGAGTGTTTTTAGTCAAAAAAAAAAAGAGTGTTTTTAGTTCTCTTATTAGTTACATGTTATATTTCTTGGCCCTTTAATTCCAGTCAACATCTATTGGTTTTCCAAAACATAGCTAATATGTCTAAACTTGCTTTGACTTCCTTGCAGCTTTTCTTTTTAAAGCTGTATATACCATTACTTCTACATTGTCTGAGTTTATTTATCTGCTTATTAAATGCAAGGTTTTTATGCTTTGTTTGTAAGTTGATGCTAAAAACTGGAAACCATTAAATAGTCTATTTAATTGTGTGTTTATTTGCAATATTATTTACATCAATACCACAAATGGATTGACCAACGGAATGACTTACCATTAAAATCTCTTTCTTACCTACTAAGCTACAGAAAATCATGCCACTTTTATTTAGTCTGGGACATTTGGACTATAATTTCCTAGTATATCCTTCTGTTTTTGAGAGTTACCAATTGTCTTTCTTTTCCTGTGTTGGCAAATAAAGCATCTACTTTCATCACACCACTAAACTGTTTCAGGCTCTTAATAATGCAGTTTTTGTAATAGAATATTCTGTTATCTTAAAAGTAAATTTCAAAAAGTCCTCTGGCTTAATCTTCCAATTGGATCTAGTTATTTCTAGGACTGATTCATGGCTGTCCACATGGGATCTCATTTTAATGTGATCCTGGGTAAATTGAATTATTTCTAAAATACTATGTTTTTTTCTTGGAGTATTTTATGTTTTGCTGGGCTACATTCTTTTTTTTATTGGGGTTCAATTTGCCAACATAGAGCATAATACCCCGTGCTCATCCCACCAAGTGCCCCCCTCAGTGCCCATCACCCAGTCACCCCGACCCCCTGCCCACCTCCCCTTCCACTACCCCTTGTTCGTTTCCTAGAGTTAGGAGTCTCTCATGTTCTGTCTCCCTTTCTGATATTTCCCATTTATTTTTTCTCTTTTCCCCTTTATTCCCATTCACTATTATTTATATTCCCCAAATGAATGAGACCATATAATGTTTGTCCTTCTCCAACTGACTTATTTCACTCAGCATCATACCCTCCAGTTCTACCCACGTTGAAGCAAATGGTGAGTATTTGTCGTTTCTAATGGCTGAGGAATATTCCATTGTATACATAGACCACAGCTTCTTTATCCATTCATCTTTCGATGGACACCGAGGCTCCTTCCACAGTTTGGCTATTGTGGACATTGCTGCTAGAAACATCGGGGTGCAGGTGTCCCGGTGTTTCACTGCATCTGTATCTTTGGGGTAAATCCCCAGCAGTGCAATTGCTGGGTCTTAGGGCAGGTCTATTTTTAACTCTTTGAGGAACCTCCACACAGTTTTCCAGAGTGGCTGCACCAGTTCACATTCCCACCAACAGCGCAAGAGGGTTCCCTTTTCTCCGCATCCTCTCCAACATTTGTTGTTTCCTGCCTTGTTAATGTTCCCCATTCTCACTGGTGTGAGGTGGGATCTCATTGTGGTTTGGATTTGTATTTCCCTGATGGCAAGTGATGCGGAGCATTTTCTCATGTGCATGTTGGCCATGTCTGTGTCTTCCTCTGTGAGATTTCTCTTCATGTCTTTTGCCCATTTCATGATTGGATTGTTTGTTTCTTTGCTGTTAAGTTTAATAAGTTCCTTATACATCTTGGATACTAGCCCTTTATCTGATACGTCATTTGCAGATATCTTCTCCTATACTGTAGGTTGTCTTTTAGTTTTGTTGACTGTTTCTTTTGCTGTGCAGAAGCTTCTTATCTTGATGAAGTCCCAAAAATTAATTTTTGCTTTTGTTTCCCCTGCCTTCATGGTGTATCTTGCAAGAAGTTGCTACGGCCAAGTTCAAAAAGGGTGTTGCCTGTGTTCTCCTCTAGGATTTTGATGGATTCTTGTCTCACATTTAGATTTTTCAACCATTTTGAGTTTATCTTTTTGTATGGTGCAAGAGAGTGGTCTAGTTTCATTCTTCTGCATGTGGATGTCCAATTTTCCCAGCACCATTTATTGAAGAGACTGTCTTTCTTCCAGTGGATCGTCTTTTCCTGCTTTGTCGAATATTAGTTGACCATAAAGTTGAGGGCCCACTTCTGGGTTCTCTATTCTGTTCCATTGATCTATGTGTCTGTTTTTGTGCCAGTACCACACTGTCTTGATGACCACAGCTTTGTAGTACAACCTGAAATCTGGCATTGTGATGCCCCCAGCTATGGTTTTCTTTTTTAAGATTCCCCTGGCTATTCGGGGTCTTTTCTGACTCCATACAAATCTTAAAATAATTTGTTCTAACTCTCTGAAGAAAGTCCATGGTATTTTGATAGGGATTGCATTAAACGTGTAAATTGCCCTGGGTGACATGGACATTTTCACAATATTAATTCTGCCAATCCAGGAGCATGGAATATTTTTCCATCTCTTTGTGTCTTCCTCAATTTCTTTCAGAAGTGTTCTATAGTTTTTAGGGTATAGATCCTTTACCTCTTTGGTTAGGTTTATTCCTAGGTATCTTATGCTTTTGGGTGCAATTGTAAATGGGATTGACTCCTTAATTTCTCTTTCTTCAGTCTCATTGTTAGTGTACAGAAATGCCACTGATTATGGACATTGATTTTGTATCCTGTGCTGGGCTACGTTCTTTTTTCTTTTTTTTAAGATTTTATTTATTTATTCATGAGAGACACAGAGAGGGAGGCAGAGACACAGTCAGAGGGAGAAGCAGGCTCCATGCAGGGAGCTTGATGTGGGACTTGATCCCCAGACTCCAGGATCACACCCTGGGCTGAAGGCGGCGCTAAACCTCTGAGCCACCCGGGCTGCCCATGGGCTACATTCTTAACATATACGTGCACATGTATGTTTGTGTTATTTCCGAATGGGCACTTGGGAGATAAACTTTCTGAGACCTTGCATTTTAAAATATTATTTTGTTTATATATTTGCACAGCGCTTTTGCTGAATAGGGATTCTTTAGGTGTAAATCATGGGCTCAAATTCTGGCTAAGTAAAGATTAGTTTATTGAAAGGATAGTGGTGGCTGCCGGAATCTTTAGGATGTTTGAAAAGCAGGCTGGGCAGCAGGCAAGAAGCATAAGCAACTAAAAAATCAGTGACTTTCTGCTCTTTTACTGCTATGACATATCACCATTTTATTATTCTGAGCTCCTATTTTTGTACTTTGAAATATTGGTCAATGTCATACTGATGACTTTCTCTTTTTTCTTTTTCTAGCAGTTCATCAATATCTGTTACATTGATTTTTTTCTTTTTAGTATCAATAAGGCTTTCTTCTTTTTTTATATAACAATTTTACCATTATTGCACTGGGATTTTGGAAGAGATGAGAGTCAATACATTTTATAAGGACAGTGGTGAATTGTTATGTCCAGAGAGTATCTAGAATGAAATAAGTATTGAAAAGCATGTCAAAGGGATATGGAGAAATGGGTAATATTTATTCCAAAATCTTAGGATGGGTGACATGGCAACAGTCTATCAACATGTCCAGGATTATAAGAAATCAGAGTGACTAATTTGGGGTCTGTGTAAGGAAAATGTTTCCTCTTTCTTTTCTGTGCTCTCTGCATTCCATCATGTGAGTTCATGTTTTCTAGTTCAAAGTCTTGCTTGGGCTTTGCCTCAAGATATAGAGTTATCATCCCTTATTTCATGCAGAACATTTCTCATTATTATAGTTGTTCCTCAGATGCCTTTCTTCTACCCTACCTTTACCAGAAACTTCCCCCTTGCCCTCACATTTGTTATCATTACAAATTAGAAATTTACTGAGGAATTATGGAATAAATAAAGTCAGGAAGGACGGATGTGGAGAAATATGACTTACACTACTATTGTTAGGTTCAGAGCCAATGAACAAGATTAAGTGTGAGGGTCTTGAGGTTAAGCTTATTGGAAAACTTTCCATGAAGATGGATTTTTAAAAGTCATGGTGACCAAAAAAACAAGGATACCTTAAAGTTCACAGCTATTTTTAAAAGCAAACTTAAAAAGATTCCAGTCTCTAGATTATTTAGATGTGGTACTGTTTGAGGGTTGGAAGAAGGACTAAATTAATAGACTTCTAACCATGTCCCACAGGGTGCTGGGAGCTCTTAGGAGTGCAAGTCATCTATCACCTAGCGTGTGTGTGTGTGTATGTATGTGTGTGTGCAGGTGTATGTGTATGTGCTAATCTTAGCAGTGGAGTTCTGGGGCTCCCATTCTCACTTCACTAAAGATGAAATAACTTTCATTGATCTCTGTGGGCTTCCACAAATGACTTTTACTTGAATAAAGACTATATGGTAAAAATTGGGGGAAACTGATGGGCTTAACATAGAGGCCAATACCAATATATATGAAGGCAGTAGAGACACTCTGATCAATGTTAGTGGTTTTGTTCCTCTTGAGTTCTTGCACTTGATTATACAATGATTTAGTGTGGGATTAGCCTTGGGAAGTTTTAAAATGCAAAGAGAAACTGATATAGATTGTTTTTACCCTGTAGCAAAAGAGTCCCATATTTTTGTGAGGAAAATCCACATTTTAAAATTCTAAATCTGAGGTCCTGGGCATAGAAGAGGTATTGCAGTTAGTTAAATCCTTAAGGTCAAAGACTAGGCCATGAGAAATCCTAAGACCTTAACCCACGGGCATGTTAAAGCCACTTTCAGGCATATAACAGGTAAGTCTTAAAGATTTTCTATTTGGGGATCATAGATGTTCAGGTGTTTTGTTTTGTTTTGTTTTTCTCTTTCTTACAGATGTACTTATTTGCTTTTTTCCCCCCCCAGGGATCCAAACTGATTGAAAAGTGCCAGTCTCTCTTGGGAGGCAAATGATCCCAGAAAAATGTCAATATAGAGTCTTTGCTGAGATCTGCCTTTTGTTTTTCATGAGTAATGAAACTACAAATCAACAGCATCATTTTTCAGCTACTCACAATGTTTCTCAGGATACTAGCCTGGGCTTCACTAAACCCTCTTCTACTTAGCAGAGAAATCTCTGTATTGTAATCCTCATACAACCAGCTTACCTGCTTCCTTTCTCTCATAAGCTCTCAGCTTCTCAAAAGCAGCACCAGAAATAGGAAATCAAGGGACCTTTCAAAACCTCAGGTAGATGCAATGGGCTGCCACATCTGGCTGGGAGCTGGCTTCTGGGTTTCTAGAGTGAAAAAGACCCCAGTGCAGCTTTGAAGCTTCTGTCGATAGCACTGCAGAAAATGATTATTGATTAACCGAATTGAATGTGCTTTATAATAAGTTACCTTTATAACGGCTTTGACTTTTTTTTTTAAGAAGTATGGAAGTGGGAAGGTATTTGGAACCACTTACAACATTTATTCATCCAACAGATTTTTAGTGGGTATCTGCTGTGAACAAGGCACTGTTCTAGGAGCTTGTGACCAAACAGAACAGAACAAAATCCCTATATTCATAAAGTTTACCTTCTGGTGCAGCTTGGTGAAAACATATGTCTCTTCTTCTTTTTCTCTCTCTTTCTTTCCTATCAGTTAGTCTTGAACGAATCAGGACTTTGCCTCATCCCTTTGGCATTGAACACATTATGAAATCAAGAAAATATTTAACATTCTGTTTGCCAAGAGTCTTTGTGTTAATAGAAAAGCTCCAAAAGGTCATGACTGAGGTGAGGAATAGGTCCTATTGGCCGTGCATTGTCTCCTACATGCTGGGTAAGTCTGCTTTTGTAACAACCAATGTCCTAAGACATGTAACTAGACGTAACTTCTGGCTTGTTGTTGTCACTGGCTGCAGTAATAGCAATTAGCATGGCGCTGTGTGCCAGATATTATTGTAAGTTTTTCCCTGTAAAAACTTATTTGATCCTCGTAACTCATAATAATCTAATGAGGCAGGTACTATTATTAACCTTCTCATCCTACAGACCAACACAATGAGCGCAAAGAGGTTAAGTAGCTTGCCCTAGTATTTACAGGTGCTTTGGAACTAGAATTCAAAGCTCAAGTTAATAAATTTAAGGGCTCCTGGGTTCCACTGTCAGCATCACATATATAGGGTAAAGATAAAAGGTGGAGGGATGGGAAAAATGGGTTGAGGAGGTTGGAGGTGAATTTAAAAATTTAAGAAGAGAGCACACATACAAAAAGGAGTTTACAAATATATATTAGGGAAAAGAGATGTGAGAGAAAGAATCAACGGACAGTAGAGAATGTGAAATTGAATGAACATGTGAGGAATTCTTCCAAGGCTGAGGCTTTAGCTGCAGAGTCAATGGTTAACTGGAGACAACCTAGATATTTGGTTAACTATTCACAGAAAGTCTTCTCAACACTGTGAAAAGAATATCACCACAATTAGCAGTGAGTGCTTCAGGAGGATTTCTCTGGCACTGAGTTTTCAGATAATGATGTTCTCTGACACGACAAAGTAGCCCTAATGCACTAGTGAAGAGCCCAGTTGCTGGAGATGGATGGTCTAGATTTGAGTTCTGCCCCGACTCACCATCGTATCCTTATCCTTGTTGAGATCTTGTTGCCCCCAACTACTTAATTTTTGTCTTAAAACTAGCCAAACCAAATCACTCACCGTCCCCTAAAACACCTCACACAGCACCACATCTCTATCTGTTCAAACCCTGCCCAGTTTCTAGTCTTTGACCAGGGCCACTTCTTCCGTGACTTTCCCTGGTGTCTATTATGACAGTGTGTGATCTTAGACTCCTGTGCATCACATCACCAGTCAGCTCTGCTCTTGTGACACCAGAAGTTTGAAATCTGCCCAGTGTTATAATTCCTTATGTGTTTGTCTCTTGTTTAAATCCATTAGTTATCTGATTTTAGTACATTCATACCATGCTCTGTAGCACCTAGCAATGTATGAAATACAATAGAAACTTAACAAATGTCTTTTGGAATCTAATTTGCTAATGTATAAAAACATGTCAAAATAAGTGGAGTGCAGCTAAGATACCTTTTATGTGTAAAGTATTAGTCCTATAACTTCCACAACTGTCCACTGAAGTAGGTACTTCTATTCCCATTTTACAAATGAGGACACATAAGGAATGCCAGATTGAGGGAATACGGTTTAGGGTGAGATCCTAGATTATAGCAGTTAAGAGAGAGAACTCTGGAGCATAATTCAAATCTTACCTAGCTCTTCTGCTAAAGACTTTAGCAAATCTCCTAACCTCTCCATGGCTTGCTCTCTTCTTCATCTATAAAATTGGGTTGAAAGGGTAATTTCTTCGTGGGACTATAATAAACACTAAATCAGCTAATATATATAAACCTTAAAGCATACTTGGCAAATGGCAAGTATTATTAGTGTAATATGAAATTGCTGCTTTTGTAGGTTAAATTGACAATTTCAGATGGCTCAGCCTAATAGGTGTTAGCTATTATTATTTAAAAGACCAATGGACGCCATTGAGGGTTTTGTTCTAATTGCCTCTTATTCCTTTCTTTCCTTTCACACGTAGATAGAGAGCAACGTAACAGTTACACCTGCCATCCTTTCCACCTCATCAACTGCCTTGAAAATGGACTTCTTTCTCCTTCGTTTCCTGAAACCAGTGTGAACAGCCCTAAACAAAATTCCATAGCAACACTGCCTTACTGTTTCATATAGCCAAGAGATAATGTATTTATATATTTCAGGTAGCCAAGAGATAATATATTTACATACTTCATATAGCCAAGAGATAATAAAATATACAACCAAATTCAGGGAAACCATATAGTAAAGATTCTACGTTTCTTTAGCTACTGAGTCAGATTTGTGAAAAGGAGGTTTATATACAGGAGGTTTTTAGAAAAAAATATTTCATGTAACTCATTCACTCATTCTTTTACTCACTGATTCACTAAGTCACTAAGTCTTTTATTCAACTGATTTATATCAAGCACATCCTATACACAAGACAATATTAGGCAGAGTGAAGCATACAAAGATGAATGCAAAAAGTCCTCTATCATTAATAAGTATAACATGATCTGGGATTGAATTTGAACTAATATGTAACTGGTAGTGAAATATTTGAGCTACCTAGAACAAGGATAAAGAGTTGTATGACAAAAGTTAATATTTTTATATTATGCAAAGATGCCTCTGAACAGATTTTTGTCTGTTACCTATTGCTATGTAACAAATTACCCTAAAATTTAGCAGCATACTACAAGAAACATTTCTTTTCTCATATGTTTTCTGAGGATCAGGAATCCAGGAGTGGGTTAGCTAGATTTTCTGGCTCAGGGTCTCTCACGAGGTTGTAATCAAACTGTTAGGGCTGTTATCTGAAGGCTTAATGGGGGCCAGTACACGGCCCACTCATCTGGCTTTGGACGGGAGACCTCAGTTGTTGCTGACTTTAGCAAAGGTCTCTGTTCCCATCATGCAGGCCTTTCTCCAGTGCTGCCCCCCTCATGGCAGTTGGCTTCCCCCAGAGCCCGTGATCCAAGAGAGTAAGCAAGGAGGATGCCACAGTGTTATATGACCTAGCCCCAGAATCACACACTGTCCCTTCTGCTTTCTTCTATTCATTAGGATTGAGTCACTAGGTCTGGGCCATGTACAAGGTGACTTCTAGGCCCAATGTCTTTATGAATATATTTTAAAACTACCATGGAAGTGAAGTTAATGTCTTATTTAAAAATTTGATATAGCAAAAAAAATAAAAAATAAAATAAAAATAAAATAAAATAAAAAAATAAAAATTTGATATTTCTGCATCTACTGGAACTCTGTGCTTGCATGTTCTTGCTACTTTTTGTTGGTAGCTTTCATATTTTTAAAAGATTTTATTTATTTCTTTTAGAGACAGAGAAAGCATGAGCATGGGGGGGAGAGCAGAGGGAAAGGGAGAGGGAAGGAAAAAGAATCTCAAGCTGACTCTGCACTGAGTACAGAGCCCAATGTGGGGCTCAATCTTACTTACGACCCTGAGATCATGACCTGAGCCGAAACAGAGTCAGACCCTTAACCAACTGAGCCATCCAGTTCCCCCATTGGTAACTCTCTGATCACAACTTTTCCATTTCCTAATTTAAAAGTAACATGTGTTTATTATAGAATATTTAATAAGCATGGGAAAATAAGAAATGATTTACCCATAATTCTATAGCCCATATATAATCACATTTAATGTTTTCTGGTTTGTGTGTCGACACAAATATTAGTGTATACACACACACACACATATTTTACGGCTAAGAGATATTTTGAATTTTTGTATGTATATTCTTACTTAGATATGTAAGCATTTTCTTCTATATTTAAAGTTAATTTGGAAACATAATTCTAGTGGCTGCATACCATTTCTATGAGTAAATGTTCTTTTCCTTCTTTAATTATTTTTTTCTATTTTTGATCATTTAAGCTATTTACTTTCTTTTACCACAATAGCAATATAATAAATATCTTTCATAATGTCTTTGTATGGCTCATTATTTCAATATAAGATCCTGTAAGTTAAATTATAGGATGAACTTACTACTGAATTGCTTTCAAGAAAAGTTAATATCCATTCCTATTTCTACCAGTAGTCTGAGTGACCATCTCATTGTAATTTGTTGAGTATTTAATATCACTTCTTAATCTTTGCTAATAGACCAAAAAGTGCATTTTCCTTTTCTTTTTTATTTATTTATATTTTATTTTATTTTATATTTTATATTTTATTTTATTTTATTATTTTATTTCATTTCATTTCATTTCATTTCATTTCATTTCATTTCATTTCATTTCATTTTATTTTATTTTATTTTATTTTATTTTATTTTATTTTATTTTATTTTATTTTATTTTATTTTATTTATTTTATTTTATTTTATTTTATTTTATTTTATTGACATCTCAGGTATTTTATTGACTCTCGGCTCCAAATTCACTGTTGGTTCTGTAAAAATGGTCGTGGAACCTTTTAAAGGTTTTTTCCTTTGCATTTTGCGTGATGTCATGCTTCGTCAGCAGAGGGCGGTGAAGAAACATTGTAGGAGAAAGTCTGGTCTCCTGATTCCGGGCGGATGGCCAAGACTTCTGGGCCTGGGCTTCCCTCCACTGCTTTGCCCAGGGTGCTTTCTCCAGGGCTGACTGCCTGTAGGGTGCAGCTCTCTTTCCCCTTTGTTCCCTCAACCCCTTCCCCACTTGCGGTGACATAGCCTGGAGCTGAGTACAGGTCTGTGCCCTGGTGCCAAATCACTGCTCCCCACTCCAGCTTCTCAATTCAGGGCTTGCTTACAGAGAGGCCTGCCCCAACCCCACCCCGGGATGGCCATCTGGGAAGCCACTTGCCCAGACTCTGCGCCACACAGCTTCGAAGACCCTTTGCCCAGTTCATGCCCAGAGTTGTCCTGGGTTCCTGCAAAGGGTCCCTTGAGCCCCTAGTCCAGGCGCACCTGCAGCAGTACCCTCTATGCTTTCTTTGTGCCCCCAGACTTCCGGCAGACCTCCGGACACAGACACTCTGTGATCTGGGCCTGGGGCCTTCAGAGAATCCCCAAGGCCCTCTGCACACTTGCCCACTTCCCCCAAAGGGTGTTCTCGTTCGACCTACGACTGTGGTGCTGGCAACCAGCAAACTGCTCCACCACCCATGGGCTGCACCCACAGCCTCTCCAGGGAACTTCAAACCTCTGATTCCAAACTTGCCCTTTTTGGGGTACTCTTCCCCAGCCTTGGTGTACCCTTTATCACTCTCTTTCTTACTATTCACCTATCATCACAGCTTAATTCTTTATATTAAACCTCTGCTTAAATTACTGTGCTTCTGTCTCCTTATTGGACACAAAATAGTGAGGTTGATCACCGGTAAGATACAAGTCCCCCTCCCGCACTTGGTAGCTATTGGAATTTCCTCTCCTGTGATTTTAATTTTTATGTGGTTTCTTTTTTTTTTTTTTCTCCTATCCACATCCTGGTATTTTTCTTACACATCTTGTAGACTTTGTATTAATGATTAATCTGTCATTTATGGCAGGTGCCTGATACTACTTAAATTTTTTTGTAAGCACACCGAATTTTAACTATTTCATTTGCCCAATTTTGGCAAGATGAGACCATTTTCTTATTAACTGATAGCTGGAGAGATAATGAAGCAAGCCTCTATTTTCCTCAAACGATTTCCTTTCCTAGGACTTACCGATCATAACACACTTTTACTTTCATCCAGTTTAGGTTTTGGTTTCAGTGACACTAGGAAGTAATACCTTGGTCTTAAAAATGTTTTGCATTTTTATTTTGATAATTAGTCTTCCAACTTGGGCTTATTACATACAACCCTTATCCCTTAGTACATGCAACGTATCCAAACAATTTAATACAACGCTTTTGAGGAATACAAATGAAAGTAGCTTAGAGAATGGAACAGTGTTGCATAAAACTCCAATCTAACATAGAGTTCATAAATAAAATCAGAGATGATACTTGTGGCATTCTCAGTGGTTTTATTTTTTGTTTGTTTTCCAATTGGTTTTAGCAGACTTTCAAGTAACTCATACCGTGGAATGAGTTGTCTTGGATAAAAAGAGCAGAGCTCCAGATTCCTTGCCTGCCATCAGCTACAAGTTTTGCATTATCCTTCGTTTTCATTCGGCAACAAACGGTTACTGTGGGCCAAATCTCGTCCTAGCTGATTAAATATATGAGGTGTCTGTGGTAGACTTGTTTGGAAAAATAAAACTAATTCAACTGACTTTAAAAAAAAATGCTCAAGAATACTTTGGAAGTCATGAGTAGAAAGAGTGAGGGAAAGGAGGTTCAGGTTGAGAAAATTGCCAATTCGGATTTCTTAAGAGTCCATAATCTTTTCCAACCCAAAGGACCACTAGCTCTGATGTTACAAATGGCCCAAAGTCATGGACTATAAAGAGACAGTCCTGGATTTCTCAAAGATGCTAGAGCTTTCAGGGAGCTGTGAAACACTCTTACCATGCAGTTCCTTGGTAGGGTAAGAATATGCCTCTGTATCTGCAGAGCTGGCTGCTTTTACTTCTGAATCATGTCCGATAATCAGTCGATGACATTTTAGTTCTCCTGACGGTTCAAGCTAAAAGAAGTTTAGGGCACTTGACATCTGAAGACACCGTTTAGATTCGAGTTCATTGAGTGTTTTAAAGCATTTGGAATACACAGTATCCAAGCTTGTTCCAGTTACTGAAACTAAATTCAAGCCCCTTTCAGTGCAGCTATGAACCCTAGCTAAGCTCATCACTTCAAAGACAGACAGGCTTCTTCAACATTAAATTGCCTACAAATCCAAGTTCATATGTATTCGAGTATCGAATGCGCGCACTCGTCAACTAGTAATATCCCTCTGATTTTGTTGAAGTGTTTCAGCAATTGCAGGCTGTACTGCTAAACCGTTGTTTCGGTTTTTACTGCCCGTTTACTCTGAAGACATTTCAGTATAATAGCCTTTTCTGTACTGAATCTGAAAATGAGAAGGAGAAAAAGAGTTATTAAAAATTGAACACAAAAAAAATAAAATAAAAATTGAACACATTTGAGTGCACCGGACCTCTTAAAGGAATGGGTGCCCAGCATGCATGCTCCTGACTTACTTGGCTATTGTTCTTTGGATCTCTTTCTTTTCTTCTTCATTTAATCTTTGAAGGATGGATTCCAGGAGAGAAAAATGAAAGTTAATGTACTGAGCTACCTGGAAAAGGAAAACACAAAATGAGACAAAAAAGAGAGCAGGTTCTGTGAAAGGTGCCAAGTCAAGAGGAAGCAAAGACAGATTCAGGGTAACAATATCCATACATCACTGCTAATTTCTTCTGCATCTTTATCCATGAGGAAAATGCGAGCATTCTCTTTGGAAGGTCCTTGTAGGAGCCTATGCAGTAGTGGGACATCTGTCTTCTTTAGCCGTTTCCGCTCTGCAAAGGAAAACAAGAATCATCTATAGTCAGGAGTCCATCCTAGAGAAAGAGAAGAAATGTAAGTCACCCATTCATTTTCTCTCTAGCTCACATTGGAAGAAGACCGAAAAATTATTCATTTTATCAGAATGAAGCATGAACAGAACATACAACAGGAGGCACTCATCCAAATGAGTAGATTAAAATTGAAACCTTTCCAAAAAAAAGTACAAATGGACTTCTTTCTCTTGCTATCTCTTAAATTTGATTTGTATCTCATAGAATTCATCCTTACCTTTGATTTGGATGTTCAGATATATCCCCAGTCCCATTTATGCTTTTATCAAGTAACACTCCCATAAAACTCTTTTTTTTAATGATTTTATTTATTTATTCACGAGAGACACAGAGAGAGAGGCAGAGACACAGACCAAGGGAGAAGCAGGCTCCATGCAGGGAGCCTGACATGGGACTCGATCCTGGGTCTCCAGGATCACACCCCAGGCTGAAGGCAACACTAAACCACTGGGCCACTGGGGCTGCCCCCAAAAAATTCTTAATAATTTTTCATTCATTCAACAAATTTTTATTGATTCTTTCCTAGTTCAGTTACTGTGTTTCCATATTCCCAGTTGTTCAGGTCCAAAATTTTGTAATTATCTTCAAAGGTTCCTCTGTTTCTCATTCCAATGCAATCCTTGGGTCTTTCTTAAACATATACTCATAATGTTTCACATCACAGATATTTTTATCATTTCATTTATCTGAGGGCTTCATCCATTCAGCCATAATAATGAAATGAGAAAGAAAATAACTTCCAATCTGGTGTATTCCTAGAACTTCAAATTTCCTAAAGTTATAAATTTCCCACCCACCAAAGCACTTCCAGCTTTCTGTCAAAATAGTTTCACATCCATGATTTCATTTTTATCAGAATGAAGCATGAATTGAACACATTGCCTTTACATCCATCTCCTTCCCCCCTTCTTCGAATATTTTTTGAGTTCCTACTATGTTTCAGGCATTGTTTTCTGTGCTGGGCACCTTATAAAACAGAATAAAATCACTTCCCCTGTGGACCTTACATTCTAGTGCACTGAAGACATAACATTTGAATAAAGACTGAAGGAGTTGAGGGATGGAACCAGGGAGCTATCTGGGGGAAGAATGTGTTCCAAACAGAGTAAGTAAATAAGCCAGGCACCCTCCAACTCAGTCAGTGCACATCTAGTGCTATCCAAAAGCAACAAGAAAAAAAAAAAAAAAAAAAAAAAAGCAACAAGAGACCAGGGTGGCTAACATGAAGATGATGGAAGGGTTATTAAAGGCTGAAGAAAACATGTAGTGGGACCAGCATAAAGACTCTGGCTTTACTGTGGGGAAGAAACAGCACCGTAGGATTTGAGAAGTGATGTGACATAGTCTGACTTACATTGTTAAAGAATAATCTGTCTGCTATGTTGACATAGACTGAAAGGGGCAAAAGGCAGACCAATGAGTCCTTTCTACATTGTCACCAATGAAATCAATCACCCTGGGCTACCAAAGTTCCAAGAATCAGAACTGTTCTCATCCCCTGTGTGGGGCTTGCCCCAGGAAAAAGTTAGGAGAGGATCTAGAGCACAGTTAAAGTAATATTATCCATTCTTGCTTCTACAGAATTAGAGTTCATTGCTTTAATTCCTCTACATTTCTGAAGCGAGGGAGAAACCCAATAATTCAGCTTATCTTATTAACCCACAAGGATCCTCTTCTGACCTCTCCATCTTACATTAACTTGGTTTTGCATCCTCAGTGTGTTACATTCTTAATATCACAGAGCAAGGTTTCTTGCTTCATAACTTTGTTTCTGGGATAATTATCAGAAATACATATTCCCAGACTGTTCCTGGATCTAGATAGTTTGGGAATCTTTATTTTAATGCACTTATCAGGTAATTCTGAAATGGACTAGAAGTTGAAAAACACTTGATCATGAGTTAGTTGATACAAGGTATTAAAAGCACCTGTATTTTCCAGATTAATACCTAAACAGGTGCTATTGATTCCATTCTTTTCTCTGTCCCTGATCCCTAAAAGGTGGTAGTTATGATTATCTTCTGGATTTTATGTATTAGAATTTTGACACAAAAATTGAAATAAAACATGATTTTTCCGGTAAAATTTTAAAGAACTACATTTTTTTGCAGTGAAAATAGACATTTTATCTGATTATAAAAAACAACAACTCATGCTGTCAGGAAGGGAAAAGATGATAACAAAGGTACAAATTTTCAGTTATTTGTAGAATAAGTTCTGAGGATCTAATGTCCAGCTTGTTGACTAGAGTTAATAATATGATATTGTACATTCAAAAGTCGCTGAGAGTCGATCTGGAGCATTCTCACACATGAAAAGCTTTGACTATGTAATGTAATGGATGTGTTAATTATCTTGATCTTGGTAATCATTGCATAACGTAAATGTGTATCAAATCATCATATTGTATACTTTAAATATATACAATTATATTTGTCAATTATTCCCAATGATTCTTTAATAAAGTTTTTAAAAACCACACATGCTATTGTAAATTGAAACTATGGAGACAAGTACAAAGCAGAAAGTAAAAATCACCTGGAATCCCAGAACTCTGAGACATCAGCCTTATTACCCTTTGTGTGGCCAGCCCTTCGTATGTGTCTTTATGCACAGACACAAACACAATACATAAAGGTGGTCGTGTGAAACTTGCTATTTTTATTGTAGCATGTAGAGGTCAGAAGAGGATTCTAGGAGTTAAGACATGTTTTTTTAAATGATTTATTTTTTGCTTCTGTGTTTCTCCTTTTTCCATCCTCTTCTCTGCATTCCCCCAACCTCCTAGTTGGGTAATTGATGCCCATGACTCAGTATCTATCATTTAATACCTTTCTCTCTGGTCATATGATCTTATATAACACATATTTAAATGGGATTTGTAATTCTTTTACAAAGATGGGATCATATTATGTACATTTTTAGGCATGTTGCATTTTTCACAGAAGAGATATTATGGAATTCCCTCCACTTAACTTGTATACATCTAACAACTCCATTTGATGGCGGCTTAACAACCACTTATGCAATCATTTTCCTATAATAGGTGATTTTGTCTTTAATTTGTTGTCATTATAAATAGCCTTGCACATAAATCTGTAGGTATTAGTCCTTTCATTTTTGTGGAATAGATTCTCACCAGTGGGATTGCTGAGTTAAAGGATACATATCCTGTAAATGTTAATAATGTTAGAATAAGTTCCAAAAAAGTAAAAGCAGTCATATTTTCACCAGAATTGCATGAAAATACCCTTTTACCTTTCACCACACCAGGCATAGGTAGAATCCTTCTGAAACGTTTTGCCAGTCTGCTAAACGGGAGCTGATATTGCATTGTGGGTTCTGTATTCATTGAATTGTCTTTTTGTTACCATTATGCAAGAACTCTATTATTATAGCTATTAACCTTTTATCTGATAGTTTTCATAATTCACTATTTGTATCTTTTACATTTTTATAGAGTTTCTTTCTGCTTTTTATTTTATACTTTTTAGTTTTTCCTAAACAAGTAAAATATGAATATATACATATACACACCCTTAGAATTTTTAAAATTCATATATTTCATATTTTCAAAGCTTCAATTTATAAGGACTTTAATTTTTTATACTTTTAAAGATCCAACTTTCATTTTTTTTTACATTTACATTTTTGTCCTGGCATCAAAATGTATTATTTTATTCTTTTTTTAATTTTAATTTTAATTTTAATTTTAATTTATTTGTTTTTATTTATTTTTAAGATTTTATTATTTAATAGAGAGAGAGAGAGAGAGAGAGAGAGAGGCAGAGACACAGGCAGAGGGAGAAGCAGGCTCCATGCAGGGAGCCCGACGTGGGACCAGATCCTGGGTCTGCAGGATCACACCCTGGGCCGAAGGCAGGCGCTCAACAGTTGAGCCACCCAGGTGTCCCAGTATTATTTTATTCTGTTCAATTTCCTGTTCAAACACTCTGACTCTTTAGCCGGAAATATTTCTACAATTTAACATAATTTTTTCAGCTTTAGGGTTTTAAAAAATTTCATTTTAGTATTTCTTTAGCTTTTTCTCTAATCTCTCTTTTATCCCTGCTCCCAGCACCCCATGTGTAGCCTCTTCCCAATGTCCAGCTGCCAAACTTTTGCTCCTGACCACCAAGTTGTGCATATTTTTCTCTACTGGGGGAGAAAGAACACTCCTACAATGTCGCAGACACAGTGCTAAGAAAGCGGTAATAACAAGATCAGAGAGAGATGGTTTGCATTGAGGGCTCCAGTAAGAGCTAGAATGAGAAGGGAAAGTCAAAAAGAAAGAGGTATAGAAGTCAACAACTTCAGTGCATAACAATCCTTGGGAACTTTCCACAGACTCTCCCAGGTCTGACCACCATTCAGGTAATTTAATGTCTGGCCAAATAGCAAATGAACTCTTTTGTATCATAAGCTCTTCATAAGCTCTTCTAGGATACCTTATTCTTAAGTTATCTTCCTCTGAAATTGAGATATGAATAATCTTCTAAAACACCCTCCCTTGCTTCCATCTTGCTCTTTTCTTTCCCCTTCTTCCACAGAATGAGGTTTAACTGTCTTCTGCCTCCCCCATGGACATAAAACTACAACCTCCTGGAATCATATAAAAAGAGTGATCAAACTTACCACCTGTTGCAAAAGTAATGTAAAGTGCAAAATCTTGGGCACTGTTTTCAATCTGTCAATGCAAAAAAAAATAAACGTACGTGAATTCTTTCACATTTGATTGATTGGTCATTGTCAGATGTTTTCTAAACTAACCTGACCCAAATAATCTGTTTCCTCACTCTCATTTTGCACTTTTAGACATGAAAAGAGACAGCTCTGCTCACTAGGGCTAAAGTAATTTCTCAAGGCTCATTTACAAAGAGATGTTATACTTAAGAAGGAATTCTTCAGAAGTGAACAACTTAATTTAGATCATATGTTGATAGGTCTTTTTCAGGAGAGTGCATTTATGTATCTGCAGTTAAATCATATACAATATAGTTCTAGCTCAGTTTTGTGATAAAGATTACCTTAAATTTTTGGAGAAGTTGCTCTATTACTTCTTCAGTCCTCATATTACTATTTATTCTGACCTTAGTTTCTGATCCAAAGGCTGGAGTGAAAATCGAAGTCTGGGAAGAAAACAAAGTTCTTAACATTACATCAAACTAACAAGAATCAATATGTTGAACCTAGCCTTCTTACCTTCTTATGTGGAAAAAAAAAAAATCCCAAATCACCAGTTTAAAACTTTTGTTCTTTTGTGCTTGCTTCCTTTGTTGTTGGGATGTTATGTATCCTTTTAAGCAGCTTTACATTGTTTGTTTCTAGAGTAAGTTAGGTAGAACATCATTTGAGGATGTTCGAAACATTTTCACTAGATAATCGTCTCATTCTTCAATGTGGTTCAAGATTTTAAATTAAATGTAACTATAACATAATATAATAATATATATATAATATAATATAACTAAACACAAATACAAAGTAATATGAATAGTGTTCCAAGACTCTAGAAATGAGTTCGGTTCAGCAGACATGGAGATGGGTGGGCTCTGGGGTGGCTCAGTGGAATGTTAGATGAGCCTTTTATTGGGAAATCAGTGAGTAAATATCAAAGTGCATATATGCACAACATCTGTGTGAATAGAAATATGGGTATGGAAATAACTTTTTGAAGCAGATATATGGAGGATTTCTGGAATAAACTCTTGCTAAGTGTGAGAAAATTCAGTGTTTGTGCACATTGTGAGGCATTAATGAGTCACTCTGTGAAACATCTGACTGGTGCTTATGAGTTCTATGGAGTCCTGTAGACCCGTATGTTCATCTAGTACTAGGGCGAGAGTATGTTACATATATGATTATGTTGTTTATATGAAGAATATTTATGGAGTTTGACAACAGCACTAGATTAAGACTCAGAGGCCTAGATCATAGAGTCTCCTAACTCCAGCTTTGTTAGTTCACTTAACTTTGAGGCCTTAAGAAGCCTCGAGGATTTCATTTGTAAAATAAGAGAGTGGGACTAGATGATCTCCAAGAGCCCTTCCGAAGTGCCAACATACAATGAACCTGGAATCATGTTTTTCAGAGTTTTACTTGGCCAAAACACACAATGGAATAAAATGATTTCTTATTGCACGGGTAGAAGCATACCGCAGGTCAAGTCAATAGTCATAACTTATGTACAAATATCATAATCTAAGTCCCTAATATGGATGTTATTCATATCCTAACAATATTGGTGTTATCATGGGGTTTTGTGACATAAAAATACATCGTATGACTATATCGACTTAAACTCCTAGATGCCTCTTGCAGCATGTTCACTGATGGAGTGCTTTGGGGCTTGAGGTTTTGTTTTGTTTTCTGCTAGTTATTAAATTGCAGCGAATGGCATCTGTATGACATATGTGTGGTTCCAGCTTGATCTCTTTTAACCTACAAGAATGAAACTAATGTAAATTGAGTTTTTCTTTGTGCCAGACACAGTGCTCAGTGCTTGGCTCACCTCATTCCATTTAGTCCCATCAACCCGCAAAGTAGGAAGGATAAAGGAATGAAAGCTAAGAGATGGAGGTATTTTTTTAACTTTGCTCATCAAGAATTTGAAATCAGGATGTCAAGCTGCAGCCGTCAAGCATTTAGCCAGTATACTCTGCTGCCAACTTATCATCGATTTCATTCTTAGCACAGGGGGTCCCAGCTGGAGGCTGTTCATTTGGAACAGTGTGGTTTTTACAGCCTTCTTTAACACAACCCCCACAAGATGATGACACAGCATAATTATAAGGAATAAAAACCAGGGCAATTGGTAGCTGCACATCTATGCGGGACTGTCAATGGCTAAGGGGAAATTCTTGAGCCAGAAAAATGTTGAATTTGAACAGAGAATTCACAAGGGAGGTTTCTCCCCACCAGTCTCCAAAGGCGCACTATGGATATGTTCCCAAGGGTAGAAGAAAGAACAAGGCATAAAGCCCTTCAGAAAAAAAGCTTCAGATGAATGAGTTAACATTTTGTATTAAAGGGCTTAGGGTGGTACCTGGCACAGAATAAGTGCTTTTTAAGTATTTATTAAATGAATGAATAATTGCTGAAATACATGACATGAAAAACTTCAGTTCTTAGAATCTGATCTATTTCCTACCATCAACAAAGTGAAATGTCTTACAAAAACTGTGGAAAGGAACACATAAATTTAAAACATTAAGTGAAAAATTAGAATACAAATTATATCCAAAGTATAAGTACGCTTACATAAAAAATACATATATATGTTCAAGACCCGGAAAGGAACGCTGTGAGATGAGAAATTTGATTCATTGGAATAAAAGGTCTGTAGCTGTTTTTTTTTCTTTATTTAAATGTTAATGTTCAAATGTACTTTGAACCATTCTCTATTGTAGCACTTACATTATTCTAATGCCATTTGTTGATGTACTGGTTTCCTTGCCTGAGACCTGAGCTCCACGTGGGCAGAGGCATTAACTGAGCCATCTTTGTAGTGCTTGGCACAGAACCAGACCCTTAGATAAGGTTCATCCATCACGTCGGCTAATACTTGGGTCCTGGAGTCAGACAAAGCTGGCTTCAAGTTCAGAGCTGCTACTTAAAAGTACTGTGACCTAAGACAAATTACTTAACTTCTGGAGCCTCAGTTAACACAGGCAGGGAAAATAATGGTACCTATTTCAAAGGATTGTTTCAGTGATTAATGAGATAATTAATCAAAATCCAACTTAAAACAGTTTAATACCTAATGCATAGTGAGTACCCAATAAATGTTAGATACACTACTACTATTTTATTACTATTTTTAATTGCAAGTTGAGTTGAGTGGTATCGTTAGAAAAATAGACATCGTTTAAATGACATTAATGGAATTATAACTCACTTCATGGTTATAGAAGTGCCCATTAATAGAGGCCCTATGCTTCTGTCTCTCTTTTCTGTCCATCATTGGAGACTTCATCCTTTTTCTCACCAGGGTTGCTTCACTCATGGTTCGATAGAGCAATGGGGATTCTGGCTCTTCTTCTGCATAAGGCTTCAGAGTGCTACTGTGATAAGATAAATAATCTGGGAAGAATAAAGATTATAAGGGCCATATCATTTAGCCGCCTACCTCCTTGGGTGGATTTGTATATGTATTTAAGAGGAAAATATATAGCTAGGCAGTGAACGATAATGTTTTCAAACAGTAGGAAATAGTGATCCATTTTACTTTGGGATTTTAAAAAATTTCCTAATTAATTAGAGTATCATCCAATAGTCTTGAGATATTTTATCTTCTTCTAGCACTGGTGCTCGGATACAAATAGATTTTTATGGTATCTTCGATACCAAGAAATTAGGATTCCCCTGAGTTTATTTTTTTATTTATTTTTAATTTTTATTTATTTATGATAGTCAGAGAGAGAGAGAGAGAGAGAGAGAGAGAGGCAGAGACATAGGCAGAGGGAGAAGCAGGCTCCATGCACCGGGAACCCAATGTGGGATTCGATCTCGGGTCTCCAGGATCACGCCCTGGGCCAAAGGCAGGTGCTAAACTGCTGCACCACCCAGGGATCCCTCCCCTGAGTTTAGAGAAATGTTTTCAACAGGCTAACTGGAAGGACCTTTATATAAAAGATGCCAAGAGCCATCAAAGATAGGGGAATCTTGGAAGGAACATTATGTTAGTTATTGCATATGGGTTTTTATGGAGACAGAAGAAAAGACTGCGTTGAGAAAGGCTAGGAAAAAATAAACATTGGAAGTTGTTGGTAGATTAATAAGATAATGTTGATGAGAAAAGTCTGAAATCAGCTTTGTAATAGGACGACCCCAGAAACATAAACTCTGCCCCCAGCCTCAGTCACCAGCTCAGCTCCTCCCTTCTTGGTTCTCCATATCTATGTAAGATACACAATAGCATCACTGCCACTTAGCAGAGTCTCGGTAAATGGTAGCTACTAATATTACTACTATCACATCATCACTATGGCTACCGATGTCACAGGTCATAGGAGCTGCCATTTACCACTGGTTTGTGTGAGTTCGATATGAACTTATTTGATGTTTAAGTTGATTTCTCTTTTTAAAAGAAATGGTTGAAATGACTCTATCAAATATACTCATTTCAGTATATCTGCCTGTTTTTTTTTTGGGGGGGGGAAATGGTGTTATGTAAAGACTTATTAACTAACTAAAACATTCAACTTCTAAAAAGATGTAGAATTCAGTCTGGGGGGATTGGTCTAAAATAAAAAACTACTGAGTACAATAAATGATCCTAATCCCTGGGGAAAATACTGAAGAATTTTACATATACAGATTTATTCAATTCATTAGCTTTCCCTAATCTAATAAATCTAAATGAGTTGGTGTAATTTTAAAAATAGCTGTGGGGCGCCTGAGTGGTGCAGTTGGTCGAGCATCCGATTCTTGGTTTCCACTCAGGTCATGATCTAGAGTCATGAGGTGGAGCCCTGTGTGGGGCACTGTGATCAGTGGGATGTCTCCTTGACAATCTCTCCTTCTTTCTCTCCCTCTGCCCCTCCCCATCATGCTCTCTCTCTCAAATAAATAAATAAATCTTGAAAAATAAATAAAAATCATCATATTTTAATAAAGTTCTTACATATCATATGAGCATTGTAGTGACTTAATATGATCCTAAGAGTTTTTTTAATATAAAAGTTTTATTAAATAGTGGTGCGCAAAATGCTAAATTTCAGAGAAACTTTTAGGATTCATGCTTTACATTAAAAAATAGGTCTCTCCATTAATAAGAGTTTGATACTTACCTCCTTGGGAAACTGTTGCTTCAGCCTCTGGAATCTGGGTCCTATCCAGATCACTAATACGGTAAAGATCGTCAAACTCCCCCCAGCGTGTCATTCCCCTGAAAAGTAATAAATCTTGTAAATTACATCAGTTCTATTCATAATGGTTTTCAGATTTATAGCATTAATATAGCATGGAGAGCCTCCACAGGTAGGCATAGTCCAAATTATAATAATTTCATTTATTAAAATTATATTTACACCAGGATGGTCATCATGTGCTTTATATACTTCTGTCCTCACTTTAAGCAGAATTGACAATTCAGTTATATCCTGAAACACAAGATTGTATAGCTTCTATAAAATGTGTATGCAAATGGAATTAGGAGAAACCAAAATAATCCCTTGTTTACACAGATGTCTCGTAATGCTCTTAGGAGAGTTAAGATATAAAAGTGTGCATTCTTCCAACATGTTTTGAGTTCCTATTGTACTCAAAGCATTTTTAGGTAGAATGGCGCTCAGTAAGATGTGGTGCTTAACTTTAAGGCTCTTTACTACTGTGAATGCAATTTACAAAGGAGGAAAGTATATGAGAAACTTTTTTCCTAAAACATTATGATTTATATATAGGATACTAACAATTTTCAATGCATCTTAGTGATTAGAATACACAAAACTGGGCAACTACTTATTTTTACCAGCTGGGCTGAGAGTCACTTTCACTTTATTTATCTAGTGACTTATCTTCTCTGTGCCTTCTCCCGTGTCCTTATCTATAAAATGGGGATGTTAATTATATGAGGTTGGATAGGGTTGCTGAGAAGATTAAATGAGTTATTTTGTGTAAAATTCTTCAAACAGTGCCTGATATGCATAGTAAACTTGCAATATGTGTTAAAAGTCATCAAAATCATCCTCATTTTCATTGTCATCCCCATCATGATCACCTGTATCCGTTTCATGATAGGCAAGGAACCACTAGGGAGCTAAGATATTCCTGAGTCTCTCTAGTTTAATGGATACTTTTATTACTCGGACTGGTTTTATTCTTACTAAAAATCTCTAGCATAATGACAAAAAGCCGTAAGTGGTGGCATATACGCTATCCAAATGTAGCATTTGTAGCACTAATTCTATCCAAATTCCACTGGTGGCAACAATAACAAAAAAATGCTTATTAAGACTAGTGGTGGTGAACATGACAAACATGATTTTTTCCCCCTTGATCTTTGAATTCTTTTGATGCCTTTTTACAACCTTTATATCATTTGAGCTTAATAATGTAAAGAAGGATCTAAATAACGCCTTAGTGTAAATAAGATAATTCTAATGGTTTTGTTAGTTAATTTTTTCATAAGCCTTACTCTCCAGAATATAGATAGTTGAGTGTCAGAAAAGTCCAAGAACTATAAGTAGTAATGAACTTAAAGGAGACCTATTCAGATCCTGACTCAGAATCAAGTTATTCTTAAGGTAGACAAAATTACCCGTCTTCCCTAATCTACAAGAGATTAATTATCACAAGAGGCAGATGTCATTATCATAGAAAGAGAGTTAGCAATGGGGAAGGCTCAATACCAATGAAAAGCAGAAACTCAGATGGGAAGGCAGCCTAATGCTATTTCATATGGGGGAAGATGAGAGTGCCCAGGCGTGCCCAATCAGTATTGTATAAATCCTCGGTTATCTTGGCAGACTTGACACTTGTCCTCACTTCCTTATGGTTTAGTGGTATCACGGGGAACAGACATGGCTCAGTATATGAATCTTTGGCCCTTCTTCCTCTCTACCCATCATAGTAGAAAGCACCAGTTTTGAGCTCTGGATTGTGTAATTCGAAGAATCACCCACGTACAACTGTGCACAGGACTACACTTGAGGACAGTTACCCAGAGTTGTTCAAAGAAACTGGATGGAACTTAATGCAATATCAAATAGCTTAACTTGCCCAAGCATGGGACTGTTAGCATTGCTCTGACCATGCTTCAGGATATATACCATCGGTAAATTTAAACCGTGGGGAACTTTTCTGATGAGTTGCAAAATAAAAAGGAGGTAGTAATTTGATAGACAAATGGAATGTGGTCATTTTTCTACCTGTGTTGTAAGAAAAAAAACCACACTATGAATGTTATTCAAATGTACACTTGCCCAGCTTCTGTTGTTTATGTCATTCTGTCACGACCCGTATAAAATGTGCAAACACAGATTTTAGAAAGATTACAGACTGAGATCAAAACTTGTGCAAGCAAATGTAACCTCAGTAAGGCTTGGTTTTTTTTTTTTTTTGAAAAAAATTTTTTGAAAGATTTTCGAAACAAAGGACTTGGAAGATCAAAGTACTGCCCAAAGAATTGTTTCCATAAAGGGCCACAAGTGGTCACAGTTCAAACAGACTGATTTATATTTAAGCTTCTACCACTCCCTTTAAGCTGACTCAGGGTGACTCATTTCGAAGATCATTAAAGCAAATTAGCATGACAAACTGATGATTCTCTCAATGGGTGAACTGAAAGACAAGATTGCAGCCCTTCCTGCAGCTGAGTACACAACTTCCATGTCTTTTGCTCCACATCCACCCACTGAAGATACCACATCTGTGACCCTGTGGGAGCAGAGGTACAAGTTCTGCACCAAGGAACCCTTATGAGAAAGGGGACTTGAGAAGTGAGTGAGGGAATAGTCTCTTTCTTCATTTGATTTCCTTCAAAGCTCAGAATTCAAGTGAAGGGTGGTAACCAGAATGACAATGTCTAGAACTGAACTGAAACAAAGAATAGGACCCTCAGGTGGCCAAGCACCCCACTAGGGAACCAGAGGCCAAGGAACAGCCATTCCAAATCATGCTGTCCCTTCCTGCTGAGTGTTCAGCTGGTTTCCAGGAAGGATTCTTGCCTAGTTAACCTCAACTGAATCTAACTTTGCTCTTGAGTGTGAGAGGGTAGGATCTCTTTCTGATAATTCTTAACCTTCAGTAAGATCCGATACACCACAAGGGTGCCCTTTGCTTCGAATGCTCTAGTAAGTCTCACCACTGTGGTAAAGGGCAGGCAGAGTTCTCTAGGGAATTCTTTCTCAGCTTTAAACTAAAGGAGATAGTTCCTGTTCGGTTCACAGCAATGGTCTTTCTGATAAATAATTAAAAATAATTAAAAATGCAGTTGGTGTCTATGGAAGGCATGTCATGAGAATATTAATTTTAACCTGCCACAGTGTATGGAGAGGCATCAATATTACTTTGTCCACCTGGTCTCTTGAAAGTTATGCCCAAATTGAGGATTTTTAGGAGCAAGTGTTTTGAATTTTAATTTGAAAACTCAAAAATACCTTGGGGTAGCTATTTTTAAAAAGGTTTCATGTGATAATACAAATACCTTACTGCATCTCCTTGACATCTTCCCTTAATGTTCCATACTTATTAAGTTTAGATGACTCAAATAATTAAAATGTATCAAAAGCAGCTGGCTGCTCAGAGAACTTTGCAATGAGTTTTTAGGCAATATGAATAATGATAGCTAATTCTGCCAAATTCATGTCTTGTACAGTGATCTAAGAGCAGAGCCCAGGGGTAATTTCTCCTTTTACAGGATGCTCCTAGAATCATCAGCCCATCATTTAAAATTTTATCTCCCCTTTTGGTGTCCAGGTCAGGGCTAATGGAATCTTGACTTCACATTTTGTCTTTTCTAACAAAGGAACGCAGTCTTCAGGAGAGAAGCAACACAGCACACAGGCGGACCTGAGGTCCGGTCCAGTTCTGCTCCATGGTGTTTGGAGATTTTGCACAAATTGCCTAACCTCTTGGGCCCCCGATTCTGAACACCTACTTCACAGAGTTGCTGGGGATCAGATGAGATTGTGTTTTAAGCATTAGCGCTCCCATCTCTAAGAATCCACACAAGAAAGGTATGTAAATCTGAGGATGCTCTACTAAGGAGTTCAAACACGAAAGGCAGCTTACCTTTTGGAAAAGACATCTGGTGATCTCAACATAGTAAAAGAAGGGATTTGCTTCTCATCTCGGATTTTCAGTTGTATAGGCCGTTTTACTCCCCAGGAAATGTCCAACATTCCTTCAACAATTAGTTCGCCATCTTCTGTCTGGGGAGGAAACCCATCATCTCAAACATGGTTTTTGTGTCATTTATAGAAGGTAAATTTTTTAACTGAGAATGTAGAAATCAAGTCTGTAAGGCATCTTAATAAATAAATTCCCCAGTGGGATTGTTTGGCTTTTCAATTTATCCTCAAAATAATCCATTTTTGGAAACACCTGTAATCAACATAGTAAGTCATAATGGTAATGACATGCCCACCAGAGGGCATAGCATGTTCAAATGCTTTCTGAACTCCATGATTCTTCACTGAACTGGAAGTTTAACTCTGTTATCTTCAGATTAAAGCAGAAGTAAGTAAGCACTCTAACTAAACTAGAAATCAGAGGAACAGCTCTTCAGAGACTTAGTGGCTGTTTCCTCATTTCTGAGCAAGAAATTTTAGCTCACGGAATTATTATGCAGAATGAGGGAAAAATATATGAAAACACAGTATAAATTGTATAACAGAAATTATTTATTTGAAAAAAATCAAAAGCATTTGATTACCTTTTAAGTTGAAAATATAGGAAGGAAATTCCATGCAAGCATGGATTATAGACGTTTATTTATTCTGTGGATGTAAGTATTAGTACCAAAGCATATTTCCATAAAATTTATTTTCTTATTTATTTATTTATTTATTTATTTATTTATTTATTTATTTATTTATGATAGTCACACAGAAAGAGAGAGAGAGAGAGAGGCAGAGACACAGGCAGAAGGAGAAGCAGGCTCCATGCACCGGGACCCCAATGTGGGATTCGATCCCGGGTCTCCAGGATCGCGCACTGGGCCAAAGGCAGGCACCAAACCGCTGCGCCACCCAGGGATCCCTAAAATTTATTTTCTAATCAATTTTTCCCTTCTCTATGTAAAAGTCTTTCTGTTATTAGGGTAATGTATTGTCATTATGGAAATTTCAAAAAATATAGAAACTAAGGAGAGTCATATTCCAACCATCCAATAAGTACTACGGCATCCAATCAATTATTAGAGAATGCAAATGACTCTATTTTTATTTGAGAGTGTAATGAAAACTCCAGACTCTGGAATCAGACAGACCTGTGTTTGAACCCTGGATCTGCCACTTCCCAGCTGTGGGACTGTGGATGAGATGCTGGACACCTTTAAACCTGCTGCTTCTGAAGAATGGACATCATAATAACCCCTAATTCATAGGGCCTGACAGTTAATAAGTGCTCAATAATATTATTGCTTATTATTTCTTTGGCTGACAGAAACAAAATTGTGTTCTTTCTCCCACTTTTGAGGTCATGTTTCAGATTACTGAGAAGTCAGGTTCCCACTCAGTTGTTTTCAACAACCAAACATAATTTGGTCTCTGGAATGGCAGTACATGACGCAGGCCCTACATTTTAGTTACTGCTGTATAGCATCCCTTCTTTGCTTAATTACACTTCAATTAATCCCTTACAGCAAAAATTCAAAGAGTAACTGCTCTTCTGAGATTACCTAATTCTTGCTTTCAAGAAAAAATACTCCAGTTGCTATCAGACAATGTAAGGTTTTCTCATGTAAGGAATATCAGAATACTCTTTAATTGCACAAAGTGTCTCTTTCGAGGTCAACTAAATAAATTATCACAGAAGTCTTGTTTATACTCATTTAATCTTGTTGTCTAAATCCTTAGGCCTCTTTTCTTTTAGATGTACACCAGTATCCTTGGCGATCTCAAGGATCCTTAAATGCTATCTCTAAACTAATAGCTTCCAACTTTATATTTCTAGCCCAAACCTTCCCACTGAACTCCAGCCATCCAATTGCCTACCTTCCATCAAACTTAGTATGTTCCTAATTACCTCCTGGTCTTTCTCCCATGAATATTTTCCTCTCCAACTCTTTCCCATCTTGGTAAATAACACCCTTATCCTTCCAGTTGCTCAGGCCAGGAATTTTAGAGCCACCTTTAATCTTTCTTTTGTACTCAACACCCAACTCATTAGCAAATCCTATTAGCTCCACCTTAAAAATTTGACTCTAATGTGACCACACTCACTGTATCCACTACCATGATTTTGGTCCATGCCATTGCCAATGTTTGCCGGGATTATTGTAAGAATTTTCTTTCTCATTCTTCTCTTGTCCTTTCCTATACTCCGCATAGCTAGGGAGATCCATTTATTTATTTATTTATTTATTTATTTATTTATTTATTTATTTTTATTTCATTAATAATTGGGAGATCCTTTTAAAATGAATCCTTTTAGGTAATGTCACTGTTCTACTCAAAATTTCCCTGTGGTTTTCCATCTCATTGCACATACATGCTAAGGTCTTCACAATGATCTACAAGACCCACAAACTCTGGTGCTTTCCTTTCACAGTTATGTCTCCAGCTGCAATGTCTACTAATTCCCCTTTCTCATAAGATTCCTGCTCTCCTGGCTTCCCTGCTCTACTTCAATTACACTAGTCAGGCTCCGTCCCCTTATTCAGGCTGTCTCTGCCTGGAATGTGCATCCCACAGACTTCTGCAAGGTTTGCTTCTTCACATCTCTCAGAGTCTCTGATCGGATGCTCCTCTTCCCTCACCCCACTTAGATCCCTGAGCCCTCTTCCCTGCTTTACTATTGCCAGGGATCAAGCCCCACATCCATCGGGCTCTCTGCTCAACAGGGGGTCTGCTTCTCCCTCTCCCTCTGCCTGCTGCCCTGCCTACTTGCGCACCCTCTCTCTGTTAAGTAAATAAATAAAATTTTTTTAAAAAATATTAGCTTAAGTAATCAGAGATTAAGAAAGCTGCATTTTATCCTCTATACTGCCCCTTTTAACAGTGTTTGTTATTGTAACCAAGGATATTTTGAAAATTCTGAATCCTAACTTTATTGACCAGTGAGTAAAGATGGAAAGATGAAACAATTTGATAGTCTCACTGTGCACTTTATTCATGTATTTTAAAAAATTAAATGACTTTTGTATTATAAATTGAACACTGTTCCTAGAATTGGAAAGAATATGGCTCAAATTATATGTTCATAACATCAAAATTCAAATATTTTCCTAAAGGAAAAAGCATTATGAACTTTATAGAAACTTGAAGCAAAATGTAAACAATCTTTTGTAAAGTTTTGAACTTTTCTTAAATTATCTTTACAGTTATATACATTAGAGATCTTAGATATAGGACAATATTGAAATAATTTAAAATTAGGCCCATTTCTTCGTAAAGAGATTAGTTACTTCCTTCTCCTATCTATCACATTTGGGAAGGTAACTGAAATATTCAGTTGAACGAAATCATTTAACCTCACTAGTAAAGACCAGAGTAGTTTGTAAGTTTCCTTCTAAAGCAATTTTAAGCCAAATTGCACTGGCCTAAAGTCAATGCTATACCATCAGATTTGAAGATTGAAATCAGAGGTAGAAATGTCTAATGCTCCCTGGGACCAGGAAGATATCGTAAAGATGTGAAGTTAGCTCCATTAGAATACAAGACTGAGTGGAGAGGCATGTGGGAAACAGGATTACTAGGAGACGAAGAGGAAGAAATGAAAAATCGAAGCTCGGTTTGTACAAGAGCCTGCACCCCCAACAATTTGCACTCCCAAAAATGCTTTGTAGCGTCAGGACTTTTCTGAATTGTTTCTTTCACATTTTAAGATTTGTTGTTATAACATAGAACACATCCATTGGAATTTAACTGATTCATCTTAACAAGCAAATCAAACTATGTTACAGACTATGTCATATTTCTTTGAGCTATCTCTCATTGGGATAGACTCAAGATATCCTCAAATTCTCTCCATTACAAATAATGTCACCGTGGGATGACACGACCTTTTCTATATGTTCTAGTACATTTGGCAAAAAGTATTATGATAGATTTCTGGTGGACTCGCTGTTCAAAAGATATTTATACACTTTTAAAAATAGAAAGTAAATAGGCCATTAAAATTATTTTTAAATACTTTCCCGTCCCCAATACTGCTTAAAAAGTCACATGTTCCAGGACTAGGATTTTGTGATTTGGCCTAAAAATGAAAATCATGATCAAGTCAAAGATTTGCCAGTTTTTCCAGACCACTTGTGCTGCTGGATTATGGACTCCAACTCATCCTGAATCCTCCATACCTTTATGGAATTTCTTCCTGTGAATCAAACTGTATTGCATTTCTTTGATGGGCTTACCTGTCCATATAAAATATGCAGATTTTTCTGGTTCCCATAAAAAATATTATAGTTCTTCAATAAAGAATTAAGTTGTTCCCTAAAAAAAATTACATTTGGTTATAATCAGGCTCTCTAACAGTAAAAGGCAGAAATAGTGCATTTAGTTCGTACAGGTATGATATAGAAATGGTCCAATGGAATCTTTACTGTGCTGTCATTTTCACTTAATGCAGGCCATTGAAAACAGAAGTCTTTTGGGGACAGCAGCAAATATTGGTCATAAATAAATAATGAAAGAAGGTAAAATGACTGAGGGCAAAGTTGTGGGAGACTGTTCTGTGACAGGAGACGGCCACCAAACAGGGATTTGGTATCACATTTCTTCTTGGTTTTCCAACATTAATCAGCCTCAATTAAGCATCTAGTATGTGCCTGACACTGTGTTTCCTCCCTGGGGTATAGTAACAGTTCAGAAATGGCCACTGCTTCAGAGTTAGTTTTCCTTTGAGACAGGTAGGCTCTGGCAGTAGGAATACTGGCTACTGCCCCTCCTCTATCCTTTCCCCTGTGCGTCCATAGCCTAAGATCCTTGCCTTCCCCAGCTAACCTACTGGTCCATCTTTCACCCGGATTACTGCAACAGTCTCCTAAAAGCCTCCCTGTATCTCTAGCCTGTTGTAATAGCAGGTGTTATTTTAATGCAAACCTGATCATTTCTCTCCTCAGCTCCAAATTCTCCAATATCTTTTCATTATTTGGACTAAAAGCCAACGTGCTTCCAATGACTTAAAAGGCCAGCTGTGAGCTGGTCTTCTGCTTCCCTTTGATCTCATTTCCTTCCATTCTTTCCTTCACTCACTACACTTTAACCACTGGCCTCCTTGATATTCCTTTAATCTGTCAGGCACATTCTCACCTCAGGGCCTTTGCACTGATCCCTATGTCCAGAAAGACCTCCATCCCCATCCCCCATGCTGTCACACTGTTCACACGTTTTCTTTAACTCCTTACCCAGAATTCACCTTCTCAAGAAGTCCTTCCTGACCACTCAATCTAAAGCGCTGCCTTCTCCCAACATTCATATTCTGCTTTCTTACCTCTGCCCATCCTTCACCTCTAACCTTGTGCATACTTTACTTAGTTGTCTTGTATTTGGTCTCTCTCACCAGACCATAGCTCCACGAGAATAAACGTGCTTGTATGTTTTGTTTGCACTATATTCTATCTGCCTGGAGAAGTGTGTACCCTGCCAAAGAAGCTTCTGAAGGTGATTTTTTTGTGTACCTGATGAAACAATGGGTCGCTGGTCATGAAACAGCCTGTAATGTGTAGATCTGACTGGTTGGCCCCGAAGGCACAAGGACATGAAGAGTGACTGTCAAGATGATCATCCATATCTGGTTCAAACTGGTTCAGACTGTGGCTTCTAATAGCGAATGGCCATGCACTCATGCATTCACTCAGTTGAACCTGAGGACAGGTGAGAGCGTTGACAACAGACACTGCCTACCGTGAACTTGGGGGGGGGGGTCAAATGTGAAGAGTGTGAGGAGCTTACCAGGCAGAGAAAACTTTCACAAGGACATGGAGCTATTTCTATAGTTTTTGTGGAGAAAGCTGAGTGTCAGGATCTAAGAGTTGAACATGTAAATGGAGAGTGGTGCGCAATGAGCTAAAGAAGCAGGCAGGAACCTTGTGGACCATTTTAACAAGCTTAAAGTTCACCCCGCAGGCAGGAGGCAGCTACTAAACCAAGTAGCTTTTTTTCTAAGCAAAAGAAAGACATGATGATAAGGGCCACTAGGGGACTGACAAGACACAGATTTTAGGACAAGATGGAAGCAGAGAGAGGAGTGTGGGGCTCCTGCAACAGTACTGAGATAGAGGCGCAGGAGCAAGGCTGTGCACCATGGAAAGACGCTCAAGGGTCCTACATGTACAGAAAGGAATGAAGTCTCAATGGGACTTAAAATACGTATAGGGATTACGTGATTCAGATACATCTGAAGGTAATCACAAGCGTCATCTAGGCAGTCAGGAAAGGGGACAGTGATTTAATATACAACGTGCCCTGTCAATGCTAATTGTAACAGATTTCTTGGATCCACTTAAATGTTATATATGCACCTTCCTCCCCTCAAAAAAGGAAACAAACATCTGTGCACCTGTCCTCTCAGCCACCAAGATGTTCCTCACCCAGCCTAGATCAGACTGCTAAGCAGCTATTCAGCTGCCCTAACAAAACTATAAAATGGATAATGAGCAAGGGATCTCACATCCAATCTTCTCAGTCCACAAATCTGTGATGTCCAGAAGCCACAAGGATACCCAAGAAGTAGACATAAGGTTCAAAGACCCCACACACTCTGTTTGATACATAACAAAAGGATTTTCTGAGAGCTTCTTTTTTGGAACATGAAGTGGTGCATGTGATATACAACAAGATTTTAAAAAATCAAACAGTATATAATATGGATAGTGTTTTAAAGATGCATTTACTTATTTGGGAGAGAGAGAGAGAACGCACAAGCGTGGAGGAGGGACAGAGGCAGAGGGAGAAGCAGATTCCCTACTGAGCAGGGAGCCCAGGTCGGGGCTCCATCCCAGACCCTGAGCTCAGGACCTGAGCTGAAGGCAGACACTTAACTGAGTGAGCCACCCAGGTGCCCCCATATGGGCAGTGTTTTTAGAAAACTGAGGAATGGCAAACTTCCGTGTAAACTGGACTACCTAAATGAAGGGATAGAATAATAAGCTTCCCAAGACAGAAGCTGGCCCTGTGCACCTGCAGCTCAGAGCCTGCCAGCAGCTGACGGCCCGAGGCTTGTCCGTAGCCCGTGAAGAGTGCGAGCCGGGAGACACTTAACATGGGGAAGGATGCAGAGGGCTCCGGGCTTCTGTTCCTTTAAGGCTCCCAGCTTGGTTTTATGAGCAATATTAGATCCAGAACTCACTGTAAAATGCTTAGGTGTACTTTGTACTTTGTGGCCTGAATTGCAGCTGCTCAGCAGATGGGAATTACCCACACGCTGACGTCTGCCATGAATAATGGACCCAGCAAGAGAGGACTTCCTCAATCTTATCATGCTACTTAGCTGGCCGGAAGAAACGATTTCTATTTGATCTTATAAAACTGTAATATCCATGGGCATGGGACAGCATGATGGATGGAATGGAGTCACGCCTTGCATCCACGGGCGGAATGGATGTCAAATATTAGTTGTGATACGAGGTCTGGCTCCTGCGTTAGTGGCGATTTACAGTGTAATTAACTGGATGTCCAATCCCTTCCCCAGAAACCAAAAACCTTGTCCCCCTCTTTGCTAAGAGCTTCTTACAATTTGGACCCAATAAAGGCAAACCAGCAATACCACTGTACAGGGGAACCCAGTCCGAACTTCCGGGGCTGCCACAGGATACGAAATAAACCAGAGAAAAATACAACCGGGCTAAGGCTCGGGGTGGGGGCAGGTGGCAGTGCCTCCTGAGTTTGTGTGACCTCCCCCTCGCCGAGACTTGCTGAAACCGGCCAGGCCCCAGCCCAGCCGCCGCTGAACCGCACTGACAGCAGCATCAGAAATGACCTGATGTTCACACCAGCGTGTTTAGGAGCAGGAACCCAAAACGCCTGCAAGAATATCCTCAAAGAGAGGAAAAACTGAGACAGGATACAAAGGCTAAGTTGCCGTGTCCTACGTTCAGTTCTCCGCTCAACACACATGGATTTTGTTCACGTTGTTAAATTTTAGCATCGAGATCAACAATTTCATGTCAGGTTAAAAACCTGAATTTAAGCGGCACCCCGGTGGCTCAGCGGCTTAGCACCTGCCTTCGGCCCAGGGCGTGACCCCGGAGTCCCAGGATTGAGTCCCACGTCGGGCTCCCTGCATGGAGCCTGCTTCTCCCTCTGCCTGTGTCTCTACTTCTCTCTCTGTGTCTCTCATGAATAAATAAATAAAATCTTAAAAAAAAAACCCTGAATTTAAAATGTAATATGTTTTTAATAAAATAACTATGAATTAAACATGTGAAGGCGACCCAGCTGGGACTGTTTGCTGGGAATCCAGATTGTGATTCATTTTAGGAGTTGTAGTTCTATTTCCCAAACTTCATACAGTAAGTGCATAATACGATTATTATGATGTCATAGTTTTACTTCCACAAAAACATAAACCCCTGTAAGTTTTTGGAATGGTGGAACCAGGAAATAGGACACCAGAAAAAAATAAGTAGAGCCTTATCATTAAGCCATTTGCCAAGACAAACCATCATATCATATTCCTGACGTCTGCGTGATGTTCGCAAGCAGGAGCAGACTTCTCTTAACTCACTTTATCCTTCATTACTGTCAGCTTGAATCCTGGAATTAAAATGGCAAACTTCTAGAGTGTCTGTACCAGTTCACATTCCCACCAACAGTGCAAGAGGATTCCCCTTTCTCCACAGCCACTTGGAAAACTGTGGAGGTTCCTCAAAGAGTAAAAAATAGACCTGCCCTACGACCCAGCAATTGCACTGTTAGGGATTTACCCCAAAGACTCAGATGCAGTGAAACGCCGGGACACCTGCACCCCGATGTTTCTAGCAGCAATGTCCACAACAGCCAAACTATGGAAGGAGCCTCGGTGTCCATCGACAGATGAATGGATAAAGAAGATGTGGTCTATGTACACAATGGAATATTCCTCAGCCATTAGAAACGACCAATACCCACCATTTGCTTCAACGTGGATGGAACTGGAGGGTATTATGCTGAGTGAAGTAAGTCAGTCGGAGAAGGACAAACCTTCTATGTTCTCATTCATTTGGGGAATATAAAAAATAGTGAAAGGGAATGAAGGGGAAAGGAGAGAAAATGAATGAAAATATCAGTGAGGGTGACAAAACATGAGAGACACCTAACTCTGGGAAGCAAACAAGGGGTAGTAGAAGAGGAGGTGGGCGGGGGGTTGGGGTGACTGGGTGCCAGGCACTGAGGGGGGCACTTGGCGGGATGAGCCCTGGGTGTTATGCTATATGTTGGCAAATTGAACTCCAATAATATATATATATATATATATATATATATATATATATATATATATATATAATTTTTTT